TCAAAGGTGCCCAAGCCCAAAACAACAGTATGTGCTTGCTCAATAAATTTAGTTAATCAGGACATGTTTAAAGAATGAAATGAATACTTTCAGGAACAACACACTTATTAATAAGTGTTAAATATTTGGCATGGATTAGGATTCCTTTGTGTCAAGAAAATTCTGGCGAACGCTACACCAGTCTGTGAGATAAGTATACATTCCTCTAATCAGACATTTACTCGTTCTGCTTCCCTTCATTTGACAGCATGATGAAATGGAAAATAGAGTTTCTGTGTTTAATCTGAAATCTAAAGGACTGGAACATTTCCTTAGAGCCAAAAGTGGAGTTGGCAAGAAAGCAAAGCAAAGGTTAAATGGCTGAGATGGCAAGCATTAAATTTCTAGAAAATTAATTCAGCTTTAAGCAAGACAAATTCATTCTAGGGATTTCTTTTTATTTGCGTAGAGCTTCAGGTTTGAGGCAAAGAAAGGGATAATTCAGTTTTGAACCCACAGGGAAGTTTGCGTTCTAAAGACATTACGAAGACTAGCTGACCACATTAGAAATTACAGTCCTACATTGATACTCGACTGCTTTTAAACTCGTCAAATTTGGTACTCATTTTGACGTGAAAATTTTGTCCCAGTACATGTCATTTGTTTGGTATTTGTCGTGCAAGGTAGAACTTGTCAGTGTGGGCTGCCTCATGACTTGCTAGCCTTTTCGGCTGAAACAAAGGGTCATATATCAAATCATGTGGTTTGTTTGGCACTCGTCATTTTTAGTTCTCGTCATGCCCCCCGGAACCAATTAACAATGAGTACCAAGGTACCACTGTATTTATTTGAGAATTTCTGAGCAGCTTCTTGAAAGAAAGTAATAGGAAAAACTAGTGCTTTCTTGGATCAGTGTAATCTGCTTTATTTATTTTATCTGTTTATCTAAAATATTTATATAGCCGCCTATATCTTCTAACCTCCATCACTTAATACCATCTATTAATTTTTCAAAAAATAATCTGTGAAGTAACTATCCTAATGATATTAAGAAGCAATAAATTGAAAAAATAAGAAAATAAATTTGCGGACTGATAATTGGGTTTTGTATCTCATGCTTCGTCAGTAATTAAATTTTTCTCAATTTCTTGTTTGACACGTTTCCATATCTTTTTGTACCCCTTCTTTTTCTGTTTCTCCCTTGCAAATTTAAGCAATCTGCCAGTCACTTGTTTTGGTTGTTCTGCGCATGTACAAATTCTCATTTTGAGAGGTAAATGCATTTCTGAGTACCATTTCAGTTGAACTAATTAACTTTAATTCTGGGACAAATTTAATCCAGAGGCTAAAACATATAAGGAACGGTTGCGAGAATTGGGTATGTCTAGTTTAACGAAGAGAAGGACAAGGGGGGACATGATAGCAGTATTCCAATATCTCAGGGGCTGCCATAAAGAAGAGGGAATTAAGCTATTTTCCAAAGCACCTGAAGGCAGGACAAGAAGCAACGGGTGGAAACTAATCAAGGAGAGAAGCAACCTAGAACTAAGGAGAAACTTCCTGACAGTGAGAACAATTAATCAGTGGAACAGCTTGCCTCCAGAAGCAGTAAATGCTCCAACACTGGAAGTTTTTAAGAAGAGACTGGACAGCCATTTGTCCGAAATGGTGTAGGGTTTCCTGCCCGAGCAGGGGGTTGGACTAGATGACCTCCAAGGTCCCTTCCAACTTTACTACTATTACTATTACTAATATTCAAAACCTGACTCCTTTTATAGCGTACACTCTTATAGCACTTTTAGTATTGTGGATTGGTTTTAATTTCTTCATTATGGGTTTGTTTAACATTATTTTATAAATGTTTTTGATGAGATGATTCCTGTAAGATTTGTGTTTCATTGAAACTTCAACTTTTTATAGCTTTTGCTCTCTGAGCAATATAAGTAAAGAAGCTACTAGCCAGGTTGTTATTCCAGAAGGTTAGAAAAGTTGAAATACTGGGCCAAAATTGTTTTAATTAACTTGCTTTCTGGGAACACTAAACCTTTGTGAATGTATTATTATCTCATATGCTTCGACTAATTTCTCATTGACTTTGGGTATCTAAGGAAAAATGGTCAAGGACTGTTTTATCTCTTATCTGCCCATGCAAGTAAATAAGTCACATTTTGAATCATATTTACAACTGCATCTGACTTTAGTAGTGGCTGTAATTTCCCACATCCTTGGATCTCATTTGTGGTTGCAAATTCTTCAATATATGAGGTATAGGACAAAGAATTGAGCTGTTCAGGAGCTACAAATTGTTTATGATAGGAGCTGAATGGAGGCCATAACAACTGGCAATTTGACAGCAATACATGTAGCATTTTGTAGAAATGTCAGAAAAAAAAAATCTCCAAATCCAACTCATCAGAAGGAAGTCTGGGACAGAATTCCTTCTAGCCTCTCTTGTCTCCACTTTGGGAGAGATCAGCAAATAGATGTTGTTTATTTGCACAATCGTGATTTTCATGGAAACTATTGGAGTTTCCTTGACAACCATAGTAGACTCTATTAAATATATAATAATGGAGGTGAGATCAATCACGGAAAGTTTGGTCTTTTTCATTCTCACAGTCCTTCACTCATTCTAGATGGCTTCATATCTCTTTGTATATGGAGAAGGGGACTGTCCTCTTTGTCTGTACAAAGAAAAGCTGAGACTGATCTGGCATTATGGACAAGGCTTCACAAAAGGGAAGAAGAGAAACCAGGAAACCATAGGTTCTAGTCCCACCTTAGACATGAGGGCCAACTGGGTGACTTTAACCCAATCCATCTCACAAGATTGTTGTGAGGAAAATGGAATGAGGAGAATTAGATATGTTCACTGCCTTGAATTATTTTTAAAAGTAATAGAAGGTGAGATATAAAATAAATAAATCAGATGTTTCTGACCTCGCAAAGAAGTTCCACAGTCATTTTTCCCAACCTTGATACTGCATAGGCTTTTAAATCTCTCACCTGGAGCAAAGGTCTAAGCTTACGCAAGCTCTCAGACAAGTTAATGAACGCTCACAAGATCATTTAAAGATATTTGATGATTCTGCATGTGATTTTCTTTTTTTTTAATGCCCAGTCCATTGCGGGATATTTTCTAGGAATGGGAATAACTACTGATACCTATGAGGGTGGTGGAGCTCTGCTTGCGTAAAATATTTCATTTTGTGAAAGGAAAAATATTGTCATAATTTAGACCGTAAAATTGTTCTAAAGCACAAAAATGGTCAAAGTTAAGTAGATCAGATTTCATCATAAACAAAACTAGACCTAAACCTAAACAATGAAAACAATTTGCATTTGAAGAGTGAATAATCTATGGGCTTTTGTTTTTTCATATTTATGGGATGGTAGAAGAAGTGAACAAAGGATGACTACTTTGTATAATTATACATAGCTCTGTATCTAAAATGCTCTGTACCTAATCAGATGGAATTATTGCAAAGTTTATATATATATATATATATATATATATATATATATATATATATATATATATATATATATATATATATATTGCAAAGTATATACCACAAACGTGAAGCCAAACAACAGCAACGCAGCTCACCATCTCAACTCCCCCTGCAACTCAGACTAACCTGAGCACAACAAAGCCCCCACTCAAACAGAACATTCCCCCATCCAATCAGAGCACAGCCAACCCCCCATCCAATCGGAGCACAGCCAAGCCCCTAACCAATCAGAACACACTTCCACCCAATCAGAACACAACCAGGCTCCCACCCAATCAGTTCATACCCCCACTGGCAGTTAAAGGGAAGAAACAGCTACGATCACACACTACTCCTAGAAGCGCGAAGCCGAATGCACCAGCCTGAAGATGACGCCAAGACACTTCCAATTTTACGCGGGAGAAAACCTGAATAACCAAAGACCTACGTGTGTGTGTGTGTGTGTGTGTGTGTTTTCTGAGGTTTTCATATGTAGGTCTTTGGTTATTCAGGTTTTCTCTCACGTCAAATTGGAAGTGTCTTGGTGACATTTCGACAAAGTCCCATTCGTCATCTTCAGGTTGGTGTTTTCAGCTTCTTGCTTCTAGGAGCAATGTGTGATCGTAGCTGTTTCTTCCTTTAGGAAGAATCACACATTGCTCCTAGAAGCAAGAAGCCGAAAACACCAGCCTGAAGATGACAAATGAGACTTCGTCGAAATGTCACCAAGACACTTCCAATTTGACATGGGAGAAAACCCGAATAACCAAAGACCTATATATATATATATCATATCATATCATATCATATCATATCATATCATATCAGTTGTTTCCAACCCGCAGCCTGTGGACTGCATGAAGCCAAGGACAGCTAGTAATGTGTCCCCAATATTATTATGTGATTTATATACATTAATGATAATATATACTTTATATGTGGCCCAAGACAATTCCTCTTCACTCAGTGAGGCCCAGGCAAGCCAAAAGGATGGGCACCCGTGATCTATGTATATGCGAGTAACTCTTTTGAGATGTATCACTCTTTAAGTGCAATTTGAGGACAGCTCAGTTCAATGGCTTTGAAGTTGTCCAGTCTTTCTGAAATAGTAGAATATGCAGGGCTTTTTTTCTCATAGAACGCCCAGAATGGAGTTCCAGCACTTTTTTTGGATGGAACCTTGTAGGGTAGGCAAGGCAGGTTGTATGACATGTGTGAGTTCCGGCACCTTTTTTTTTTTTTTTTTTTAAGAAAAAAAGCACTGAGAATATGTATAACCCTAAATTGGCTTTAAGGCCCAATCAGGTTGACAGAATAGATTGAGATATTTCTTACAATGATTATTTTACTCTATCTCCTTTCAACCCCCCCACCAAAAAAAGCCTGCCCCAACACCAGAGGTCTCCATAACAAAATGGCAGCAAAATAAGACAACTTTTAATATAAGTATGGGGATGTCATCATCACCCACACATTTTCCCTCTGTGCCAATAACTTCATAAATAATTTTTCTTTCCTTTCTTTCAGGTGAAATCTGTAATAAATCTTTTGTTTGCTGCATATACAGGAGATGTGTCTGCACTTAGAAGGTAAAGTCAATATTAGAAGGCAATGTTTGCTTAAGACGGTTACACTTAAATAAAATGTGTGTCTGCTGTATGTGTGTCTGCTGTAATTCTGTGTCTCAGCCATTTTCGATTCATACATGCATGTGCACTTGTCAAAATAAACCCAGGATCAAAGGGGCCTTTTTTCCCCAGAATTAAAGCAATCCCTCTTCCTCCTCCCCTCTCCCCAATACAAAATTCCGATTCACTGAAGTGGAGAATCCTCTCTTCCCATAGAGACAGTTAACCCAATCAATTGGTCAAAGCAATAGGACAAATTTTATTTTATCCCATTTCCCTTGCAGAAGAGAATTACAATTTCTTAACATGCCCATCCATCATCCCTACTCCCCCAAAACTTTCCTCCTCTGTGAAACGAGGAAGACTCCCCAAGTCAAGCTTAACTGCTGTTAACAGCAGACACATACACACACACACTGCTGATTTTCTTGGCAGCAGTACAGAAGTTATTTGCCTTTTGGAGGCACTTTCATTTCCTTCCCAATCTACTACCCTGTTCAAATTGCCTGGGGCTCTCCCATTCAAGCACTGTCTGGATTTGATCTGCCTTGCTGTGGAGGAATCCTGTCAGCCTTGCAAGATAGTCTAGATAGAAAACACAACCAGATGAATTAATTTTACTTTATTGTAAGGCTACATTAACAGAATCCTGCAAGTCTCAAAATGCATCTCTCTGTCTCCGACCCCTATCCCATCTTTACAGCCCAAGAAACTAGGGTGTGTGTGTGTGTGTGTGTGTGTGTGTGTGTGTGTGTGTGTCTCATCTGAGATGTTTTCCATGCCCACATTCCTTTGGCAGGCTAAGCTGCCTCTTGTCTGACCATACTCTTACTGTGGCTCTTCCCTGTAGCTCCTAAGCTCATTTCCACCTATTATTACAAATCTGCCAAGGTATTACCACCCACCGTCCATAGACTGCTTGTCCAGTGGGGAAATCAGTTCAAAGCCCAGCTTGGAAGGTTATATATCAAGTGCGCTGGAAGCTGGAGGTGTGAAGTGGGACATTTGAAGAGGAGAAGAGTCAGATCAAAGAAAAATCTAAGGAAATATGCAGCCGTAAAAATGATGGTGGTAGCTCTGCCTTTATTTTAGCGCTGCCTTAGTTGGTCAGGCTGCTTCTGTCTTACCCCGGTGGTTGAAAGAAATAAAAGTTAATTGATTGGTTGCTCTGGAATGCTTGGAAACTTATTGGGGACTCAGTCTGCCCAAAGGCCTCAGATTTTGCTGAGTTTCATCCAAATAGAGTAAATGCCTTTAAGTTGTCTTTCTATGTGCGGCTGTCTGATGGCTGGATAAGCCATTATTAGTTAAAAGAGGATTTGATAGCAAAAGCAGACTGCAAAAAGAATTTGTGCGTAGATGATAGACGCATTGGGACGGGGAAAGAAAGCATAAAATAGCATAAGGGAGAAAAACACTGAGGAGCTAAAATTAATTCAGTGCTTGATGCAGTTCTTCAATTCCCCTCTACTTCAGCATAACATAAGACTGAAGAAGGCTTCCAGTTTTAATCTGGATTGAACAATAGTCCAAATATTGTGTCCGAGGACCATGCTACAATGCAGTTCCCCACATGGCCACACTTGGAATACTGCATCCAGTTTTGGTCACCACGATGTAAAAAAGATTTTGAGACTCTAGAAAGAGTACAGAGAAGAGCAACAAAGATGATTAGGGGACTGGAGGCTAAAACATATAAGGAACGGTTGCTGGAATTGGGTATGTCTAGTTTAACGAAGAGAAGGACAAGGGGGGACATGATAGCAGTATTCCAATATCTCAGGGGCTGCCATAAAGAAGAGGGAATCAAGCTATTTTCCAAAGCACCTGAAGGCAGGGCAAGAAGCAACGGGTGGAAACTAATCAAGGAGAGAAGCAACCTAGAACTAAGGAGAAACTTCCTGACAGTGAGAACAATTAATCAGTGGAACAGACTGCCTCCAGAAGCAGTAAATGCTCCAACACTGGAAGTTTTTAAGAAGAGACTGGACAGCCATTTGTCCGAAATGGTGTAGGGTTTCCTGCCTGAGCAGGGGATTGGACTAGATGACCTCCAAGGTCCCTTCCAACTTTACTACTATTACTATTACATGGGACCAGTGGAAACAGAGATTCCCTTGGCACCCTGTGGGCTCCATGGCTCCCCCCCCCGACATTTTGGCTTGACTGCTGCCCCTCCCAGTGTGGGAATTCTTTTCCTAAAGGGCAAGTGCTTCATCCCATGGCAGCCAGCTTTAAACAATCCTGATGGACCAAATGTTTAGGAGCAGCTGATAATTTAACTCTGTCATTTGTGATCAGGTTTCTTCTCCTTCCATTTTTCAGGTTTGCCTTGTCGGGTATGGATATGGAACAGAGAGACTATGATTCTCGAACAGCGTTGCACGTAGCAGCTGCAGAAGGTTGGGACCGTGAATAATATCTAAACTAGCTGTTATATTTGGGTATGGGGAATATAATGAGTCTATGCACTTATGTCTTTTTTGTATTTTAGGTCATGTAGAGGTAGTTAAATTTTTGCTGGAAGCGTGCAAAGTGAATCCTTTCCCCAAAGACAGGTGAGCATCTGCATGAAAAGTATAGTAGAGAATTAATTAATTTTGTTAAAAGTGACGCATGCTAGCACTGGCTTCAGAGGCAGTAGGCTGCAAGGAAGTCATACCTTAAAAATCTGATACTTTACACAAAGTGTAATGAAACCTCTGCCTCTTTAAGTTAGTCATCAATTGCATCTTTGGGTACAGTATTGGGGTTGAGATGTGGAAATGGAATAAGCCGTGGACTTATTTACAGAGCAAAATGTAGAATCCTTTGGGTGGGAGATGTCAAGGGATCAAGGCAACAGGATAATAACATATGTGCGTATGTTGGCCTTTGAGTTAGTGTTGACTCCTGTCGGCTGCCTAGACAAGTCCCTACAGCAATGTTTCCCAATCTTGACAATTTTAAGGCATGTGGACTTCAACTCCCAGAATTGCTGGCTGTGGAATTCTGGGAGTTGAAGTCCACATGCCTTAAAATTGTCAAGATTGGGAAACACTGCCCTACAGTTTTGTTGGCAAGATCTCAGAAGTGGCTTGCCATTGCCCTCTTCCTAGGGCTGAGTGAGAATGACTGGCCCAAAGTCACCCAGATAATATAGGGGTAGATCTTAAATAAACACGCTCCAGATTATTATTATTTTGTCAGCATACATGCCTCTCCTTGCAAGTTAACACAGTTATCCCATTTTTATTGAGTACAGGAGGCAAGTCTCAACCGCCTGAGTTCACTAGATTTAAGTTCATCTAAGTGAAACGCTGAGTTGGAATGCCCCACAGTTAACATTCCTGAGATGTGTATGTGTACTTACGCCATTCTTGGTTTACAAAAATTAATCATTAGCTTTAATTTGAATTTCTCCTTTAGTTTTATGGCTTTTCAACATCGCTGCAGACAGACCAGTCTCGTCTAGCATCAATTCATTTAGCAAGTAAAGTTAAAATAAATGAACTTAAAGACCTTAGGATTGGGTCAGTTATATTAAGACTTCTGTTGGTGATAGAACACCACTGTGGATGGAACAAAAAATAATCAGTAGTGTGAATTGTGAAGTGGGATGTTCAGGCCTGGTGCAATTCACATCTTTTTTCTCTCTTTCTCTATTTAGCCATGAACATGAGCTATTTCTTAAATGTCTGCTTCCAAATTATATACCATAATTTTCCTAGAAAAGCAAGGTATTTTAAGAAGCTTCCATTTTAAGTTCAATTGCCATTTGCTATTTAAGAATAGTCTTCCCTGTCTCTATTCTGAACAAAAAATACAAAATATGGAAGTTTCCGTAGTGATCATGAGACACACAGTCTATTTTTGATAAGGCTAGCATGCTTAATAAATCCAGAACATTAAGAAGATGGTAAGGAAGGAAAATACATCTCTCTGAGTTCAAGAGTTTAGTCTAGATTGCTATATATATATATATATATTGCAAAGAATGCCATTTCAGATGTATTCCTGAAGTCCACAAATCCAGTAATTATGGGCAATTGTAGTCTTCATCCTGAGTGAAGCCAACCAGTCTAGGATTCTGGCTAGAATGGAAATCATTAAGCTACCCCATATAATATCTGGAGCCAGTTTGGCATAGTGATTAAGGCACTAGGCTAGAAACTGGGAGACCATGAGTTCTAGTCCTACCTTAAGCACAAAGCCAGTTAGGTGACCTTGGGCCAGTTCTTCCCTCTCAGTCCTAGGAAGCAGGCAGTGACAAACCACTTCTGAAAATCCTTGCTAAGAAAACTGCAGGGACTTGTCCAGGCAGTTGCCAGGAGTTGACGATGATTCAAAGCCACAAAATCAATTAATAATAATAATAATAACCCCAGATTTAACAATTGTTAGTAAGAAAGACAAGAAAGTTTAGACAGTGGATGTTGCAGTATCAAAAGACAGCAGTAGAGAAGAGAAAGAACTGGAGAAAAATCCCAAAATATAAAGACCTGAAAATAGTAGAATGACTATGGCAAAAGAAAGCAAAGATAGTACTAACAGGCACCTTGGGTGCAATTCCACATCATCTGAAGCACCACTTGAACACCATTGGCACTGACAAAATCCCCATCAGTTCATTGCAAAGTCAGCTTTACTTGGAACATCCCACATCCTTGCAATGATACCCTTATACCAGGTTTGGAGGAAGGATGTAATAGGTGGATAAAAATGCCAAATCCAGTCTCAACCCCTGGCTGACTATGCAGCCAACCATAGTAATATCTGGCCTTGTCAAATGACAAGCCACATTGTTGGTTTGCTTCATTATCCAGGATAGGAAGACAATGATCAAGGTATAGAAAGGCAGTATGGGGTTGGGTAGTGAACCTATTAGAAATGTTGCCCTCAAAATCAAAATCGGATAGTTTTCTTGGCTGCTGTGGGGCCTTTTCAGTCACAGTCAATGATATCACTGAAACCCTGATAGATATGTGGGGTAAAGAAATGATTTGTTTAATTGCTCCTGCTTGCTAAATCAAATGGCTTCTTTGGTTTTCCAAGAGATCAGGACTATAAAACAGCAAGACCAAATAATAGACAGGAGAATAAAATTCAGAGGAATTCAGTCAAGCATCAGACAAAACTCATGTTTTGTCTTTAGGACAGAAAAAACAGTTGTTCTTTGCTACCACCATTGTATCCATATAATCATCTCATCATAAAAAGTCAATTGCATCAAGGACCTAGTAAAGCTTAGGAAGACATTGCAGTTGCCTTCAAAGTTGCATTTGCTAGAGCCTCAGATAAAATTGCTCCCGTTAGCTTCAACCTGGACTATTTGGTAATAGCGGGCCCTATAGTACGCCTGTAGTGTTTCCTTGTCCTTCCATCATATTAAAATAAGACTTGACATGCATTCATTCAAACTGAAGATGAAGACAGGATACTTGGTACACCAAACAAATTATGGTTTATCCTGATTAAGCTATCCAAGACTGGTTTGGCCAAGTAAGTACAGAATGCTTCATTGAAGGAAGGAGCTGAGGTTTTAAGAGGTCTGTGGTAAAGAAGCCCATCAAAGAAGCATAACTTCCAGTCAGTCTCCAATATGCAGGGAGACAGGCTCAGCTGAAACTCCGTTTTTGGGAAGCCAGGTGGGAACCCACTTTCCAGGAAGGGTTTTTTTTTCTACAGGCAGCATTCATTTTAGAAGCTAAACAGAGATATGTGTATTCATTAGAAGGGGAGGATGGAAATCTTTGTGTAAATTCATCATCATGTTAACTTAGAGCAGGCATATCAAACTCACGACATCATATCGCGTGACGTATCGGGACTTTTTCCCCCATTGCCGGGGTGGGGGCGGTTTCAGTGTGACGCATCTGGCCTGTGGGCCGGCAGTTTGACATGCCTGACTTAGAGGTTGTTGGAGATTGAGATACCTTTAATGTACCTACCACCTCTTGTTAAAATTGTTTTCCAGATGGAACAATACACCTATGGATGAAGCTTTGCACTTTGGACATCACGATGTATTCAAAATTCTTCAAGAATATCAAGTTCAGTACACCCCTCCTGACAACTCTAGTAACGGAAAAGAAAATCAAACTGTACAGAAAAACCTAGATGGTTTACTATAACACTCTTCTGACTGAGATTTAAAGTTAACGATCTATTTAATTGTGGAAAATGATTATGAGGAGTGTGTTTCTGTTGGATAGTGATGTATATTTTCGAGTACTGCTTTGTTCCAATGTTACAGCAGCTTTGTTTGTTGCACACAAAAAACAATAATTTCTTTTTCAGAAAAAAAAAAACCCAACTACATGCAAGTGATAGAAATTAGTGTTGGCTATACGCACAGGGGTTTTTTTGAGGGGGGTGGGGAGGGAAGGGATAACTCCATGAAGCTTTACTCCACGGTCATACTCATGAAGCTTTTTTGTCCTGCTTGCTGTGTATACATGGATACTTCCTAAGAAAACTGTCAGCAAGTATAGTCGTCATCTTGCTACATTTCGAGATTTGTTGCTGTTGTGGATTCAATCTGACATCTTGGAACATAAAGCACTCAGATGTTTTCCCACAATACCTGCTTACATCATGTAATTTCTTACTGACGGATGCTACCTGGGCTTAGCTCTTGTTCCAAGTGTTTTATCAGGGAATCTTATTTGACCAAACAATGTAGGAGAATGTAAGTAGAGAATACTGCACCTGTAGACTCTTGTCTTACTCCCACCCACCCCCTCATTCAACTGGCTGAAAGTTTTCCCCATGGTGAACTATGATCTGTGGCAAAACATTGTGATCACATTTGCTTTTGGTCATAAACTGTATGTATACTGCGGAACTAGCTGTTGTTCAGTGAAAATGTTAAAACTCATTTATGCTGATGATTTTTCAACTGGGAATTCATCTTTTAAGTAGAAGGTCAATCACGAGGTCAATTTATTTATTTTTTTGCCCCTTTTGCCCTGCCATTTCATTCACAGTGCCACCCTTCTTCACATTTGTCCTTTCAGTTAAAGTTGGCCACATTGACCATTATTTGCTTTAAAACCAAATAAAAATGTTGAAAATAACCAACACATAAAAAATGGCCGTATTACCTAATAGCTTATTTTTCCCTTAGCCATTACAAAAAAAAAAAAAAAAAAACCAAAATTACTTAGTACCTACCAATCTCTTGCAACTATAGTATAGCTTTTTTCTTATGAGTTGTATTTCATAATCTTTGTAGCTCCTGGAGTTAGTTTATTTATACGTCGATTTACATTATCTCCAGTTCAGTTCTGCTGTTGCCTTTCATGGTTTCATCCCCCCCCCAAAAAAATGCAACAGTGAATTTTAAACATTTTATTTATTATCTCTAAAAGTGAGCTTTATTTATACCTTAGTACTACAGTCATCTTACTCTATCTCATTTGTATGTGTGTGTGTGTTTGTGTTGCAGTGGACTGGCATCATTTTTAGCTTCAGGGCAGGATTATCAGTAGCTTTACTGACCTGATGAGCTATTGTGACTGATTTGGCTTGACGTTTGGCTTTATTATAGGGAATAAACCATGATGAATGTATTCTTTGCCTGTCACCATTTTCCCATGACTTAAACTTGAGTGTAACCATTCTGAAGGTAAGATTTATTTTCAGAATTACAAATCCAAATGCATTGCATTTTAAAATAATAAACTGGCAAATAAAATAAAGTTAAATAAATAAAGGTAGTAAACTTGGATTTTTTTTTCACATCTAGTCTGCATTCTGTGGAAGCGTATACTGTGCTGTAAGGTTGTCCTTTGTGGTGCCATTGCCCTAAAATGTCCTTTTTGTCCTTAATATATAAGGGGGCAATCTTTGGTTTTCTAAAGAAGCGTTTGGTAAATATGGAAGGGAGCAATGTTGCCGTTAAGCAGGGCCAGCATAAAAATAGTCCATAGAAAACTGCAATAAATGCACTTTATTAATTACTTGACAATAGGTACGAGCATTACAGGCAACATGACACAAAATACACCCTGCTCTGAAGCACTGCCAATTACTTAGCACTCTGATAATATTTGTGGGTAGAACCTTCTTTCCCTCAATAAGAAAGACCACGTTACACGTGGTTTAACACTATAGAAACACCAACCATGTTTACTTGGATTTCCTTTGCCAATTTCTGGAAAAATAAGAAGATGGGAAGCAGTTGCTAGGGTGCTTAGGCTTGGAAAAATAAATTAAGCCTACCATCTGATGAGTTCAATACGTCGCGCTAAAATTATTTGAAGAGGTCAAAAGGATTCAGGGACAAAGCAAAGGACTTTGCTTCAGGATTCAGGTTACCTCTAAGAAACAGGTAATCACTCTAATTTGACTGGGTCTTAAAATCATAATTATTTTCATGCATGAGGGACCCCTTATTCTCTTATCCCTATTCTCTGCAAATGTAGAACTTTCTGTGCAATTTCAGAGATTTCAAGTTTTACTTTTCCCTTTAATATTTATTGAGAGCTAGAAGCTTGATCCCAGTCTTTCTCCTGAGATCATTGATTACAGTGAGCCAGTACCATCTTATGATCTTCCAAGAGAACTGCATTGTTTTTGTAAACTGGAATTAATTGCAGTATTTGAGTTACTTTTAAAAAGAATGTTAACTTAGCATAGCAATAGCCCTTAGACCAGGGGTCGGCAACCCACCGCTCTGGAGCTGCGTGCGGTTCTTTCATCCCTCTACTGCGGCTCCCAGTCCTCCGCCATTTGCAGTCCCACAAAAAAAAAAAGTGGGATTAAAAAAGTTCAATCAATCAATTCCAACTTCTCACGGAAAAAAAAAAGATCTTGCAAAGTTGGAACTGATTGATTAAACTTTTTTAGCCCCACTTTTTTTTGTGGGACTGCCCACAAACTTTTCTTTTTGGGACTGCATGCGACGGTGGAAGAGATGATGGAAAGAAGGTACCATGTAGGTCTGATCAGGGGTGCGGGGGGGGGGCGGGTTCTGTCAAGCATCTTATACGGAGCTGGGGAAACGGGCTGAGTGGGGGGAGGTGCCAATGCCACTGTCATGAGGCTTTGCAGAGGCCCCCGAGTGGCCATAATCCCCGTTGAAGAAAGCTGCTTTCTGCTGTGCCTCTGCTTTCTTCAACTGCATGAGAAGTGATAAATGAAGGATTATTGGACTTACAAAATATTTTTTAAATTTTGAAAGATTTTTGTTTTGAAACATGAACAGCAAGCTAGGGTTTTTTTGGTTTTTTTTTTTTTTAAGCAGTTAATCACTATCTTTAAAAATTCAGGGAAGATTTATAAATGTGGCTTATTTTATCAGAGCTAAATGATATATTGGGGAGAAAGAGAGAGAGAAAATATATGTGGTTGTCCTTACTGGGGCTTTTAGTAATGTTTAATGAAATATTTTGATTTTTTTTAAATGAAGAGATGAGGTATGGGGATAATTATGCTGTATTTAAAGATGGTAGATAAGCTACTAAAATTGTTTTTACCTGTTGGGATGAAGGAGAAAGGTTTTTTTCCCCCTCTTTCTCCTGTCTTTTTTTTCCCTGCAATTTTTTTCTTTTCTATTTTTCTATTTGTAGTTTTTATAGTTTGCACCGGCTATTACTCTTTTCATTTATAATCCTTAATAAAAATATTTGAAAAACAGAAAACATTGTAATGAGAGAGAGACAGAGACGGAGGCAAAGAAATAGAGAATAACCTGCTAAGAGCCGGGTACGTCCGCCTTGAGAGCAATCCTGCTGCAGTGCCTTGAGTGGAGAGGACAAGCTTCGCTGCTGGGCCATGCCTGGGCTATGCCCTGCCGCTGCCTCCCAAACTCCACCTTCACTGCTGGGGAAAGCCACGATGGCAGGGTGCTCAGCGCCGGGGAGGTAGGAGGGAAAAGCGGTGGGGCGCTCTGTGGGGGGGAGGTAGGGAAAGCGGCAGAGGGCACTCTGTGCGGGAGGAGAGAAAAGCGGCAGCAGGGCGCTCCGTACGGGGGAAGTAGGGAAAAGCACAACGGCAGGGCACTCCGCAGCAGCAGCAGCGGTGGAGTGCTGAGGGGGGGGGAACAGCAGGGTTTTGTGGCTCCCGGTGTTTTTTTTCTGTGGGAAATGGGTCCAAATGGCTCTTTTGAGTGTTTAAAGTTGCCGACCCCTGCGTTAGACTTATATACCGCTTCACAGTGATTTACAGCCTTCTCTAAGCTGTTTACAGAGTCAACATATTGCCCCCACAATCTGGGTCCTCATTTTATGACCTTGGGAGTCAACCTTGAGCACGTGACGATCGAACCGCTGGCAATCAGCAGAATTAGCCTGCAATACTGCATTCTAACTACTGTGCCACCACGGCTCTTCTAAGCCATTTTTTTTTCTAAGCAAAAAACCCTTAGATTTTATTGCTTGAGAGGAATGGGGGCAGAAGACGATTGAAATCATTACCAGTCTCACAAGGAAACTGTTATAGAAATTCATTTTTACCTTTTATTCATCTGAAGGGCAGCAGAGGTTATTGGAACTTACTGACCAACTAGTGTTAGGGGAAGGACCCAGCAACCCGAGAGTAGAATGGTATGGCAGCAATAACTATCAAGCATCTACCCCAAGATAAAAAGATAATTGTTCAGACCCAGAGGCTCTGAAGAGGAGTTAGAGACTTCTACCTTTTCACACACGGGTCCAACTGAACCTAAACAACCTTATATATAAAGCTGTAAATATTGAACACGACACCATGAAAACAGCTACATACAGGATTGCTAGCTAAATATTTTTAGTAGCAAGCAAGCATTTCTGAAGTTTCAAGCTGCTCTTGCAGTAAACCAGTAAATCAAACACAACATTACGAGATATAAAGCCTATGCCAGCTGGCCTTGCCAGGGTTCACGGCGTACATTCTGTACACATCTGTAAGAGAAAACATATATAAGTTAACAGGTTAAAAAAAAAATCTCACCACTATGTTTTGCTCCAATGAGCGTTGCTGCAGCTAAGATAAGAGAAAAAGCCTTTAAGGATAAGTTAGATCACAAGTGCACTTAACATAGAAACAGGGCTGTAATTTTGACTTCAAGTGGAAGGCCCAAACTGGCAGGAAGGGACAACTGAAACAATGTACCTGCAGAATTCATCAATTGCCTTGTGGCAAGGACGACATACCTGTTATCATAGACTACTATGTTTCAAGGATAGCTACAGTGCTTCTTACGCAATTCTTTCTTGGAGATGGCAGGCTTGTTACAAAAGCAGCTTAATGCGTTGTTAGACCACAAAACAACCCGAGTGTTATTTACTCACCATCAGTTCTGCAGGAGTTACTGCTTGTACTACCTCATCGAATTCTTCCGGGGACATGGGCAGAAGGGCCTCGGGGCCAGGCAGTCTGGAAGGGTGGCTGAAGTACGGCAGAAAACAAAAACAATTATTTTTCTGATGAATTGGGACATGATCATTAGTCCTAACACAAAAGAAAATTGTCTCAGTATCACTATTTCTAGGCTTAGCCTGCTGATAACCCTCAATATTGCCTAGAAAACAATTCTCTATTCAATAATTGAGCCTTCTTGCCACACTGAAACACAATTGGCTTGCTTTTGAGCCAGCAGCCTATTCAGCCTGCTATTCTACATCAGTCCCCGAGTTCCTACTGAAATCTATTAAACTTCTCTTTGAGGAGGAGGGCAAGCACACATTCATTTCCTGCGTGAGGCAACACAGAACTTGCGTTTTAGGACTTTCACAAATAAATTCAGCAAGGAGGCAGCAAGGATAAGTACCGTCATTCCAGAGGCATCACTACTATTTTGGCCAATTCAATGTTTATTTATTTATTTTTTTAAAAAAAGGAGAGATGTTGATGTTACGTTTGTGAATATTTTATCCCCAAAGCCATCATGGACAAAACGTGCAGGTGAAGACAGCTGGATTCTAAGGTTGCTACATTTGGTATAGAAGTTCCCCTCCCTGCTAGCTTAAAAGACCCTGCAACACTGAACCTGGCCACAATTCACGGGATTGCATTATCCCAAAGGAGCTGCAAAATAAACATATTAGTTTATGATTCAATGCACTCTACAGGCACCTGTTTAGAGTTTTCTTCCTTCGCTGTCACATAGCAGAAGGTTCCTTTTTTTCTAAAACATTGCATACTGTAGATCAGACATGTCAAACTCGCGACGTCACATGACGTCGCGCAATGTATTGGGACGGTTTTGCCATTGTCATTGCCAGCAATGGGGTGGGCGCAGCTTCCAGATGATGTGTCTGGCCCGCGGGCCAGCAGTTTGACACCCCTGCTGTAGATTATTCATACAACTCCACTCCCAAATTGGAAAACTAACCGTTTCTCTCTAAACCAGTTTAAATCATATGCAAATCTGATAGATTAAATGTCCTTTTGGTTTCCTGACAGATTTAGAGAAGGTGGAATTTAAGGAACATTCTTAACTGAAATCTCTATGTCCACCTACAACCAGCAAGATCATCCAAGGAGACCTGTAAAGAGCTACATTTTTTTTCTTTCACTCCCCAAATCCAGATGTCGCACATGACGCTGAAAGAAATTATTTATTGTATACTAGTCAGAATTACTTGCAAGCCAATTGCTTTAAGGACTTTTATGATGGAAAAGCAACTTAAGCAATATTAAGATCATTACATAAAAACTGGAAAAGGTACAAATGCACTGTGTATATTTTTTTGTACATATCAATAAGCTTAAAGCCTACTTTAGGGAAATGTTTTAAAGCAGCGGTTCTCAACCTGTGGGTCATGACCCCATTTGGGGTCGAACGACCATTTCACGGGGGTCGCCAAACAATGCAGTCCACCATTTATTTTCCCCCTTAGCTGTGCTACTCCCTTTTATTCTATTGGCTTTTGAAAGCCAATAGAATAGACTCTCTTGAATAGAGTCTAATTCTATTGGCTTTCAAAAGCCAATAGGAATTGTCCAGGCTGTCTCTGCCCTGCTGAGCCCGCCAAAAGTCCCATTCTGCAAACGGTGCTGCAAGTTGTCTGCAGCGAAGGCGAGCTGTCTGGAAGTTTCCACCCCTCTCTGCTGAGCAACTACTAAAAATGTAAGTAAAAGAGGGCCAGGGGTGTGAGGTGGGAGGCCGGCGGGCGCAGGGAGGGTTGCTGGCGCGCGTGGGGCCCGGTGGGTGCCTTATCTCCCTTGGGCTGGGCCAGCTGGTGGCCCAGCTGGTGGTCGCCCTATGCCATCGCTGCCCCTTGCCATCTATGCCTCGGCTGGCGCAGGGGGCGGCACCACGCATGTGTGGCACTCCCGGGCAGGGAAAGTCCTTAACTTACGACCGGTTGGGTAGTCCTCGACTTACGACCGGTTGGGGGGTCGCGGCATTAAAAAGGTTGAGAACCACTGTTTTAAAGAATATTTGCAGGAAAGGAACAGTTTGTTTGGTTGCTGTAAAAAGGGCAATGCTAAGAGAAGCCAGGGATGATACAGCACATATGAAACATACAGCCAACAATTGAACTGGGGGAAGCAGAATAGAGTTGACGTGGGAGACTAGCATGTAGCAGTCAAGCAGGAACGGAAAGTACAAAGGAAGGCTATCTGAAAGCAACCAGCCAGCCTTTTCACTGTGAATGCTCTGCTCACCATCCTCCTCCCCTTTAAGTACCCTGACCTGGGACAACTATTTACCCATTTCAATTTCTTTTCTTCATCCTCTCCCCCAACCCACTTCTTCTCCAGTCAATAAATTATAATATTGCCATCAACTTTATCACACACTCAGACACCCCAATAAACTGAGGAAGTCTGATTTTTTTCCCAATAAAAACTCTATTAAAAACCAAGTAGGCACATTATATCATTATCCAAAATCCAAAACTTTATTTGGACATGTTATGCAAGAACAAAGAGTGGTCAAGCGGTGGTAGTGTCCTGCAAACTTGATTATTGGTGCTGGTGGTAGGGAAAGGGAGGGAGGTCCAAATCTTAGCTTCCAGAATCAGCACAGCCATGAACCAAGACCACTGTTCAGTATGCTGGTTCCCAGAGGTCACACTGAAAGTACACAACCACAGCACCTGAGCAGTCTTGGGAAGAATGCTTCTATCCTGTCACAGTGTGACACTGGCCAGAGCTAAAGATGACACCCCAGTACTTTCAAAGTGCACTTTGTTCTCTTCTTGGCAAACTCACACTTCAGATACAGAGATTAGTTCAGTTTTGATGTATCCTTTGGCTTTACCATCCACATCCATGGGTTCCGAAGCTAAAAAGAAGCACACAAAAAGTTTATTTTTGCCATCTGGAAATATCCAGACTAAGTTAATGTCTAGACCAGAACTTTTCAACTGGTAGCCCTATGAATCCTTTGATATTTCAAGGGGCCACTAGTGAAAAACATGTAACATCTGTGTGTGTGTGTGTGTGTGTGTGTACAGCACATGCCCAGGGACCCCCAGATAGTCAACATGTATTATACTGCAAATAGAGTCTTGTTGACACCAGAAAATGCACCACTTACTGTCCCATATCTATTATCAGACATGGAACCATGGGTCACTGGCAGCCTACTTGCCTGGCAGACGGAGGATGACCCTGGCAAATTGTTGATTGACAAGGGACTGTGCTGAACTCTGAGAAGTCACATTACAGCACCTCATAATAATATAACTGATTATTGAGCTGTCTTTTGGTTCTTCTTATGTGACATTCTAGAAAACCTGTATGACTTAAGCAACCCATTGGTCACCTAATACTCCTGAAAATCAGTTTCTCTGTGAATGACACTTGTTAAGAAGCTGCCCCTTGCTAGTATTGTTAATACTTATTATTGCATACAGAAGTCTGGGGTTATCAAAGGGCAATTGCCTCACTGTTTAGTTAATTTGTGGGACACATGTGGGGCATTTTTCAATAGTGAACCAAAAACATCACCTCCGCTAAATGCGATATATTTTTCCTTTATAGTATTTTCAAAAAGCAACTGCAGGGAAGAAACCACGACCTTTCATTATGCAAAGAGATTATTAAAGGATTTCTTGAAAAACCAAAACTGCATGCAACAATATTGACCGACCATCAGGAATTTGCCCAGTTTTTTATTTGGCGGAAGTTAGTCTTGGGTTGAAAGATGATATATTTGTGTGTGAATCATTGGAAGCTACTTCAGAAGGATATGGAAACTGCAGGATGCAGATTTTCCAACCTGGATAGCGAATCCATTAGTCTCAAACACTGCTGATGTTGATGTTGCATTGAAAAAATCATTCATCAAACTACAGAGCAATACAGAACCTCAAGAAAGTTTTAAACGGGACAAACATTGTGATCAACAGTGCAAGCCAAGTATGTAAGTAGCAATATTTTTCACCAGTAATGGGAACCCGGATAGGAGGGGTGTGTGTACATGAGGGGACAGCACTAGTGCAAAATGATTGAGAAATACTGGTCTAGACACCTCTCCCAACTTCTATATCAATTTAGGTAAGTGTAACAAGAAAAAAAAGAAGCTTAATAGATTAAATTCTGGTAATAAGGTAATTTATTCTCAAGGTAGACATAAGCCAAGGCCACTTTTTAAAAACGAAAACTAGCAGCAGCTTGTGTGCAATGCAATGCAGTGCTTTCAAATGAATATTTGCATATTTCATATGGCATCTATCTTATTCCTTGCCCACCCCCATGTCTAGATTCCAAAGAAGTTTTGTCAGATTCGGGGGTAGAAGCACGGAAAACTGAGATTCCTAAGGTAGTCAATGAGGGTATGCAAAAATGGAGCCACACAAGCATGCCCCTCTGGACATGAGACTATTATTCTTGTGAAAAGGCAGGTTGGAGAGACAACTACTCACACTCTTTGTGTCTGGAATAGTATTTTCCGAATGCAACATCTTTGAGAGTGCACGGATACAAATACTGCAGTGGGTTCTCAGGAAAATTCTCTGCTGCCATCACTTTGTAATTGCGAATGATATCTGGCAGGCTGACAGCAGAAAGTTCCTTTTTGGTATAGGGCTCTACAGAGTGGAAGGATGGATCTGGGGAAGATAAATGTTACAAGTTTTTTCAATATATAGTACAACCATCATATTTTTCAATAGTTTTATTTGGGGCTGGCTTTAACAGAAGTTTGGCAATGTAGATATTTATTGAAAACTTTTCCCAGAATTGGAGCAATGGAGGGGTTCCCTCCCCCCTCTACTGTATTTCCATACTATATTTCCCCTCCCCAGCATAGAAGCTGCTAGAAAGTCTGTGGATAGAGGCTGGGAAAATTATGGGATTACCGTTGTTCTCCCTAGCTCCTGATTTATACTTTATAATCTCTTTTAAATTTCTTGCAATCTATAATTTGAATCCTCTCAAGCATCTTTTCTGAAATTCTGTCAGAGAGCACTTCATCTGTGGCAGACCACTGCCATCTTGTGGCCTGTCCAAAACATTGTATTTTCTCTTTTATTTGCTATCTGTTGTATTACTGTGATCCGAGCAGCATATGATATCCTTGTGCACTGAATTGTTTGCATGTTAATACTTACAACAGAGTTTTATTTTAATTTTTTTAAAGTTGTATTTAATTTACATTCTGAGAGATGGCCAACTTCCTGGTGGAAAAGGTAGAGAAAGAGCTGAAACGTACTGAAACTCAGTGCTATAGAATTGGGGAATAACTCTATACACATTATTTCAACTTCTGCACTTTGAATTTTTAATGGCCAGAAAGGCACCACAGGATATCAATCTAATATCTTTTCTTACAAATGGGGTTCTCAATCTCCTAAATAAGATGCATCTAGAAGATAAGTGGCAGTACCAAGAACAACGAAGTTGGTACTTTAATGCAGGAGGTCAGGCCAGTGTGAAGACCATGAGGACATCTGACAAAGAAGCTCCGAGATCTTCAACCCTCCACCCTCTGGGCCTCAGCATTTTACTGCAATCTCAAACATTTACTTGAACATATATTTGTGCAATTCAGGCAACCATGAATTGAAAATAATTTTGAATTTATGCAGTTTTACATGCACAAGCATACGTTAAGGACTGCATTTTGGATTGTTACAGATTTTCCTCCTATACAATATTCTATTAGGGAAGTCTCAGGGCCTAATAGTATTCTCATTCAAATGACATGATTAATTAAATCGCTCTGTGGATTTTAATTTGCTACTTTTCCTCTGGTAGTTTTACTTCTATTCTTGCTTCAGTAAAGGTGGTCCTTGCTACTTTTTTTTTTTTTTAACTGAATCCACTATCTTCTGTTGAAGGGCGCCTGGAACTCAAATTGTCATGGTGACATGTGAAACATTTTGTTGATCTGAAAGCTGCTTTTGAATGCCCTACCTGGCACTATCCCACCAGAAAGGGGCACAGCAGGACCAGAAAAACAAGGCTGGGCTCTCCTAGTGCTCCTGCCCTTCTTGTTGGCACAAAGAAGGGCAGGACAGACAGCCTGCCTGCCTGAATTGTTGGAAGAAAGTTGAGCTCTTGACATGGTTTCTGCCAGTCATTCTAGAAAGAGCTCACAGGCCTCTGGCCTGACTCAATACTTGATTGATTTTTTATCTCTGAATAAATACATAAGAGAGAGATGAAGGGAGAGGGAGAAAGATGTAATACACCAAATTTTGTTATCTCTAATTTTATAGAAAGAAAAATGATATTCATCAACCTTGAGTAGATAAAGGGAATGCTATTGCATTACTCCCCTATACTGTAGAACATGAGATTTTAATAAACGAGAGCAAGTGGATTCATGTTCCATAGAACTGTGGAAATTAATAGGGATTTAACGTACTGGGAGAAACCAGGCCTGAGCCTGTTAAACTGTGATTTTTTTTCCAAGTCGGGAGACAAAGATTCCCTTTCTAAAGTACAAAAGCTCCCAGCATAAAGGGAATTGGCAGGCTCCTCACAATACAAGGCCTTTTCTCCAAGTTTTGCTTACCATTTGCTGGTCCTTCCACCCAGGTGAAAGTGATCGCTCCTTCTCGACTACTTTCACTGAACCGCAAAAGAAACGTCCCAGTCTCCATTTCCTTCAGCAGGATGCGTTCTTGCTCCTTGCTGACAAAGCCCATGATGTGCCTGTAACACGGGGAAGAAGATTCATCTCAAGCAAGGCCTCCTTGTTTTTAAGCGCAGAACTAGGATCTTCCAGAGTCTTTCTGCTGAAAGGAGGAAGTGGGTGTTTAAATATTCAAGGACTGTTACCTGAATGACCCCACTGGCAGAAAGGAGCATTGTTCCCTATGCCAGTCCTCGTCCCTGAGGAAAAAACCGGCCCCAGCACCATAAAGCTATGAGAAAGCCACTCCCATCCCCCCCCATGTACACGAAAGATTTTGATTCTGGAGGGAAAACAGAAGAATTCCAGCAAGGGAACTACAAATAGTCCTTGACTTACAACAGATCACTTAGTGACTATTTAAAATTACAATGGTACTGAAAAAAGCGACTTATGACCATTTTTTACCCTTATTACGGTTGCAGCAATCCCCATGGGCATGGTGATTTACGTTCATAGGCTTGACAACTGATTCACCTTTATGACAGTTGCACCATCCTGGGATCAATGTGACTCCCTTTTGCAACCTTCTGACAAGTAAAGTCAATGGGGAAGCCAGATTCATTTGACAACCGTGTTACTAATTTAACAACTGAGGTGATTCACTTAATTCCTGGGGCAAGAAAAGTCATAAAATGGGTCCAAGCTTGTTGGAATATTCATGAATAGGAAGAGTCATGTGGTAACTCAGTCAGCCAATGGGAAGAAAGTGCTACTGAGTCTGTGCAAAAGAGTATTGAGTTAGGAGCTGGATTTCCAGTCTCAAGTTTTGTCTCTGGTCTGTCTCTGTAAGAAGACTTCATTAAGCTATGTTGCTGTAAAGAAGAATGGTATTGTAAATATTTTCATATAAATATAAAGTTATTTGAATCAGCTAAATGCAGTCAACTGTGACAGCTTCTGATTTAATTTTCACCAATAGAGAAATTAAAATTCTCTAACAGGTTATGGGTCCAGAGCTTACTAAGGACTGCATTGTAATTTAAAGCTGGAAGAAACTGCCTATGTTTAGAACAAGGCAGAATTAGCAGAATGGCTGCAATGGAATTTAAGGAAAGCTGTGTGCCTCATTTGGGCCAAAAGAATTACATTGTGTGGGCGGCAAAAATGGAATGTTTGCTGAAAGCAAAAGAGCAGTGGTATATTGTTGAAAATCCACCACAAGTATTTACAGCTGCAGATCAGAAAAGCCATGATCAAGCTATGACTTATCTCATCTTGAATTTAGATGATCAATTTCTAAATGTTGCAAATTTAAAGACTGCAAAGGAGATTTGATTGAAATTGAGAGCTGTGCACGTGAATGTTTCTGCATGCAATATAGTGCAATTGTCAAGAAAACTTTACAGGGCCTGTTTGCAACCAGGTAAATCTGTAGAACAGCATTTAAATAAAATGCAAAGTTTATTTTTGGACTTAGAACAACGTGGAATTAAATTCCCTGAGTCCCAGAAGGTTTTATTGGTGTTGAACAGTTTAGATAAAACCTGGGACACAGTTTCTGCAATATTTGAATGCAAAGAAGAGCAAGACTTAAAGTTTGAGGCTTTAAAGCAGCAGTTCTCAACCTTTGGGTCGCGACCCCATTTGGGGTCGAACGACCATTTTACGGGAGCTGCCAAACAATGCGATCTGCCATTTTTTCCCCTCAGGGGGCAGCGGTGCCATACATGCGTGCTGCGCGTGGGGGGGGGCTGCGCATGCACGCTGCGCATGGGGTGGCGCCCATGCATGCCGCCGCGCATGGGCAGCCCCGTGCATGCATGCCGTGCATGGGGAGGCGCCACGCATACGCACCATGCATGGGGGCGCTGCGCATACAAACCACGCATGGGGGAGGCGCCGCACATGGGAGTGGCGCTGCGCATGCGCGCTGCGCATGGGGGTGGCACCTGCGCATGCCACCACACATGTGGCGGCCCCCGTGCATGCATGCTACGCATGGGGGCGCCGTGCATATGCACTGCGCATGGGGCGCCGTGCATACGCACCGCACATGGGGAGGCGCCGCGCATGGGGGCACCGCACATGCGCGGTGCTCCTTATGATCGGGGGTCGCCATATAAAAAGGTTGAGAACCACTGCTTTAAAGGAAAAACGCCATTTTAAAAGCAGCCACGAGGAGAAATGCCTGAGGAGGGGGTCCAGACTGCAAGTCTCCAGACCCGGACCAAATTGCAACAAAAGAGAGATTTTGCAAGCAGAGAGCTTTGCAAGGAAAGAGTTGCTACATTTGTGGAGCGAAGACACATTTGCAAAAAAAAAAAACTGTTTGCAAAGGAACAATTTGCAGCAAAGGACATTTGTGCATGCAAAAAGGACTGCTTTGCAAAAGGAACATTTTGGTGTTGCAAAAGTTTGCAATAGCAACAACAGAGACAAGTGGCTAATTGATAGTGGGGCAAGTCAAACAATTGTTAATGACTCTGAATTATTTTGCAGGTTTGTTCCAGTAGCACAAGAAGCTGTGGCTTTGGCAAATGGCCAGAAAGCAAAAGTAATTGGAAGAGGCAATGTAAAAATTCCATATTTGGAATCAAAGTTTACCAATGTGCTTTGTGTACCTGAGATGGAACATAATTTGTTAAGTGTGTCTAATTTAGACAAACAAGGTTTTGAGGTCATTTTTGTAAATGGGAAATGTCTCATCAAAAGAAATGGGAATATTTGTGCAAAAGGCATAAAGGAAGATAATCTATATGTATTGCAGGGACAAAAAGTTCAATGTTCCCATATATTTAAGAATGTTGCAGAGCATGATTCATGTGTTCATCTTCTGCATAGAAGACTTGGCCATGCAAGCTTTAAAGTTTTGCAGCAAATGCAAGATTTTGCAGAAGGGCTAAATTTGAAGGGATGCAAAACATATTTGGACTGTGCAGTATGCAAAGCATCAAAGTCAAAGGCATTCCCAGTTAGTAAATGTAGCATAAGACAAACAAAAAGAGTTCTAGAGCTGGTCCATGCAGATCTGGTGGGACCTATGCAAGCCAGTTTGGGAGGAGCAAAATATGCCCTGGTAATTGTTGATGATTATAGCAGGTATTCATTTTGCTATTTGCTTAGAGCAAAGACAGAGGTGCTACAACAATTCAAACAGTGGGTAAGTTTTGTAGAGAGAAGGTACAGACAACAAGTGTGTCAGTTGCAAACTGACAGAGGTACTGAATTTATGTCAACTAAATTCCAACAATGGTTGGGGCAGTTGGGGATAAGACACAGACGTACAAATCCTTACACAGCAGCAGAGAACGGTGTAGCTGAAAGAAGGAATGGTGTTTTGCAAACAATGAAAGATTCATTATTGGAGGCTTCTGGTATGAGCAGGTCATATTGGGGAGAAGCCATATTGACTGCCAATTATATAGTTAACAGGCTGTGGAGTTCCTCCATTAATAACACTCCATATGCCATTCTATATGGGACATTTGAGAATTTTTGGAAGTACTGCATGGGTACATATTCCAAAAGTAATCAGAAGAAAGGGACAGCAAAAGGCAAGAAAGCTCAGGTTTGTGGGCTAAGAGCCAGGGTCAAAAGGATATTGCTTTAGCGATGGAAGTAAAAGAATTATAATTTCAAGGTCTGCTAATTTTGCAGAACCAAATTGGGACAGAATTAATGCAAATTCTGGGCATGTCTCACTTAATGACGGCGATCTGTTTAGTGACAATAATTCATCTAATGATGAAAAAATCATTATTGAAGATGTCCACGTTCGGGGAGGAGAGGCTGAACAAGACGTGAAGCCAGAAAGACTTGAGACACAGGAGCAGTTAATACCACGTAGGTCAGAGCGATGTAACAAAGGAATTCCGCCTGACAGGTATTCTGCCAGCAAGGTAAAGGTTTGCAATGTGTGGTATGAGCCAAGAAGGTATAAAGAGGTGTTGGCATTACCAAAAGGTGAACAAGAAAGATGAAAGGAGGCCATGGATAAAGAGATGAAATCCATGGGAGACCATGAAGTATTTAAATCAGTGACTTTGCCACAGGGAACCAAAGCTGTGGGTTGTAAGTGGGTATATAAGAAAAAGGAATTGCCAAATAATGATGTACAGTATAAGACTAAGTTAGTGGCACAAGGTTTTTCACAATTAATGTATTAAGTCAATAGATCTGATGTCTCTTCCTGTCATGAAGGGAGGAGTGTTGGAATATTCATGAACAGGAAGAGTCATGGGGTAACTCAGTCAGCCAATGGGAAGAAAGTGCTACTGAGTCTGTGCAAAAGAGTATTGAGTTAGGAGCTGGATTTCCAGTCTCAAGGTTTATCTCTAGTCTGTCTCTTTAAGAAGTCTTTGTTAAGCTATGTTGCTATAAAGAAGAATGGTATTGTAAATATTTTCATATAAAGTTATTTGAATCAGCTAAATGCAATCAACTGTGACAGCTTCTGATTTAATTTTCACCAATAGAGAAATTAAAATTCTCTAACAAAGCTCACTTAACAAATGTCTCACTTAGCAACGTAAGTTTTGGACTCAATTGTGGTCGCAAGTTGAGGACTTCCCTGTAACAGTTCTACTTTCATTCTAACTAAAGTCGCTACTGGGAATTCTGCCAAGATTAATGCTCGGTAATTTACTTTTCCTTCAGGCAGCTGCCTACATCTTGACAATTTTATGCTCCACCATTAAAAAAGCATTTGGCCCCATTTGTGGGTTTCGTGATAGAGAAAGATTGCTGTTAACCTCATTAAAAAATGGTCTTTTAGACTTTGCAGAAATCTACAAGCGCTCTTAAAAAAAATGGAAAAACACTATAATGGTGACAATAACTTGATAATCCATCCCAGATTAGTCTGAAACTCCCATATTGTTTTTCTTCTTAAGCCTTTTTACATGCAGCAGGGATAGGGAACAATGCTCCCTTCTTAAGCGCTATCAGAGCATAACACAATGAAACTCCACGGGTTCCAAGTAGAATCAAACTCATATAGAAGAACCTGGTTAAGTTGCCATAAGCAAGGAAGTTTCTTTTAGGGCAAAGAAAGCAGAAGGAACATTCATTCCTTTTCCTTGCAACAGCGTTGCCTACACTCTCCAAATCTGCTTTGCAGCCTCAAATCTGAAGAAGAGATTTTCAAAGCTAATGGGGGGTATGGTGAAGATTAAAAAAAGTTAAGGAAATCACATCGAGCAAGCAGAAAAAGAATTCCGTTCACACAGTACTACAGGATTCTTCCTTTTACGGTTTTTAAAATGAATAGGGCCCAAGTGGGTCACTTTGTCTGCACTGCTGAATGTAAATATTGCTAGACTTCAATATGCCCTGAAGCTCAACTGAAATCATTCCAGACTCATCTGGTTTTCTATTTGGACCCCCGAGGAAAAGATGCTTACCCGTCATTCCAGAGGTGGAGCAAGTGTTTCCTAATCAGTTCAAGGATCCCTTCAATCCACAGCCAGAAGGGAAAGTTTTTATCGTTCACGTTTTCCTGAAATCAAGAGAGACAAAAAGCTTGGGGTGGTAAAAGTTACCCACCGATCTAGCATATCTCGTTTTTAATTTCCACTTCTTGTCACTTCCTTGGTGTTTTCACATTTGCCCGCTTATTTTCCTGAATATTTGAAATGGGGGGAGGGTCCCAAATTATTAGAATGGATAAATTACAGCTTCAAGGCTTCCATTATCCCATAATTCATTTCCTTCCATCTTTCAAACCCTGTTCCCTAGAATGAATCACAGACTGTGGAGTTCTTGATGGGTTTTTGGTTGGTTTTTTTTTTTCCAGACTTTTTGTTACTCGCCTAGATCAGGGGTTCTCAACCTTGGCAACTTTAAGACTTGTGGACTTCAACTTCCAGAATTGTTCCAGAGTTGAAGTCCACAAGTCTTAAAGTTGCCAAGGTTGAGAACCCCTGGCCTAGATAATTCATCTTCAGTGAATTGACCTCCCCAAAACACTGAGTGCATGTAAGAGCTAAAAGCTTTCTTACCCTTTGTTTGCAGTTTGCAAGAGACACTTCCTATGCAAGCTTTCTTTCTCCTGAGAAAGTCCCCAAACATTACAGGCTTTCTTGACATGTCATGGGAAGCATCTATTTGCCACATTGGAGGTCCAGCGGGACACCAGCTTCTCTTCCAGGTATAGTCTTCCATGGCAAGCAACCACTAATGTGGAAGACAATTCAGTAGTCCCCATGGAAGCGCTGGGAAACCGGTGCTCCTCCAGATAGTGTTTATATGGATGCTTGTAAGGACTGTTAGTTGTGGTAGGAGTTCTTCCAATTCCAGCTCTGTTCTTTTGCCATCCATTAATTTGTTCCAAAGTCAGTGTCCTAATTCTTGCCATAACACTAAACCATAATGGATGGGTTTCTACATCACATGAAACTATACTACTGCATACATAAATTGGAGCAGTCTATGACCGTGTCTCTACATTGATGGAATATAACCGTTCCAAACTATTCAAGACCAACATTTTTGTTCTTACCCCAGGTATGATTCAGCCAGAACCAAGAATAATTCAGATGCATTCTTTTAGAGTAGGAAGAAATCCAATGAGCAGTACTTTATATTAAAGTTACATTAAACTCCATAACATTAGCTGAAGAACAGCAACTCATACCTTGCAGAATCGTGCCCATGAAATCAGGCCATCTGGAGTACATCCATTTGCTAAAACAAACAAACAAACAAACAAACCCCAAGACATTTCCATCAGGTCACTTTGACATTTATGCATTTACACTATACCAACGTAGAATGCGATGCTGCGATTAAATCACATGCAAAAATTGTATTCTGAATTTTAAGTACCGTATATGCTGGCATACAAGGCGACCGGTGTATAAGACGACCCCCGTCTTTATAGCCGGGCCGCATTCCTAGAACGTCGTCTTATACGCCGGAAACTACCAGTATTTCCGGCGTATAAGACGACTTGGCGTATAAGACGACCGTCTTTGGTGCCGATTTCAGCGCTCGCGGAAGTCGCCTTATACGCCGGCATTTACGGTATAACCATCTAGAAAAGGTTTGAGGAACATACGGCTTAAGGACTGCTTTCCTCAACTTGTCCCCATCCAAATGTGCTGGATGACCAAATACCCAAAAGGTATAAGAAGTCTGTTCAATTATTAGTGCAATGTTCACTATTGACTGTGAAGGATGTATGGGAAATGATTTTGAAATTTAGGTTTCGTAAATGTGGAATCCTCACTTCAGCATTTCCTTGGCTTGTGCACTTTGTTTTGTTATTATCCTGAGAGGAGGTCTACACATTCTCCATCCGAAAAAAATAAAAATAAAAATTAAAACCACATGGTTAAGAAGCAGGGGAGAGCTAAAACCTCTCATCACCATATATCCTCTTCGCTATATAGCCAAGAGATTCTACTACTGAAATTATTTTCATCTTTTTCATTTTGATCGTTTAATCGCTCAAAAATTTGTGCAGAATGCAAGAACCTTGTTTCTTACACATTACAAAATGGACAAAAGATGAGAGGCTAACTCAGGGATAGGCAACCTTGGCTCTTTTATGACTCGTGGACTTCAACTCCCATGCTCAGGAATTCTGGGAGTTGAAGTCCACGAGTCATAAAAGAGCCAAGGTTGCCTACCCCTGGGCTAACTGAAAGATAGGTGGAGGCAGCAGGAATAATCAAGGACTAGCTATAAAACCAGAGGCAGAGTGAAGATTCAGAGGGCTTCTGGAAGTGATGATTTGAGTTCTGCACAGTTTTTCACACTCTACAGAGAATTAATAATGCCACTTACGAAGCAACTTCTCCCCGATCATGTTCAGCTGATCTGTACTGAGTCCCCTTTTTGTGACAGAAGAAAACTGCCAGCTCAGCACTTCAGAAAGTTGTGACCATCTTGCACATGGCGGATTAAGGAAGAAGGACAAATTCTAAAATGGAAGCAGATTAGGATATGTATAGTAAATATCCCCCACCTTTCTTTCAAGGAGCTCAGGTAGCATCTCCACTTTCCTGCACTTCTGTGAGGTGGCAGTTGACAGATTATCTACTGACTTTATGCTCCGTAAGTAAACTTTTTTGGCAGCTGTGTCTGGGCCCAAGAATGGCTTGTCCCACCTCCTTACCCATAACCCTCCAGAAGCAACTTTTTAGGAATGTCTTCTGGAAAGACTATTACTCACTTGAATATGGCACCTTTAACAGCTGCTGTTAGGTTTTATGTTTGTAATATGTTTTAAAACTAAACTGAACTGACCAGACCTGACTGAAGACTAAGCTGGATATAAAGGCTTTAAAGGAATAACAAATAAATGGGGACAAGCTGAACGTCACTCAATGAGCTTCAGGACTGAGATGGGATCTGAATCTACATCAGCACAGTCGTACTCTGAAATTCTGTGAGACATTCCCAACTGACAATCTCCAAAGTCTCCGATTTTTAACTTCCATCATTTGAAAAAAAAAACAATAGACAAGTGAAGGGCAATCTAATTACCATACAGTGGTGTTTGCAATTGGCTGAGGTATGACGTCTAAGTAGGAAGCCTTGCCACCCAAAATGCAAGCACTCAGATGCTACAAAGAGCACTGTTAACCTGACCCCCCCCCCAAAAAAAATCTAGGATTGCATAAAAAACCAAGGGAAATGTTGACCACTCAGTAAATCTACACCAGGGATCCCCAACCCTGGAGCTGTGGCCTGAAACTGGGTCATACAAGTGGGGGACAAGCCGGTGAGTGCACAAACCTCCATTTATGCAAGCAGAAAGCATGCCTGCCATTTGTGCAGAACCATCCCTTCTCCCTCCACCACCGGTCCGCAGAGCTGGAAAGGTTGGATGGGGACCGCTGGTCTAAACCAGTGGTTCTCAACCTGTGGGTCGGGACCCCATTTGGGGTCGAACGACCATTTCACGGGGGTCGCCAAACAACGCAGTCCGCCATTTTTTCCCCTTTTCCTTAGCTGTGCTACTCCCTTTTATAGACTCTCTTGAATAGAGTCTAATTCTATTGGCTTTCAAAAGCCAATAGGAATTGTCCAGGCTGTCTCTGCCCTGCTGAGCCCGCCAAAAGTCCCATTCTGCAAACGGTGCTGCATCAGTTGAGTAGTCCTCAACTTACGACCGGTTGAGTAGTCCTCGACTTACAACCGATTGGGGGTCGCGGCATTAAAAAAGTTGAGAACCACTGGTCTAAACCAACCCATGATGCCAAAGCAAGCAGTATTAACAAGCCTAAAACCAGACACTAACCAGACACTAACACTCAGTAATCAGACAGTTGTGTTTTATTTGTAGAAGAAGAAAAAATCAGTAGAAATTTCTATACTTCCTTGTACGCAATTTCAAAATCAGAAAACTCCGCTCTTATTAAACAATATCAAAGATTGGAAGGTTCCTGTATTCATTTTACCTAAAAACAAAACAAAAAACACCCGGGATATTTTGGCTTTCCCCCCCAAAAAACTGTAATATTTTAGAATATTCCAAATTTTGGAAATATAAATGATTTGGTAGGAATAGGCATCCTCTTCCAGGAAACAACCATTTTTACCTATATAATTATAAATCAAGACATTTGTCAGTATCTCCTCAAAATGCCATATAAACATCAATTTTGTAATAATCAGATGAATGTAATAAGCCATATTTTTTGCTGAACAGAAAAAAGCAATAGTGCACCTATTTGATCTGATTAGAGAATGTATATTTTCCTATCAAAGATGAAACCATTTTTATGATATAAAATGCTTCCAGTGCAATCTTATATACAATGTCATAAATTCCCTTATGTTCAACAAGACTAAATTCCCTGAAAAAGCGTTTATGACGGAGGCTTTAAAGGGAGCCAGCCTGAATGCAGTGATTCTTAGCAATTTCAATCTTAGAAAACTTGTTTCTTAAGTTACCTTCGGTTCGTTTATCAGCATATTGTACCATAAAATAGAAGCCCATCCACTTGGTAATTGGCTGACATTTGAGATCACAACAATTGGAAGGGAAAGGGTCTGGAAAGGAAAAATTGCAGAGACAAGTTAAGTAAATATTCATAAATGGTGAATTCTATCTAAAAGCAGAAAAAATGCTAGGTTCACATATTGTATCACACGGTCATGGCTTTTTAAATAGTTTTGAATAAGCTAGGGGTGCAAAACCACTTTATAACTAAAGTAAACTGTGAATTCAGCCAAAGCTTCAATCCAACCTTCTCCAAATATTAGGCTTTTAATTCCATCCTTCACTGCCAGACAGAGAAGAGGAGAATTATGGTTCTAAACCAACAGAATTGAATGACATAAGTTTGACATCAGACTGAAAACCACCCAACATACAACAGTGTCATTTCATCATCAGAGCAATTCGGGATTTAAACAAAAGAGATTTGCATCATCCAAAAATCTGAGCAGCAGCTACAAAGAATAGAGTAATGAAATAATGAAAACTAATTAGGAGGTCACAGTGAACACCTTTAGTCTAGCCCCAAAGAAGAAACAGAGTTTTGGGCTTTAGCTCTAAAACATCCTACACCAATCAATCCACTAAGCCAGGCTGTCAACTTTGAAAATTAGTGTGGCTCATTTTCCTACTCATTTTCAGTTGACACATAAACGAAACAGCTTTTCTTCTGTGGGAACCAAGGCTGGGCATTTCATGAAAAAACTCGCCAAGATGTATTGGGGAACGTAGTAGCTTGCATAGATTTAGGGATGGGATTTCTTAACTTTGTATTGGGGATTGTTATGTGTCTATTCAGACTTGGTTTCACTTTTGATGAGCTGACACTTTGTAACTAATAAACATGTTCTTTGAGGAACTTGTAAGCCTCGGAGTTCTGCTTTATTTGTCTCTGTCTGTCGAAACCAAGACACAAGCAAGGACAATCTGACTTTAGGTGTAAGTCTGCTTTAACCACTAAGGACCCATTTTTCCTAAATCACCATGCCAAACTTTTCTTGATTTTACTTAAGACTTATATCAGCATCATATAATACAGCAACAAGGACTGTACGTTAGCGAAGCAGCGATTGCAGCCACTATTACTTCAGTTTCCATTTATTAATTGAATGAAATGGATAATGGATGAAAACAACCAAATGAACAAAGAGTAACCATCTAATTGCTTCTAACCATCTAATTGCTAATATGGCATCATCTCACAAACATAATTATTAATTAATTGGCACCAATTACATTAAGAAGTTTGACACAATAACTCATTCTGTCATTTGTATAACACTGACATACACACCATAATACAACAGCTTTCATAATATTGTATCCAATGGTACACAGCAGCAAACATTTTGGTGCTTTTTATATCAATGAATATACACTGTGCAATTCCCAATGTTTACAGGCAACATCAAGGGGGAAAGGAATAAAAATTTTTAGACTATCTTTATGCAGAGGACTGTTTAGTAATGACCTATAAAGCCCTACATGGCATGGGGCCAGGTCAGATGAGGACTATCTATCCTCAGTTACATCTACCTCTCCCATCAAGTCCAACAGAAGAGACATGTTTATGGGTCCTGTCTAATAAGGAATGTTATTGGACAGGATCTGAGAGGATAGCCTTTTCTGCCATGGTGCTCGCCCTCTGATGTTAGATCAGCCCCATCCTATTGGACTTTGGAAGAGTCTGATGATGGGTTTCCTATGTCTGACTAGGGATTTGATAGTGAAATGCAGCCCATAAAATGGTTATAACATTGTTTTTAAGATGCATTGCCCTCTCCTGTAGATTATGTTATGTTTTAATGGTTTTTAGAATAGAATTCCTGATTGGACACACAAGGAATTTGTCTCCAGGACATAAACTCTCAGTGCACATACAGACAACAGAGTGATAAGTCATAGATCATAAATCATCAGATACAAACAATTGATAAATAATAATATGCCAATAGGAGAAGGCAGTAGGAAAGATGAGAGATGAGAAAGGTGAGAAGATGAGAAAGACGGCAATTTTAATCAAATTAAAAATTATTTCAGTTGTTTTGTTCATTTGCATTTTTACTGTATGAGCCTGCTCACAGACAAAAATGTGAGATGGGCAAATGAATAAATCAACAAACCCGTGGCCCTAAAGCCTGCACCTTGAGTTTTGCAGTCCTTGGAAACCCTTAAGACTGTTGAAAATTGGTAGCACAGAGCTTCCTGGTATTTTGAGCTGAGAAACTAATAAACATTGTTAATAATCCTAGAACAGTTGTATTAGAGATGTGTCACCTACAAGTGAAATGACCACCCTTAGTGATCTTCAAGCTTCCTTCAAATGTTAAGTGTGGCCCTTGGCCACCAAAAGATTACCCACTTATGCTTCTGAAATGAAGTTATTGATCTGCTACTCTATGACTTAATTTTTTTAATCTACTTACTTCCAATTCAATTGCAAGGCCGTTCTGTTCCAATTTTGTCTCAAAACAGAGGGAATGGAGTTCTTCAGTTACAATGAGAGGACCCTTAAAAATAAGAGAAGAACTTTAGCTTAAATGTACTTAACTAATTTTAGCTATTTGACAGCCTTATATTTTATTTTAATATTGCAGCACATTTATAAAATAGCTTATCTATAAAAAGAGAAAAAATGCAATCCCAACTGAAATTAAGTTCAGAAATTAAACAACCCCTTCTAAACTATTAAAGCAGCATTTATCATCTGGAACCTTAGAAAGAAGAATGAAACTTATTAAGAGGGAACCTGGGCTAATAAATTGACTTTTAGGGCTTTCTTTAGGGCAGTGGTTCTCAACTTTTCTAATGCTGTGACCCCATAATACAGTTCCCCATGTTGTGGTGACCCCCAACCACTTATACATCACCGGGTGCCAGGGGCGTGGCCAAAGAAAAGGGGGAAAAAATGGCGGACAGCCTTGTTTGGCGACCCCGTGAAATGGTCATTCGACCCCAAATGGGGTCCAGACCCACAGGTTGAGAACCACTGCTTTAGGTGCTAGCTCTGACAGCACCAATTCAGTTTCCAATAACAAGGCATTCTATCATCTATAGGGGTCAACTAATTAGTTACTTTGTTAAAATTTATTAGCTATGGGGTCATTACAAGGACAATCCCTTTCATTTGATGTATGTATCAAAGAAAGTGAGAAAGAACTACCTTGATCCTAAAAGTGTAAGCAGCTTGCTACTAATGCAAGGTGCTCTTAAAGAAATTTGAATGATTTTTAAAATGGGATAAAAAGGAATCCCAATTCCAAACTGACTAAGAATTTATATCTACATTAAATAGCCCAAATCTTGGGTTTGCCTTAATTCAGATGAGAATTCCACCTATCTATGCCATCTGGAGTATTAAAATTTTGCATCTTGTTCCTGAGATGGACCTCAGAATTCCTGTGAAATCTCACTGGGGATCTCTCCTGTTCTAACTTACTTGCATGTTCAAAACCAAAAGATTAAATCCTTATTCTGCATTGGGGTCTCCAAGCTTGGCAACTTTTAAGATTTGTAGACTTCAGTTCTTAGAATTCTCCAGCCATTATGGCTGGCTGAGAAATTGGGAGTTGAAGTCCACAAGTCTTAAAGTTGCAATTTGGAGACCCTTGTTCTACGACGTGAAAGGTTGAAAAGCAAGAACCTGTGAATCTGTTGCTATTACACAATTAGTGATGCAGTTATTGGCTTTTGTTTCTGCAGCATAGAAATCTAAAACACAGAATTCTGATTTAGGAGTTTTTAAATACATTCACTGAAGTGCTAAGGCATATTTTCCTTACCTCATTAGTTCTTGAAACATTCTTTTGCTCTTTTAATTGCTACAAAAGAAGAGAATTTGGTTAAACCACATACCACTCAAGCTTTTGACGTATGGTTCAAAAGCTTCCTATTCAGTGTAGCCCCTTTCACTATCTTTCATATATTATGGCTCCATTTCTTCACACAGGAGCATCCCACACAAAACCATTCCAACTATATAGGCAACTTTTAACAATTCCCCTTCAATCCCACCAGCCTGAGATTCACCAAGAGGTTTCTAACAGGAAGCTAAATTACAGATGATCTTATTGATTATTGGTATTATAAAAGTGTATTGTGGAGATTTTGATTTTCAAACCATTTAAACTGCAGAAAGAAGAATGTGAAGTATCGTGACAGTAACTCTCATTCTTACTATTTGAACTGGCAGATATTAGTGAATTGGATTCTTTTCAAAAAGATTGCACTTCATCTCAAAGGATAAATATGTTCCACCCTGGTGGTGCTGGATCTGGGTTAAAGACCATCTCCTGAAAGTTTAGATCATGCCTGGCTGCTGTGTATTTTTATTTTATTTTTTTATATTATTTATGTTGTGTTTTATTGTAAGCTGCCTCAAGTCACATAAAAGTGAGATGGGCAGCTATATAAATTAAATAAATGGGCTGTCACACATGAGACATGAATTATGCACGGCAGCTAAAAAGACTACAGGAGCGTTTAACTAGAAGTTAGTATCTCAGCTATCCCTTTTGCTTATAAATATTAGACCTGCTGAGTATTTTTAAAGTCATGATATAGAAAATCTGAGCAATTTGATTATCTGTGCACAGACTGCAATAATATATCTTTATAACCTTTTGGTTTTACTTCAACCTATCTCTAAACTACAACAGATTTGTAAATTATCAAAAAGAATGAAAGACGCTTTCATTTAGAGCAGTGGTTCTCAACCTTTCTAATGCCGCGACCCCATAATACAGTTCCCCATGTTGTGGTGACCCCCAACCATTTATACATCACCGGGTGCCAGGGGCGTGGCCAAAGAAAAGGGGAAAAAATGGCGGACAGCCTTGTTTGGCGACCCCCATGAAATGGTCGTTCGACCCCAAATGGGGTCCCGACCCACAGGTTGAGAACCACTGATTTAGAGAATGATTTAAAGATAAATACTATGCATTTCAGACCCCAGGTAATACATGTTCCCAAAGGTTTGACAGACTACTGAAAAAAAAATCTGTGAATGTGCCCAATAACTGATAAATTGCTAAGAGAATCATGTTATGACATTTTTTAATCTAATGCAGTAGTTTACAACTGATTACTTTAAAAAGTAAAACATCTACTATAATGATACTAGTACTACTGCAGATTATAATACAAGAGTGGATGTGATTCAACAAACAATGAATGTTGAACCAAATTAATCCCCATTTATTAGATCTCTATTCAAGGAAGCGGAATTCAATTCTAAAGTGTTCGCTCTGGGTCTAATTCTACAAAATGGTAAAAAGCATAAAGATTAAAGCGGGACGAAAGGAAGAATGACAAAAGTGCAGAGAGAACTTGAATCTTTGAGTCCACTCAAAGAAGGATGAGCTGTTATTTCTTTTCAAAGTTGTATGAGACAGAGCGAAACCCAAATCTTAATAGCAATAGCACTCAGACTTATATACCATTTCATAGTGCTTTACTGCCCTCTCTAAGCAGTTTACAGAGTCAGCATCTTGCCCCCAACAGTCTAGGCCCTCATTTTACCGACCTTGGAAGGATGGAAGGTTGAGTCAACCTTGAACCAATGAGAATCGAACTGCTGGCAGTCAGCAGAATTAGACTGCAATGTGCATTCTAACCACTGCACCACCACGGCTCTTAATTATGAACGTCTCGCCCATGTCCTCATGAATGAAAAGCATGGTCAGAGAACCATCTGTAGTATAAATTGACAACCTTGTCTCAATCAGGAATCACTAGGATAAAGTGCTCTTTCAACTGGAGTTGGCTGTTTTAGTGGAGTACATGGCAGGGGTGTTATTTTTCTTATTACGTTTTTTTTTTATTTCTTGTTGCCATTTCTCTCTAGATTTGTATTATTACTCTGCTCAGTGCTACCCAGAGTTTACAGATTGGGACAGGCTTCAACAAGTTTAAATAGCTTTAAAAACAAGCAATACTTAAGTGCAAAAAAAGATACCTAGCAAGGAGACAAAACCACTTCAGCATTATCAAACCACACACAAATACCACAAACACCTCACCAGATGTCTAAATTCTGCTGATAGGCTCCCATTCGACTCTTCCATATTCATTACTTTGGTATTTGTTCCCAAGATGTTAAATTTTCTAAATCTATAAACAAGAACAATAAAAACAAATGACACAACCTTCTTTGATATTTAACAAAAAATGCAAGAACAGGCACAAACTGACTGAACATACCCTTTCACTGTGAGTTTCTCGCTGACATCTCTGCAAAAGAAAAAAAAAAGTCAGTTTACGAGTGACAATCTTTCTATGGGGGATTTCACAATTATACCACAGCATTCTCCCCAAATTGTTCCATTAAACTGCTTGTCAAGTTATCTCTATGTAATCTGGAAACATTTCCACTTTTTTTGTTTCACACTCAGCTGCTCAGATTAAGGACACTGTGAAATCTGCAGTTTTACAGTTTTCTGTAAGCTTGTTCATGCATCATTCTCACTTAAAAGCCTGCTGTGAAGTTGGAGCCTCTTTCACTTCTACAAGGGTCATTTTTGAAGCATTTGATGTCTAATACCGAGTGTGGTTACTTTTAAATAAATTAATGAATTGCTATTAATGCAAATCACTGACTGGCCCATTATGTATTTATATATTCTCCAAACTGGAATGGACTTATTCCAAGTGATTCTGTCCTTCCTGAAGATGGAATGGGGCAACTTGCTGCGGGATAACTCACCATGGCCAACGCACCATGGGACAACTCGTTACAAAGCAATTCAATTAGTTACAATAATTTTAAAATTATATCATCTTTTTTTCATTCACATTTCATTTCGTCTCTTCTTTGGCATCCTTTCTTTAATGATTCTATTCTACCGTATATGCTAGGGTATAAGGCGACTTCCGCAAGCACTAAAATCAGCGCCAAAGACGGGGGTCGTCTTATACGCCGAGTCTTATACGCCGGAAATACTGGTAGTTTCCGGCATATAAGACGACATTCTAGGAATGCGACTCTGTGCCAAAGACAGGGGTCGTCTTATACGCCGGGTCGCCTAATACGGCGGCATATACGGTACTATTTCTTTGATATTAGTGTAACGAGTTGTCCCATGGTGAATTGGCCACGCGGCGAGTTGGCTGCAAGTTGACTGTGGTGAATTGGTCGCTGTGAGTTGGCCACAGTGAGTTGTTGTAGACCCCTTGAAGAAGCTCGAGAGCTTCCTTAAGATCCCAGCATTGCAAGGTCGAATAGGTATGGGTCAGAGAACAGAGTGCTCTGTGGGTTCAACATGATGGCACTTGTTGCCCCGAGTACAGTCTTGATATCCCAGAAAACCTGAAGACTGTTTTCAAGACGGCTTTAAATTTGAGATGAGGGACTGGGTAGCCAGTTTTCGCTATGATATGCTGGTTTGAGAGAGTGGAGTTTTCATTCTGAGATTGCTCATGACATCACTGTTAAGCGCCCGAAATCAACTGATTGTAATTTCTTTCGCCAAATAAATCATCATAGCAAAACTAACACATGAAGTACAAGTAGTCCCGCTTACCAATGGTCATTGGGATCAGGAACTCTGCCATTAGGCAACACATTAAGGTACAACCTCACGTGACCGGGCCAACGTGCAACAGCAGTCCCAGTTGCTGCAGTTAGGCAAATTCTGCACAGCTGCAGCATCCCTTGTCATGGGATCACCACTTGTGACTCTTTCCCCATTGACTTTGCTTGTCAGACGTCGACAAGGAAGATTGCAAATGGTCATTATGGATTTGCAAGACGCTGCATTGGCTGCAAGTACGAGGACTGGCCATATGTACCCCTCATTCAATGTCATTATAACTTTGAACAACTGCTGAATGAGTGGATGTTAACAAGAACTACTTGCAGCTTGTGAATAAGTATATTTTGACAGGTGAAGTAGAAGTGAGAGCTAGGACCTCTGTTTCAACCCTCTTCACTTATTCTGGGTTGCCTTTTTTGCTCCTTAGCTCACTGCAATCAGAATGAAAGCAGCAGGGTCTGTAGTTATGACTGTTACACTGATGAGTGAAATACTATTTCCGCTATGGTTTCCAAGCATAGGTAAATGCATGTTTCTTCAAAGTAATGGGCTCATGGTACCATAGTTGTCTGTCAGCAGCAAAGGAAGTGCTTTTTGAGCTGCTCAGCAATGCCCTGAGAGTTAATAGAGTAATAGATCCTTCCTAAATGGATGTGTTTAAACAGAGGCTGGGGGACCACCTCTCAAGGATGCTGTAGCACTGGATTCCTTCACTGGGCACGGAGTGCACTTGATGATCTCAAAGCTCATTACAAACCCTCATACTCAAGACTTTCTCTCTGATTCTCTTGTGTAAAAAATAAATTAATAGTATTTACCCTTTATGAGCAACCAAAGAAAGCAGGTAATTAGTAGTTACGGTAACAGAATCAATAAAAGCCGTACAACTGTAAGAAATGGAAATCATTGAGAGTTCTCTTAACTGCCAGACAGATGTTGCAACGGAGCGTAGAAGAAGACCAAAGCAAAAGTCATCCAAGTGTGGAAGTCAAGATCAGTGACCATTTATCTGAACGGTGGTAATACATCACTTACTTATCAAACTGAACTTGCACTTTCAATTTGTAATTCAGCTCTTGAAGTTTCACCAGCAATCTGGAAATTCAAGCAACACAAATTAAGAATAAAGAAAAAATATTCTTTTTTTTTCCGTCTTGATGATCTTCACATTCCTTAAGCGCGTCAAGAAAAGCATTTTCCTTACGTATCCTCCCGTACTGCTCAAATTCCTACAAGATTAAAAGAAGCATCTGTCATCAGAGGAGGCACCACTTAATTAAAAATCACAAGGTACACACCAACCTAATATTTTGAAAGGGTTCCACTTATAAAATAATTGCAGGAGCCAATCCTAGTTTGAGTTAGCATGGGTAAGGGCTCTGCACAATTATTAAATACAATCCTACATGCAACTAGTAAAAAACATATTAATAAGTCTTGTTCTCATGTAAATAGTTGCAGAATTGTATCCCATGATATAGATAAGGGTTACATATCATTACTAAATCATAATACGTTTCATTTGAGTTTCATGTGTTTTGTAAAATCCAGCCTTTGTGATTCCAAGTTAAAATCTATGACATATCTCTTCCTTGAGATGTGAAGCTAATCATGAAATGAACCTAAGAATCAGAACTTGGGACATATAATAGCTTCAAGAGCAGAAACAGCAGAATAGAGAATCAGGCCTGCAGCAAAATCTACATCCAAATAAATGTAGGTAATTTAAGGATATTAACATGTTTTAAAATACTGGCAATTCAATTTAAAATGATATTCTATTGTGAAGCACTTTTTCTTCAGTATGTTGTTAAGATGTGGCAGGTTTTTCTTCCTAACTGGCTAAACCAGGAAATCATAAAAATAAAGAGAAAGCAGTGGGAAATCATTTTTGTAAACCTCACGGATCAAACTTGACCTGAGGGAGGTTTTTTTTCTTGTTACTTTAGTTTGGAATTAATCACCTCCTTTAAAGTTCTTAGAAAACCACCATACATTAATCACATCAGGTATAAAACAAATTACCTCAACTTTACTGTAAATTGTACTCCAGTCTTCAGAACTAATGGTCTCTGAGGATGAGTAGGCATGCAAGGCTGCCTTTCTACAACAAAGGAGCTGGAAAGAAAAAAAAAATGGATAGTTGAATTGTTTCAAAAGGGGAAGAGAACATTATGCCAAAAATAAACAAATCCTCAATCTTCCATAATGCAAATATGAACATTTTTTTTTTAAAAAAAGAGGCAAACATTTTTTTATTTTTGAATTATTTATTTGAAACAGACACCTAGCATGCTATGGACAAAATTTATAAACAATAATATCTAAATAGTTAAAAATAAAAAATATAATTTAAAATCAAGTTGTATTAATACAGTTCCATAGTTTTCTAAGCCAAACTTTTCCCAATCCACAGATTTTTATCTAGGTTGGGAAAGCCTGATCCGTCCCATCACAATTCTTTGGCATTTTTCTTCTAGCCTTTCGAGATTCTGAAGGCTCTCTAAGCTTGCAAGGAAATCACTGACAGTAGGGGAGATATCCTTTTAAATTGAAATTTAAAACTAAAAATTTAAACTAATTTAAACAAAACTGCATAATTTCAAACAAAAATTATTTCACTAGAGCAGTTGGGGTCGAACGACCATTTCACGCAGGTCGCCAAACAACGCAGTCCGCCATTTTTTCCCCCCTTTTCCTTAGCTGTGCTACTCCCTTTTATTCTATTGGAAAGCCAATAGAATAGACTCTCTTGAATAGAGTCTAATTCTATTGGCTTTCAAAAGCCAATCGGGACTTCCGGTGGATTAGCGTTGATGATGGCGGCTACTTTGTAGCCGTCCTCCTGGGAAAGCGTTAGAACCGCAGAGAACAGCACGGACCAGCTGTTCCGCGGCTCAAAACCTCCCTCCTGGGCAAAGGGGGGGAGGGGAGTATCACCTGAATAGAGGTAGAGCCTCTGAGACCCCCCAGGAAGTTTTCTTTGGGGGGTGAAAAGAGTGCTCCCTCGGAGTTCGGGTTGCCTCCGCCTCCCAGCTGTCTTTGTCCCTCCCACCTCCGCGCTTAAAGAGACCGGGTGAGTTACTTTTAAAAGCAGACAGAGCTGGATAAAGGATTTTTTTATTGGATTTTATTTGGACTTTAGTTTGAAAGGTTGATTTTTATTTCCCTTCTTTTTTCTCTTTTTTTTCCTTTTGTGAGAGTGAAAGTAAAATGGCAATCGGAAAGTTTTTTTTAAAAAAAGCGAGTGAAACGGAATGTAATGGACTAGATTGTTCTTTTTTTTAATTTTTTCTTAAGGTGGATTTGTGTTTTGGGAAGATTCTTTTTTGTTAGACTCTCTTTTGCTATCTTTTTTTTTCTTTTAAGGGATTTTTCTTTTTTTGTATTTTTTATTTCTTTTTTTAAAGAAGGAGGAAAGAAGAAATAAAACTTTTTCTTTTTGAAAATGGCTTCAAAGCGGCAAGCAACATCTACAGTATCTAAGGTGGCTTCTTCTCCTGCGATCTTACCAGTACAACAACCTAAAGCTACACCACCACCTTCTCCTCCTTTGCCAGCAGTAACGGTAAAAGATATGCAAGACATAATGGGAAATGCTGTATCTCAAATTAGAGGGGAAGTGAAAGAGCTTTTAGTGGAGAATAATATTATTTTGAGGCAAGATATAGTTATGGCTTTAACAGGACTTGCTTCTGTGGTTGAGAAGCTGGACTCTAGAGTGGAAGAAGTTGCAAACAAGGTGGAGATTTTGGAAGATAAATTTGAAGGCATGGAAAAAAAGATGGAAATTTCACAAGATGATATTGTTATGTCTCAATATAGAGAAATGGAATATGCTTTAAGAATCAGGGGGCTGAGAGAAGACATGCAACAAGACTTGAGAGAGATTGTAGTAAATGACTTTGCTGCTATTCTGGATAGAGAGAAGGAGGAAATATTTAGAGAAATTGAAAAAATATTTAGAGTTAACTCTTGGGTTGCAAAGCAAAGAAACCTGCCAAGAGATGTGGTAATCTATTTTGGGAAGAGATCTCTGCATAATGAAATTATACAAGCTTTTTATAATAAGAGGTTTCAGATTGCTGCTCAAGATGTCATTATTTTAAAGGAGATTCCATCTAAAATTTTAAGAAGAAGAAAAGAGTTTTCTTTTTTAGCCAATGAATTTAAAAAAAGATTGATGCCATTCAGATGGGAGATTCCGATGGGTATCATGGTGAGTCATGCGGGGACGCGCTATAGACTTAACACTGTTTCTAAAGCAAAGGAGTTTTATAAGTCGGTCCTGGGAGCAGGCTCATCACCACCTATGATGCAGAAAGTCTTGGAACAGCAGTCTGAAGAAGTAGTATTGATGGATGTTGGAAAATCACAGGCTGAGTGGTTGCAACAAGCAGAGATCAAAGAGCAAAGAATGACTCGGGCAGCCCACAGACGTAAGGAAAAGGAACAACAGAAGAAAGAAGTTAAAGAAGTTCTACAAGAATTTGCTTCGGTGCCTGTGGGAGGAGCAAGACCCAAGAGCTCTGCAGTACATTCTTCAATGGCAGATCTTCAAGCAGTCTTCTCCAGGCTTTTGGTCAAGGGAGATGGTAACCTAGCTCCTGACATGGAATGCTAATGGACAAGGAGACCTTGGTTAGGTTGACAGATTTCGAGGTTGTTAATAAGGTAAAATATTTGGGGGTTATTTTATCTGTTTCTAATGCAAAATTGTATAAAAATAATTATGAAAGGCTGTGGGTCAAAATACAAAGAGATTTGGAAAATTGGGAGAAGCTGCAATTAACTCTTTTGGGGAGAATTGCAGCGATTAAAATGAATGTTCTGCCAAAGTTTCTTTTTTTATTTCAAATGATACCCATTTTAAAGAATGAGGTTAATTTAAATGAATGGCAGAAAGGTATCAATAAATTTATCTGGGCAGGGAAAAAACCAAGAGTAAAACTTAAAATTATACAAGATATTCGTGAGAGAGGTGGACTCAAGGTACCGAATTTGAAATTGTATTATGATGCTGCTAACATTAATTAGTGATTGGGTTAATTTAACAAATGTAGAGGTACTCCTCTTGGAGGGTTGGGATTTATTCTTTGGATGGCATGCCTATTTAATTTTTAATAAAAAGGTTGATAGGGTTTTTAAATCTCACATTATAAGGATTTCTTTACTTCGGGTTTGGAAGAAATATTATAGAAGTGATTTTAAAATTCCACTATGGGCTATACCATGGCATGCGATAGAAGGGATAAGGAGAGGAGTTAAGATGGTTAGTGTTTCTTATGCACAATTACTTAGATGGGATGGTAAAAACTGGCAATTAAAATCTTTGGAAGATTTAACACAAGAAAATATTATTTAGTTTTTGAATAACTTATATTTAAAATTTAAGATAATTTAAAGACATTTTTTTATTTTTTTATTTTTCTTTTTTTATTTGATTTTTTCTTCTTCTGTTTCTTTTTTCTTTCTTGTATTTTTTTTATATATATATATTGTTGTTAACTATTTTATAATTTGTTTAATTAATGTATTTAGATGGTTTATATGTGTCTTAAGATTTTTTAAAATTTTTTTTAATTAAGCCTGTATTCAGCTCTGGGAAGGTCGGGGGAGAGTAGGGGAGAGTTGGGAGGGTTTGGGGAAGGGAATTTTTTTGTAAAACTTAAAAATTTTCAATAAAAAAAAAAGCCAATCGGAATTGTCCAGGCTGTCTCTGCCCTACTGAGCCCGCCAAAAGTCCCATTCTGCAAAGGGTGCTGCACCAGTTGAGTAGTCCTCGACTTACAACCGGTTGGGGGTGCGGCATTAAAAAGATTGGGAACCACTGCACTAGAGAGTTCCACACAGACTTTGTGGGAATCATGCAACTGCTCACATTTCAACCAAATAATTTCATCAGCAAGATGAGAGAAAAGAGATAAATTCTTCAGCTTGGATGGAAAGATGAAATACAACGCATACAACTTTTCTAAATGAGGAACACAAGAAAAGAAAATACCTTTGAATGAGCTGCTTGAAGAGACTTAATGTCCGATCATACAGCCCTTTCTTCTGTTGGGTAATAGGATCAGCTTCATAGGTGAATTTTTGCTCCAGCTCCTCCAGTTTTTTAAGCTGTTGAAGAATCTGCTGAAGACTCTCAGCCACTGTAGTAAACCTATCATTACAATGATTGTATGTGAAGATTGTTACATTTCTCCTTGGGGTAACAAGCACAGAAACCAGCAGTATTAATTGCTTAGGGGCAACACTAACTTTACAAGGCTCTTGAGGCCTGTGCCTCAGAGCATTCATAGTATGTTAGAATCAAACATATAACTGTTTGGACCTTGGATTCCTTGGGTAGTTTTATATAAAAATGTTCAGGTACATTTCCCCTTCTGGTTGAATTCATTCTGAAAATTCTTGATTGCACTTGCTGTGCTTCAGAGACCTACCAGCTTTGAAGCTGATCTAGACAAGCGTTGGGTGGGCCGCCGATACAAGCAATCTGCTGTCGATGCTTCCATTCAACCAGCTCTTCTGTTATCAGAGCATTTTGGGTATTTTCAATCACAGGCAACGAAGAGGATATCAAGCGTAGAACATCCTACAGAGAATCCAATAAGAAGCATATTCAAGCTATTACTCAACATTTTAGATCAATCCTGGCAAGATTCATTCGAAATGTCAAGGAATGTACCATATTTTCCGGCGTATAAGACGACCCCCGACTTCGGAGAAGATTTGCATGGTTAGAAAGTCGTCTTATATGGCGGAGAATACGGTATTTTCTGGCGTATAAGATGACCCCCGACTTCGGAGAAGATTTGCATGGTTTAGAAAGTCGTCTTATACGCAGGAAAATACAGTATCTCTTCAGTTTAAAAAAAAACAAAGAGCTCTAACATTCACATGTGGGAATTTGCTAGAATACAGGGGGGATATGTTGAGGTTTTGAGCCAAAGAACATGCTTGTGCTGTAATAAATGCATCCAAAAGTCAGGCTGCAGATTCAATCCTACTTGATAGGACTTTTATGTGGAAATAACACAAGGAAGAAGCATTATGTATATCTTCTAAGTTCTTGACTGAATTGTGGAATACTAACAAACAAGAGGAGCTAAAAGTGTACCTGCAAAGTAAAGAACCTTTTTTTTTAAAGATGTGGCAGCCAAAAGCAGCAGTGGACAGAGCAGTGACATCAATAAATAAGGCAGGAATGGAAGTCAGGGGGAAGCCTAAATGAGTGACTGTTAAATTTCTACTTGTCAGCCCCACTAAGTAGAGCAAAGCAAGAAATCAACTCCACAGGAAGGCTATACTATTTTTTAAAATACTAGCTATCGTTAATAGAATACTGTAAGTTTGATCAAGCTTTATTGCCCCACCCCTATTTTCAAGTGAAATAAGGTACTGACTGCCTGAACTGCTTTCACATTATCTTCTGCTTGACTTAAGCTATGATTTCCCACCTGTTGCTTTGGTAATGGATCTGGCTTACCTCTGCCAAGGGCAACTTACCCTCTACACTAAACTGGAGAACAGCAAGGGTGGCATAATAGATTTTAGTGGCCTGATATGGCTGCAGTTTTGTTGGCCTGAGTGAGTACAAGGGGAGAGCTGCTTAATGCTGGCCTTGAACAGCAGCTGTTCTCTCACAAGGGCTGATCAACCAATCTTGTTGCTAGCCAGGGCTGTTGTGGTGAGATGCTAAGTCCCAGTGGTCAAGCCTGGTATATAGGTGTTGGGGACTAGACCTCTAGAACAGCCACCTTTCTCAGACATGCTGCTGGCTAAAAATTGGACTGAGATGACAGGACCGCAAGGAGTAAATCAAGTGGCTAGAAGGAAGTTAAGACTGAGAAGTAGTTGCTATTTCCTGGTTGGGAAGGGGGAACAAAGATCCACAGATGGCTTCAAAAAGTGAAGACCTAGAGCAGGGGTAGGCAACCGTGGCTCAGGAATTCTGGGAGTTGAAGTCCACGAGTCATAAAAGAGCCAAGGTTGTCTACCCCTGACCTAGAGGGACAAAAGCTCCACTCCAAAATGGAAGGAGTGACCTGGCAGTCTCTGGAAAAGGATTAGGCAGAAGACCCTGAGAGAAGTTCTTTCCTCAGTGGAGAAGCAGTAGATGTTCTGCTGAGCAGAAGGTCAAGCCATGCCAAGCACATGACAGTACAATTCCAGCCCATCCCTTTTACTTTCTTTCTTGTTAAACTCAGAAGAGGGAGAGAGTTGGAATAAAAGGGGGAAGGAAACAAAATAGCTAGCAGGAGAAGTAGAGGGAAATGCAGTCCCTGGGAGTGAGACCTGGGAGGAAAAAGCTGATACCCGGGTGACCAACGGTTATCACCAAAACTTTAATAATAACATCAAAACTATGTTAATACTTGTGATAAAAGCCCTCATTGTAAATAGTAAAGAAAGGCCTCCACTGGTTTGTGCCAGTTGCCACCCTTGTAAAAACAAGGTTGACTTCAGTTCAAAAAGAACCCTGTTACTCTGTGGCATCCACTTCCAAATAAATTTCATTGGGTGTGTATATCCTCTTTTTCCTATAGCTAAAGGTGACAATCATATTACTATGTATCCTCTCCCAATAATGCTTAGGTTGAACTGAGAGGCAACGGATGCTTTAAAGCAGCGATTCTCAACCTGTGGGTCGGGACCCCATTTGGGGTCGAACGACCATTTCACAGGGGTCGCCAAACAACGCAGTCCGCCATTTTTTTCCCCTTTTCCTTAGCTGTGTTACTCCCTTTTATTCTATTGGCTTTTGAAAGCCAATAGAATAGACTCTTTTGAATAGACTCTAATTCTATTGGCTTTCAAAAGCCAATAGGAATTGTCCAGGCTGTCTCTGCCCTGCTGAGTCTGCCAAAAGTCCCATTCTGCAAACGGTGCTGCAAGTTGTCTGCAGCGAAGGCGAGCTGTCTGGAAGTTTCCACCCCTCCCTGCTGAGCAACTACTAAAAATGTAAGTAAAAGAGGGCCAGGGGTGGGAGTTGGGAGGCCGGCGGGCGCAGGGAGGGTTGCTGGTGCACGTGGGGCCCAGCGGGTGCCTTACATCCCTTGGGCTGGGCCAGCTGGTGGCCCAGCTGGTGGTTGCCCTGCGCTGTCGCTGCCCCTTGCCAGCTACGCCTCGGCTGGAGCAGGGGGTGGCACTACTCATGCGCGGCACTCCCAGGCAGGGAAAGTCCTCGACTTACGACCGGTTGGGGGGTCACGGCATTAAAAAGGTTGAGAACCACTGCTTTAAAGGCACCCAATTACTTCCAAAGCTCATGATAGATTAACATCTATCACAAAGTGCCTACTAATTAGACAAATAGTCACAGCTCTCCAAAGAAGCTAGCTGAATCACCTGTCTTTTATTGTGAAGCTGCAAATACATGGTGTGGAGCTGTACTTTTTCCTTTTTATAGTCATCCTGGGTCATGCTGTTGGGTTCGCAATCTGCAAAAGAGATCATGCCAAAGCTCTGTCGAGTGTCTTTTGCATTTAAAATTGCAGAAAGTAAATCATCCCCAAAACAATATCAAAGTCTTCTCTGGGATAAAAAGAGGATACCTGATTCTTACCCTGCATATTTCATTCATCTCTAAAAGAGAAATACTAGATAACTAGGAATGTTCCCCCTCCCCCCCCCTTGCCTTTGCTGACCAGGAGTATGAAGAAAGCTTCTACAGGTAGTCACGACAACTGGAACCAGAAGATATGTCAAACATATGATCATTAAGTGAGGCATTACATGACCAGATACAATTTTACCTTTTTTGCCACAGTGTTTACATGAGACATCTTGAAACTGCCATTTGTAACCTTCCTTGCCAGCTTTTCTCATTGACTTTGCTTGTTGGAAGCTGGCTGGGAAGGTTGCAAATGATGATCATGTGACCACAGGATACTCCAATTGTCACGTGAGCTGACTGCCAAGCAGATCAGATCACCATTGCGCGACTGCAGGGATGCTGTGATGGTTAAGTGCAAGGACTGGTTACAGCATAAACTTTTAACGTGCACTAAATGAATGGCCGAAAGTCAAGGACCACCTGCAAGGCTTACCTGGTCAAAGGACAAGACACTAGGAATGCCTGCATACAAAAGCAAAGCATTAGAGGAAAAATATGTTTGAATCTAGGCCAAGGGCAGCCAATTTGCAGCACTTCAGATATTAATGATCTGCAAAATCATCAGACATGTGATCTTCTTCACAAGAGATCTGGCTGAAGAATATTGTATTCCGAACACTGAAGATCCAAGGCCTAAAATAAGCAACAAAAGGCCAGGTCCCATGGATTCTGACAGCTGAAACCAGGAATTAGATGCAATGTCTCCCATCCTGTGATGAGCCGAGGTGGCGCAGCAGTTAGAGTACAGTACTGCAGGCCACTTTAGCTGACTGTGTTCAGCAGGTCAGCGGTTCAAATCTCACGGCTCAAGGTTGACTCAGCCTTCCATCCTTCCAGGGTAGGTAAAATGAGGACCCAGATTGTTGGGGGCAATGTAAATATATATATATATATATATATATATATATATATATATATATATATATATATATATATATATACATTGCTTACTGGTGTACACCGCTTAGAGAGTGCTTGCACTTAAAGCGGTATATAAGTTTCATAAATAAATAAATAAATAAATCCTGGGAGTCCAGGAGGCATGAGGCAAAGAATCTTTTCACCTAGTAATGATGGGAGTTGATCAACAGATCCCAGCAAAATCCAAGCTGCAGAAACTGGAGGGAGATGGAACACCAGGAGCTGCTGAATTCAATACTATTCAAAAGGCTTACGCCTTGCTGGATCAACTTTTGATGATAACTCATTCTTTGTGCGGGGATTCTTTTGCCTGTTTTATATTAACAAAAAATCTGGTTATCCTGCACCAAAACCTTGGCTTGGCTCTGGTAGCACCAGTGAAGCTGTTTGAACTGATTTTTGTTTTTGCAACCTGGATTAGCTAATATGTAAACTGCTTTACAGCAATTCTAACTGCTTGCTGGGATCTTCTTAAACAATGAAAACATTCAACAAAAGGAGCTTAGCTCCTGCTTCCATTGTTTGCTTTGAGCTTAGGATGAAAAATAAATGAAAAGCTGTTTGAAATTCTCCATCAGAGCATTAAAGAACAATTCAAGTTTCATTCTAGTTAACAGAGAAACTGGAATGTTTTGAGTTGTTTCATTCTAAGCTCAAAGCAAAATGTTGGGAGTTTGTTTCAAGCCTTCTTCAGCCAATCTATCCCCAGGTAACATAAACTGGGAAGAGGATGGGAGTTGCAATCCAACACAAGTGGATATGGAAGAGAACCAAGTGAGGGTAGGATGATCTGGAGTGATATGAGAGCAAGCAGGTCTTAATATTTGTACTGAACATTCACAAAATGGAAATCTAGTCTAACCATTGTTTTTAACAGACTAAGACTTCAACTGAACCTCAACTGGCCACGTTTTCATCATCAGGGAACAATGTCTAACATAGAAAACAATAGATTTCATTAAAAATAGTTAGAAACTGAATCCTCACCTCTGACTTGAAAGGTTTTATATTTGAAATCATATTCATCTTGAACATCCTCAAGATTTTTTATCATTTGCTCTATTTCCTAGAAAACAAATAACCTCATCAGACATTCAAAATCGCTTAATACAAATGGTATTTATGAAAAGAAGTAAATGTAATTAATTCAATGATTCATTTCATTACATTACTGTTTTATCTTTATGATGAAGTCTAAGATAGGTTCAGCCAAAAAATATGACCAAAGGAAGATTGACCAGTGAATCTACAGGCTTAACAGAGCGATAGATATGAACCAAAATGTCCTTTGTCCCAGTTAAGCCAGAATATTCACTGGAATAGTCAGGAATAGAAACGTGCTGTCTAAATATCAACCACTAGTTGCAGTGAAATTTTGATAGATTTAGTTCAAGACCTTGCAACAAGCATCAACTAAGTTTACCAGGCTGGAGAAAGCTATGTTATATATATCCCTTTCCAGTGCTTTTTTTGTAAAAAAAAAAAAAAAAAGTGCCGGAACTCACACACTTCATACAACCCGCCTTGCCTACCCTACAAGGTTCCATCCCAAAAAGGTGCCGGAACTCCGTTCTGGGCGTTCTATGATAAAAAAAGCCCTGTCCCTTTCCTATCTCTATGAGTGTCCCACAATCAACTGGTGCTAAAAAAAAAATATGATGACTACTCAACGTTTTGTCATGTGACAATAGCAAGAGCAAGATTTTGATAACAGCATTGGGAGACTACAACCTGTCCATTGTTCCCAGTCAACTACCCAATCCTTCTTCAAATGTAGCTTATCTTTGCACATTCCCCAATCTGTGCATTTGAACCAACAATGTGTTGTTCCCTTTTGGGTTATGATGTGGCTAACAATAAAACGTTCCCAAGTGCCAACTCTTTTAACGTACTATGACACGATCCTTCACATTTGTGACTTTTGCATCCATCTCTTTCACTTTGCCCAGCGCCGCAGTATTTTGCACACTGTCCGTTTGCATCTAGAATTTGAAATGAAAGGAAAAAAAATCAAGAATGAAATGTATCACAATGTAGCATTTCCCCCCCTCCCAAAAGGAAAACCTCCACAGCAGGAATATTTCATGACCTTTCTTAGGTTAATTCTGAGAAAATGCTAACTTGGGTAGACACGTTAAAATTTGAAACTGAAGTCCATGATCTATGCAGAGGCTGAACAATGTTCAACACAAGATGCTGTTTTCCCAGCTTACAGAGTATAACTAACCTGATCTGTGGCCTCTGCAGATTTCAGGATTTTCCTTTCTTCCTGGAGACATTTGGAGATCATCATGGCCATATACATCGGGTCTTCCACAAAAGTATTCTGGATCACAGCATAAAATATAAGTGAGGGACTTCCAATATTTTTTCAATATGCTCACTACCGCAGACTACCAGCTCTCTATCCTACACTTCCCATGATTTATTTCCATTAAAGAAATGGGAGTCAAAATTCTATTACAAATCACATATCACATGTAAACCTTAATACTACCTTTTTCACTTCTAAGCTAAGACATCCTTCAACCTCTGAAGTGGTACTTGATATTCAACTGCTGCATACTAAGAAATGCGTGTGTGCGCTTTGAATTGCTTTCTGTTACTGCGTTTATTAAAAAGGAGCTCCTCAGGTTTAAAGCTGAAAAAGGAGTGTATCCGCCATACTAGAAAAAAATAATACAGACAAAAGCCCTGTGTAAGATCTAGCTTCTCATTGTCCAGCCACTCCAGCTGGAATTTTCTTCTTCTTAATAATAATAATATATGTGTGTGTGTGTATCACACATGGAGATACGGTTATTAGAAACCGCACTCCAAAAGATGACAGACAAAAATGATATAAAAGGATAAAACACGAAAGGCTAGAAGCTAACAACTATAATGAACACACATTTCTTCTTCCAGGAAAAATGATAGAAAAGGTAGTAGCTACAATAGGAACAAAACTAACAAGAATTGGGTGGAGATGAGGGGTCATTAAAGTCTGCTTAGGATGGCACAGCAGGAGCTTTAAAAAAGGTTCCTTTCATTATGTTGTAGAAATTATCCACACACTGTCAAATAGAAGCATTCTAAGATACTTTCACAAAGGCAAATTAGAAAGTGCTCTTGTACACTGACCTGGAGGTTTCGTTTACTCTTTCTGATGTTGTGCTGCAATAAAAAATTATTTTCCTGGGTAAAACGGCTATATTGATCATCTAGTTGTGACAGGAGATTCTGAAAGAGCAATGTGGCCATTGAAAAATCTTCAGCAGCATGGTCCCTGGAAGAGGAAGCAGGCAAAACAATAGCATTAGCATATCTTCCATCTCTTTATATTGCACAAACCCCAACACGAGTGAAAAACCCAATTTATTTTTCTTTGCCCTTCCGCTTTGGTTAGCCATACCGACCCAACTTTCCAATAGTCCCCAAAGTACTCTACATCTGGCAGGGGAACCCATAATAAATACACCTGAACAATACGGGCTGCTGTGCCAATAACAGACCCAGCTGGTTGAGCCGCAACAGAGAAGTATCACGACAGACATTCCAATTCAGTTGCATGTACTTTTTTTTGCTTTTATTATGGCTTTATTTTTATGCATTGCTAAGATATGAATAGGAATTGCCTATGAATAGGAATTGCATGTGCAAACTGTAATTCAAGACAAATTCTAAAATACTGGACGAGCCGCAAAAGAGTCCAAGGGTTAAGGTGGAATTGCAGTGTAATTGAACAAGATTTATTTTAAATATGCTGCTCTGCATATTAGAGTTCTCAAGTAAAACTAAAAAAGCTAATTTATACCAACTGCTCTTGCTAAGCACTTTCCTCAACATGTGCATGGTTCAGAATTTTTGTTACATGATGTTATGAGATTGAGGAGGTAGCTTTCCATTTCTTCTTTTACAACGTTTGGTTTAAGAATATAAAATACGAGACTGCATAATCCAGTGGAATTTACTTCCTCAGCCAACAATTCAGCCAAAGTTCCATTAGATTTGAGAGAAATAATTCTCATGATTGCTGACTGCATCCTACTCTTGCTTAGAATCATAGCCTTACAGTATTTTTGGGTATCTTCCACAAACTGAGACTCTTACCAATCTTGGCTTTCTAGCCACTGTGCCAAGTATTGCCTGATCTCCATAGGAAAACTATCATCGTAGAGCTGATGCACAAGTTCCAAGAATTTAGAATCCAGCTGTTGCAGTTTACACCACTGACTCATCCTGTGGAATCAAATGTCCAATTATGTAGTTAAATATAGATCTTATTTATTCTTCCATGCAATCAGTAAAAATTTCAGTTAGTTATTAAATTGCATTATCTGAAAGCACATTTCCTCTTTTCCTATTTACCTAATGCCACACTAACACACAAATCCTCTTTCTCTTTCATTAATGTTAACCACTGTGGGGTGTGTGTATGTGTGTGTGTAGGGGGGGAGATGTCAGTGAACGTTACTACTAGCACCATTTGTTTCCAGAAGTGGCCTATTTGGAAATAAGACTGAGGACTCAGGATAGCAAATTAGCTCTAAATGTTATTAATACAAGAGAAGTATCAGATACAGGAAACATAACTATTAAAAATCCAATTAATCTAATGTTATTCTCAGTAGACCAAGAGCAAACCTTACTTAAACTTGAAAAGATGTGACCAAGTCAAAGTTATAGGAATAGGGCTGCAAACCACATGCAGTGTAATAAAAGTAGAATAAATGATAAACATGCCCTGTGAGCTTCAGGTTTATATGCAACTTCCTCTGTATTCCAAGAACACATACTGCAGCCCAGACTATGATTGATTCAGGGTTTATATACAGTAAACTGTAGTGCATCAAATATAAAAAATGTCTGGTTTTACATATCAGTACCAGAAGAAAGGGTTCTAGAAGGCTGGTTCTCAAAATTCATACAGAAGCAAAACTGTGGTATATTTATCATATCACGTTGATCCATCCAGGAAGTTTTTTTTATGTACTATACAAACCTTATCAATTTTAGTTTAATATATTACATATTTAAACAATGGCATGTATTGTTGCTTATATACAGATAAGGCCTGTTCCTGTAATGAAAACCACATATGATATTAGTCTCTGCCATAAGAACCAAGTTACAGGCTGTCCTCAACTTATGACCGTAATTGGGACAATTGCTAAGCAAGGCAGTGGAGCTCAATTTTATGAACTTTTCTGTCATGTTTGTTAAGTGAATCACTGCAAGTAAGTGAATCATGCAGTCATTAAGCCAATCTGGCTTCTTCCACTGACATTGCTGGTCAGAAGCCGGTTGTGAAGGTTACAAATGATGATCAATGATCCCAGGATCCTGCAACCATCCTAAATACATGCTGTTTGCCAAGCACTCAAATTTCGATCATGTGATGGTGGGGATGCTGTATTGGTTGTAAGTGTAAGGACCAGTCATAAATCACTTTTTTTCAATGCCATTGTAACATTGAATGGTTGAGAAGTACCTGTATTCAGGAATTAAAGATATGGATATCAATGTAAACTATAATCATCTGTCAGGCTTCAAGCATTGATTTTTCCTCCTACAACAACAAACTCAATTACTCCAACAACCTGCAAACCATCATTACAGCTACCAAAGGGGAACCAGTTGGTCCAACTGTCATTAAGTGCAAAGGCTGTAGTCAAATATCAGGTTTTGGATTACCCCTAGTAGCTATTCCTAAAGAGCACCAAATGCTACAATGCTTTCTCCCAAATTATTCTAAACGGCTGGTTTTTTCAAAATGCCACTTTCAAACATAATCTGCAAAATTCAGCTGCAGGATAGCCTGATGAAAATCTCTCAACTAAGCTTGGGATTAAACAGTTCACCAGGAGTGACCCAATATTTCAGGTAGGGGAAATAAAAAAATATTTTATTTTCTTGGGCTCCAAGATCACTCAGAGGGAGACTGCCGCCATGAAATTAAAAGATGCTTGCTTCTTGGGAGAAAAACTATGGCAAACCTAGACAGCATATTAAAAAGCAGAGATGTCACCTTGCTGACAAAAGTGTGTATAGTCCAAGCTATGGTTTCCCCAGTAATAAAGCATGGCTGTGAGAGTTGGACCAAAAGAGAGGCTGAGTGCCAAAGAACTGAATTATGGGGTTGGAGAAGACTGCAAGGAGATCTAATCAATCAATCCTAAAGGAAATCAAACCTGTTCTTTGGAAGGGCAGATACTAAAACTGAAGCTCAAATACTTTGATCATTTAATGACAGGTGATACTCATTGGAAAAGATCCTGATGTTGGGAAAGATTGAGGGCAAAAAGAAAAGGATCCACTGTAGAGGGTGAGATGATTAGATAGTGTCATCAACGCAATGAACATAAATTTGAGCAAATTCCAGGAGACAGGGGAGTCTGGCGTGCTATGGTCATAGCATCACAGAGTCGGACGCGACTTAGCGACATAACAAAGAGCAAAAAATCCTGGGGGACCGAAAGCAAAGCGATCCTTCTGTCCTGTTTGGTAGGGAGGCGTCTCAACTCGGGCGTGTACAACGGACTTCTCCACTGTCGGCATTCAAGCACAGGTTGCACCCATGCCCTATCCTGCAACAGCACATCTGACAATTAACAAGCTTAGCAATCCTAAGAGAAAAAGAAACCATCACCTGGAGACCGATAATGGGATTTTGAAGGCTTGAGGTTCCATTTCTTGAATGCAACCCGTGAAGATCTCGGAATGGAGGCATGCAAAGTCTCCTGCACCAATGCTGCCTAAGGACACCGACTTAAGGCAGACTACCTACCTGTTGCTTTCAGACCCTTCAAAAGAACCGGAGACCCTGAACCTTCCCCAACCTCCTTGCGTTCTGTTAAAACGAAACTATCTTTAAACGGGAAGTAACAAAGCACGACAGGAGGCGCGCACCAATCCGCGACACGCTAGTTGAGAGAGTAGCCAATCAGAAGCTTGGTTGAAGGAAAATGGCTGTTACGAGGACATGTCCTCCTCCCTGTTCTGTATAAATAGGTGGCAGGAGACGGGAGGGGGAGAAAGAGAAGGTTTTTGAGTGCAGGGGTAGTTTTCATGTTCATTTGAGAAGTAATTGTTCTTACTCAATTTGAAAAACTCGGCCAGCACTGTTATAAACAATTAGCTGGGCATAAATCCTATTGAATTCTGTGGCGTTATCAGGTACGACTGACTGCGTGAATGTTAGCTTTAGATCCTGTGTTTCTTTAACCAACCGAAATCGGCCTCATACTAAACCAAAATCAAGCCAAAGCCCTTGCAGAAAATCCTAATTCACATTTTGACCAGCAATTGGCTTAAGTTCTCCCACAACCTTATGGCAAACGTGCATAAGAATCAAACTGAAAACTTTGAATTTAATTGCAGCGCAGAAACAGGAAAGATGATCCGTGTAGATTTTCTTTGTGCAATTTACTTTAGCTAGACGATCCAAGGACTACCAATGCCATCTATCCCAGCCTGGTGCCTTGGGACTACAACTCCCATGGCCAGGCTGATGGAAGGTTGCCTTAGCCTGTCTGCTTGCTGAGGGTTGGGGGGGGAGAGGTTACCGGCATCTACCGGTACTGCAGTGTGATCAGTTCGGTTTTATTTCTTCCCTGCATCGGATTTCTCCGAACAAAAGCAAAATATGGCGATGCCGGGCACACGATAAACGATGCCAAGATAGACATTTTCTTGTTTATCTTTTATTTCTCATCTTTTATTCTTTCCCCGTATGAAGAAGGCGGATCTAAGGCTTTTTCCATCCCGTTGGCGGGAGGGGAGAGCTGTATCTAGAACAGCCTAGCCACGTGTTTTCTAGGAAAGAGCGCCGGATCTCGGAAAGCTGGTGTAACGAAACTGAAAGTTAAAAAGGATCCGGAGGGAAGGAAAGGGGATGGGTTTTGGCTTTTTTCTTTTTTTGCTTTTGCCAAGAAGAAAAAGACGTTGCTTTACCAAAACTCTCCTCTCTACATGGGCGCATTAAAAGAGTCCCATAACAGTATTTGTAAGTCGGCGAATAAGGAAATCCACGGAAGGTTGCTAAATGAGATGATGCATTTTCATTTGCCTTGTCTGCTCGACCATAAACGGGGGCATCAGGCTTTCGAAGGGACGCGCTCCGACTTATTTGTACTGTACAGGGGTTCCTCTCCAGCATATATGAAGTGTGAATGATCTACAGAAACGAGGAAGAAAAGCGACAGCCTATGTGAGTGCTTTTTGCTCACTAATTTGGACATCTAAAAAGTTCCGCAACCTTAAAGTATCAGCATCATATATTCCACAGATGACTTGTTTAGGCCTGCGTAATATCTACCTTGTATTTCCTCTTATCAAAAATAAAAAATAAAAAATTCAATCTAGAACTAAGAAATTTCCTGGTAGTGAGAACAATTAACCAGTGAAATGGTTTGCCTCGAAGAGATTGGACACCCGTTGATCCTTAATGGTATAGGATCTCCTGCTTGGGCAGGGGGCTGGACTAGAAGACCTCCAAGGTCCCTTCCGACTCTACTGTTCTGCATTCTGTAGACCTGTAGCCAATAAGTGATTTAAAGTAAAACAGACCTACACGAAGCCCCCTAAAAGGATCTTGTTTGTAAATTATCAGTTTCCCTTTGGTGCTTGATTAAGTGATAAGTTTCCATACCAGCAGGTTTGAAAGGTATGCAAGGCTAAAGTTTAGACTTTTTCCCTTAATCAGAACCAACAGGTCAGCATTTATTTATATATACACTTTTACCCCGCTTTTCTGCTATGTCCTTGCTCTAGTGAATATAAAGGACTCACTATAACAAACATGAAGGCATTAGCAAATATCCATACAATGCAATAATGCCAAATGTGTGGTGCATTAAGGCTTTTTTGGACAAAGAGTTCCCAGTTTATTGATATAAGACTCCTGGTGAGAACTGTGTATCTCTTTCTTACCCCAAAATGCCGTAAGAATGCCTGTGGGAATAGAAAGAGTTCTGCAGAAAACCCAAACGCCAACCATTTCCTTTCTAGCTATTTTCATTCTTCCCTTACTGTATCCCTGGAACTCAAATAGGTTCTGTTGGCTGATCTTTAACTTACAGTAAAGGGAAATGGGGTGTCATGTCCTATCTAAGGAATGTTCCCTACAATGTTTCCTCCATCTCCTCCGGATTAAAGATCTCATAATTCTCAGTCAGTGTGACCACTGGCCCTACAGCCTGGGGGCCCATAGCTATGTCAGTGCAAGGCTATTATTATTATATGGTGGAAGGATGAAGCTAAGATGGCTAGCTTTTATGTATGTACCCAACACTTCAGGTTTTACAATTAAACAGGGATTGACTAGGCTGCTCTCAGTCTCGGTGAAATATACATCCAAGGATAATGTTGCAAGATGATGTTACAGGAGGATCTGGACAGACTTGAACACTGGGCACTAACAAAATGAAATTCAATGGTGAAAAAAGTAAGGTTCTACATTTAGGCAAGAAAAACCAAATGTACAGGTATAGTATAGGGCAGTGGTTCTCAACCTGTGGGTCGGGACCCCATTTGGGGTCTAACGACCATTTCACGGGGGTTGCCAAACAATGCAGTCCGCCATTTTTTTCCCCTTTTCCTTAGCTGTGCTACTCCCTTTTATTCTATTGGCTTTTGAAAGCCAATAGAATAGAGACTCTTGAATAGAGTCTAATTCTATTGGCTTTCAAAAGCCAATAGGAATTGTCCAGGCTGTCTCTGCCCTGCTGAGTTCGCCAAAAGTCCCATTCTGCAAACAGTGCTGCACCAGTTGAGTAGTCCTCGACTTATGACCGGTTCTGGGTCGCGGCATTAAAAAGGTTGAGAACCACTGGTATAGGGGTACCTTGCTCAATAGTAGTAACTGTGAGAGGGACTTCGGAGTCCTAGTGGACAATCACTTAAATATGAGCCAGCAGTGTGCTGCAGTTGCCAAAAAGAACAACACAGTGCTGGGCTGCATTAAACAGAGGGATAGAATCAAGATCACGTGAAGTATTAATACCACTTTACAATGCCTTGGTAAGGCCACACTTGGAATACTGCATCCACGATGTAAAAAAGATGTTGAGTCTCTAGAAAGAGTACAGAGAAGAGCAACAAAGATGATTAGGGGACTGGAGGCTAAAGCATATAAGGAAAGGCTGCTGGAATTGGGTATGTCTAGTTTAATGAAGAGAAGGATGAGGGGGGACATGATAGCAGTATTCCAATATCTCAGGAGCTGCCACAAAGAGGGAGTCAAGCTATTTTCCAAAGCGTCTGAAGGCAGGACAAGAAGCAACGGATGGAAACTAATCAAGGAGAGAAGCAACCTAGAACTAAGGAGAAACTTCCTGACAGTTAGAACAATTAACCAGTGGAACAACCTGCCTCCAGAAGCGGTGAATGCTCGAACACTGGAAGTTTTTAAGAAGAGACTGGACAGCCACTTGTCTGAAATGATATAGGGTTTCCTGCCTGAGCAGGGGGTTGGACTAGATGACCTCCAAGGTCCCTTCCAACTTTATTATTATTATTATTATATAATCTGGGTCAGTCACCAGGACCAGAGGTTTAGTTTTCCAAGCTTTCGGACTCGTGCTGAAGCGTTTTGACTCTTTCTAGAACAGGAGAGATGCCAGGATGCCACAGTGCTCATAATGAACAAGCTACCAATTAGTACACATCCTTCCTAGCTGACAGAAAAATGGAGATGTATCAGTGCTTGTCTGATCGGTCCCTCAATGTGCTCCCTCATTTCACATGGGGAAGGGGAAACTCCTTTCTTCTCTGTAAGAACATAGCACTGCTGCTATTCTGGCCTGTCTGGGGGAGACCACCAAACTACAGTTTTACATATGTGGAACTCTTGACCAATTCTGCTGTTCAATCATTGCATCGGAATAATGGGAGCTGAGACAACTGGTAAACCAGACATTCTTCAAAGAGGCACGCAGAGCAACAGATTTCAGCTCTGGTAGTTGCTACTTGGAGCAGAAGTTGGAATGGGCAGTAGGAGAAAGGTGAGACTCACCCTTGATTGTCTAATGGAGAGAAGACACATTATGCAAGCAGCTTTGCGCACACACACACACACACACACACACACACACCCCTGGCACAGCCTTAGAGAAAATGGCTTATCTGGTATAAAACTTTATGGCTGAGAAGCAATTAGCATTTGGGACTTTCCGAGTTCACCACTTTCATTATTACCCATTGTGCTGCCTCAGTAGTTCTGAACATAGCTGAACAAATATTTCTAAAAACAAATCAATGGCATATATTGAAATACTTTTTTTTTGTAATCGCAGTTTACGAAGACAGCCTTTACGGGAACCTCTGAAAGTGGGGATCCCTTTGATGGTGATAATCTTGACAGTCAAAGCAAAGGGGACAGCACTTTCTTGCAGACCATTGCTTCTTACAGTCAGTTGGTCTTGATAACATCTATGAAGGCAAAAGGAGAGGGATTTTCCAGAAGCACAGAAGAATTTACAGTAATGAAAAAAACTGGGCCAGCACAAGAATCTGACCTACTTGACACATAAAACAGTCGTGCTAAGGTCAGCCAACTTTGCTTTGTCAACATTTAAAGCTTTGCGGGCATCATGAAAGAAGACATTTTTATTTCTATGGTTAATAATTGTCTTGTACAATGAGGTCTTAGAATGCTGTTGGTTTCGCTGTACATTGCCCAGCTGTTTTATTATAATAAAGGTTAGAACGAAAACAATACATTATTGTAGCATTTTCATCTCAAAACATAGTTCCTCTCAAAATTTTCTAGGAGGCAAAGTGCACATTGATGATAAAGAGATGCCAGATCCTTTTCCTCCCTGTCTGAAGTGCCCAATGCTGGATACGCTGCAACGTGCTTTAAACTAGTTTCAGGCCGTGTAAACTTGAATCTTCATATCGGTAAACTTTAGGGATTTTAGAGTTATGTCAAAAAGGCAAATACCTTCCCCCTAATGCATTCTTCTTCACTTTAGACTCCATGAAGACTTTTCATAGCAAATTTTTCTTTCTTACTATTGCTTTTGCTTTTGTAAGGAAGTCACAATAGTTAACAAAGAATTGCACTAATGTCCTCATGTAGAAACCCCTTTGTGTGAAGGTCAGTGGATTTTATCATAGCAGTGGCAAAATTTAGACAAAGCTTCCCATGGCAAAGAGCTTGACAAGTGATATAGATTACTGTATACCAGTGATGGCGAACCTTTTAGAGACCGAGTGCCCAAACTGCAACCCAAAATCCACTTATGCATTGAGTGCCGGGTGAGTGTGGCCCATTGGGTGGGCCCATTGGGTGTGGCCCATTGCGGTGGTAACAGCAGACTGGGTGGGACTAAAAAGTTGAATCAATCAATTCCAATTTTGCAAGATCTTTTTTTCCTGCGAGAAGTTGAAATTGACTGATTGAACCTTTTTTTTTTTTTTTTTGCACATGGTGGCGGAGGCCTAAAGCAAAAAGGTTTTATAAAACCCAGCTGAAGGCCTAGGACTGGGGCGACGGCGCGCGTGCCCACAGAGAAGGCTCTGGCACCCGTGCCATAGGTTCACCACCACTGCTGTATATGATCGCCTCCCTTCTCTACTTCTTTACCCTTCAAATCCATCTCTGGTTATCCCATAAAGGCAGCCTCTGCAAAGACTAGTAAAATGGCTTGTGATGTAATCAAGTATAACGCACACACCCCTTTGCTAGAGTGATTTTTCTCTAAAGATGGTAGCTAACCTTGAGAGTTAGGGTAGCACAGTGAGAAGGAGACAGGCTCAAAGGGATAAACTGCTTGAGGGGATGGGGGGAGATAATTGGGAGTTTCTTCTGTAAAAATTAAAGACAGATAAGCTTGCACTAGTTTGAGTGTTTCTTAAAATGTTAAGAAACCCAATTTCACCATAATTAGAGGGCGTTCTTGGAGCTACAAGTAAGTAGTTCAGGGGCCACATGGAAGAATACTATATATACCGTAGGAAGTGTACTATGATTTCAGTTATTCCTGCCATTCCTGGTTCTATAGAAGCATTATGTGATTGTAATTTTTTTACATTGACTATGGTTTTAATAGAATTCAATACATTTTTTAGAGATTGGGGAATTGTAAGAATGGCTGGAGTGGAGAGACCTATAAACAGCATAAACAAGTAACTCAATAAATAAAGTTAGAAAGTGTTTATATAAAATCAGAGTTTTCTCAACAGCATTGGAAAAATATAGCATAATAATGTAGCATGCTATATAAATTTAAAATACTGGGAAGTATTTTGTTTCCTGATTTGGAACATCTCTTTCTGGGGAAGCTAGGTAATCCAGGGGCCGCTTTGGATTTCAGCTGTCTGTCAATTGCATTTTGTTATTATGGTAACCTGGTTTTAAATAAAAATCTACAATATATAATGTGTTTCACTTTTAATCACACTGCTGTTGAATTTCCATAATATGCTGTCTTGAAACTTTGTCACTTGTACACAATTTGGTTTAAAAGCATATTGAACTATCACAAAAATTAGGATATATTGAGAAAGCATAATCTTTGTGGATGTGTGTGGATTGGATTAAGCATCTGACCTAAACTATTAAATTGAACAAAACTGCATTAATCTTGCACTTAATAGAGTTGTGTATTTTACTCCCTATTCTTTACACATGAAGTAATGTTTTTATTTTCAGGTTTGAATAAATCAATTTCTCTAATATCTAAATTCTGGAAATGAAAAATATCTTATTGAATAAGCCACAAGTGAATAGATCCATGGAATAAAATTGACCATAATTGTTGGTTTATGTAATTATCAATATATACACGATAAATCATATTAACAGCATTAGAGTTACATCAATAAAAGTTTGAACAGTACAGTATACTATATGACGTTCATTCTAGCCATGTCAAATCATCTGAACCAGATCCAATATTTGTTTAAGCAAATTAAGAGTTACAGTCAATATGAGCATTCTGTATATCTATTGGAAAATATATTTATTCTACAGGGAAATTAAGAACATTGTCTTATAAACATATATTAATACACACAAATGTTCATCTGTGTTTTAAAATCTTCAGTATCTGAATGTCACTCAGCTGCATATGGAGAATTCAACTGCAAGAGAACAAAGATATACGTTTGTTGGAATTAATAGATATTTTTTCTTAAATGCAATATGAACCAGCTTCTTGAAAATAATTAAAATGCCAATTTGACTCAACTTATTCTTGTAAGTAATTAAAAAAAGATGAAAATGCCATGGATATGATTAGTACTGCTTAGAAGTTAAAAGACAACGGATTTTAATGACTTCTCAAGTAAGCTATTTATTTTAATTAGTATCACAGATGTCTTCAATCTCATATCATTCAGCTTATTTGAATGGAGAAAAATACTCAGGCATTTTGTGTCATTGTGTACAGCACAGTGAACAAGGATAGGAAAAATAAAAGGGAGATATCTGAGGAAGAAGATAATGGCCAAGCATGGTAAAGGGAAAAGTTATAAAACCATTTCCACACAGCTCCTTGTTCCTGTGATCCTGTATGCTAATATTATCAGTAAGTTTAAGATCCATGGGTCAGTAGTCACCCTCTCTGGGTGTGGCTGCAAGAGGAAAATTGACCTCATTATGAACAGAAAGACAGTTTGAATGGTGGGAGAAAGAACCAAGGAAAACTTCAGCATAGATCCTGGCTGACCTCCAAGATCAAGATACAACAATATTGAATTGTACCATCCAACACTATCTGACTGAAACTGGCCTTCATGATAGAAGATCTAGAAAGATCTCACTTCTGAAAGAGACACAGAAATCCCAGAGCAGAGTTTGATATAATGCATGTTGACAAGCCACAAGTCCTTCTGGTTTTTGGACAGATGAAACAAGAGTAGAGCTTTTAAGTAGGTCACAGCAGCTCTATGTTTACAGAAGAAAAAACAACACTTTTAAAGAAAAGTGTTCCCTATTGTAAAGCAGGGAAGAGGCTCCCTAATGTTACGGAGTTGTTTTGCTGTCTCCAGCATTGGGTGCCTTGAATCTGAGCAGGGCATTAGAAAACCAGAAGATTATCAAGGCATTCTGGAGTGAAACATAATGCCTAGTGTTACAAAGCTCTGTTTCAGTTGCAGGTCATAGGTCTTCAGGCAGGATAATGATCTAAGCCAGTGGTTCTCAACCTGTGGGTCGGGACCCCATTTTTTTCCCCTTTTCCTTAGCTGTGCTACTCCCTTTTATTCTATTGGCTTTTGAAAGCCAATAGAATTAGATTCTCTTGAATAGAGTCTAATTCTATTGGCTTTCAAAAGCCAATAGGAATTGTCCAAGCTGTCTCTGCTCTGCTGAGCCTGCCAAAAGTCCCATTTTGCAAACGGTGCTGCACCAGTTGAGTAGTCCTTGACTTACGACCGGTTGAGTAGTCCTCGACTTACGACCGGTTGGGGGTCGCAGCATTAAAAAGGTTGAGAACCACTGATCTAAGCCATTATCTAAGAAAACCCAAAATGGTTAAAAAGCAAACATTCATCTGTTCTGAAGTGGATCTGAATCCAACAGAGCATCCATAGAAAGTGCTGAAACTCACACTTGGGAGAAGGAACCTAAAACTAACGGGAAGAATGGGGCAAATTGCCAATTGAGAAATGTAGACATTTTATTCAGAGTGACAGAAAGTACATGATTGCAGTTATTGCCTCAAAACATTGTGCTACAAAATATCTATGAAATAGATTGGGGTATCAGTAATTATGTCCATGCCATTTTCATTTGTTTTGTTAAGTAACCTTAGGTTGAAATGCAAATGAGACTGGAATTTCCATTGCTAAGCAGTGTGGTTATAAAGCTCAATATCAATGAGTACATCGCTTAGTAACAGCAATCCCAGTTTCTATTGCTGTCATAACCCAAGGACCACATGAGTCATTAAATAAGAACTTCACATGACCACAATGTGGGAAGACCCGGGAGTCCCAGACTAGTAAGCTGGCAGGCAAAAGCTATGGTTAGGTGGGTGCTACAGAGTGTGAATGGGCCAGTAGTTGCTATGGGTGGGTGCTATAGAGGGCGAGCAAGTGCCACAGATAGAAGTTCCTTAGGAGAAAAAGTGGCAGGAACAGGAGTGACTTGCAACTTCCTGCCAACTTCCCTATTGACTTTGTGGAAAGCTGGCAAGGAAGGTCGCGTATGATGGTCACGTGACTGCAGGAAGCTACAATCCTCATAACTGAGAGCTGGTGGCCAAGTGCTGAATCATGGTCAGGTGATGGTAGGGATGCTACAATAACCATAACTTCAAGGACAAGCAGTAAGTCTCCCTAGTTCAGATCCTTCATAACTTTGAACAGTTATTAAACGAATACTTGCAAGAATATGTTTACTTGTACATCAAAAGTGAAGTTTCTACTCCATAAGCTATAGAATAAAATTGGTGGATGCCATTTACTTTTGTCAATTTCAACTTATTTCATAGCAAATTGGGATTCTTTGTGAAAACGTGGAAGGAGTACCAAAGGGTACTCTTGTATCGGCATCTGTAAAACTTAAGGTAAACAGAAATTAAAGAACAATGTAAGGGATGGAACCAGATGTTGCAAAATAAAGTAGCTCTGACAGACAGGTTGTCTGAAGAGGTACCAGTAGGTAGCTAAACATTTGGGCTAAATTTGGGCTAAAATATGTTTTGAATAAACAACATCCATAAACATTTCAAAATGCTATTACTGCATTCAGAATTATTTTGTGCACGCCCATCTCACTGGTTTCCAGAGAGGGAAACTGAAATTAGTGAAAAAGTATTTGAAATCTATAAGGAGTAAAAGTCTGGCAAGAATTATAAAAGATTGTTTAAATTTTGAGTCACTAATAAACCAGCAGAGATATCTGCAGGATGAAAAAAAAAATAAGGAAAATGCATTTCAGGGATAAAAGCAATTTTTTCTGCCAAAGAACATTTCTCTCTTTCAAAAAATAATATATTCCAATTTTAAATCAATATATTTTATCTAGTTACATCTCTATTTTTAGCCCAGGTTCTAAGCTTTTGAATAGTTTCAGCATCTCTTTTTTCAGGAATCCACCTGGAATATTAATGTAATACTGTTAATCTTTGGGGAAAGCTTCAATAATTGTTATGGTACTGAGCCACCAGTGTCCTTAAATTGGTCTTGTTTCTAAGGAAACAATTTGAGTTGCAACAGCCCAAAATGACTGTGATATAACCAGAGTGTCTGCCTTTGCAAATGTACCTTCTGCTATATTTCCACTTTCAGTTGCATTTACTTGTTTGTAAGGTGTTTTTCACCTTCCTGGACTGTTTTAAGTTCTGTAAATTCAAGTTGCTATCATTCCTCCAATGAAGATATTCTCAGCAGCAAAAACTTAGCGATGTATGAAGAATCAAACTAAAGAAATAGCAGGTTGTTGCAAATCAACAGTCTTTTATTAAACAGTTATAACAATAAGTTCTGATAATTCAAATAGCTGATTATTTCTCAGGAATCAAACGTTCATTTGTTCAGTACCTGGTTGTAAATAAAGTAAAAATAAACAAAACCTGCAACGTACAGCAGTTTCCATTACAGAAGGGTTCAAGTGTTCTCTCAAAACAGCATAAACACTTGGTGACATGGGAAGAAGATCTGATGGAGAAGGTGGATCTGTGGAATTATTCAGACTTTAAAAAAGAAGACAATTATGTTTAGTAAACATGATGTACATCTTAACACCTTATTTTTATTCTCACATGTTTATAATGCCTTTCCTTTCATCCCATCACATCCTTGCTCTCAAACAATCCAATTATTAAAAAAAAAATAAAGAGTTTGGATTTCTCAGTGTGTTTTAACATCTCAGTTAAAGAGCAACATCCATAGCAGAGTTTGCTAAGTTTCCTACATTAATTACTTTAGATCAGTGGTTCTCAACCTGTGGGTCGGGACCCCATTTGGGGTCGAACGACCATTTCACGGGGGTCACCAAACAACGCAGTCCGCCATTTTTTTCCCCTTTTCCTTAGCTGTGCTACTCCCTTTTATGCTATTGGCTTTTGAAAGCCAGTAGAATAGACTCTCTTTTTTTTTCTTTTTTTTTTTAAAAGTGGTAAAGTTAATCTTTTTATTGAAAAATTTTTATAAATTTTTACAGAGAAACAAAAAAATAACAATACAACAACAGCATAAACAAGAAACAAAACAAAACAAAACAAAACAACCCTTCCCCTACCCCCCCCCCCAGAATACTCACTCCCTCCCCCCCCTGGAGCTTCCCAGAGCAGAATATAGGCTTAGTTAAGAAAAATTAAAAAAGTTATATAATAAATAAATAAATAAATAAAGAATATAACACTAAGATATATATATTAGAATAGACTCTCTTGAATAGAGTCTAATTCTATTGGCTTTCAAAAGCCAATAGGAATTGTCCAGGCTGTCTCTGCCCTGCTGAGCCCGCCAAAAGGCCCATTCTGCAAACGGTGCCGCACCAGTTGGGTAGTCCTCGACTTACAACCGGTTGGGGGTCGCGGCATTAAAAAGGTTGAGAACCACTGCTTTAGATAATAACAACTGAAACGAATAGAATGATTACTCACATTTTAGAGACTGGAATGAAGACAGAGGGGACATAACCTTTGGTCCCTCCTTCTGTAGGTCTTGCTACTAAATGTAAAATATGATGCACATTAAGTCTGGATCAAAACTAAGAAGTGTAAGCGATTTTGGGTACATGGGAGGATGTCACTTCACACATTTACCTCAATTAAGGGAAGGGAAGACATTCAAAATAATTTCTGACCTTCATTAGGCTGAGAGCTGTAGTGCTTTCCAAAAGCTTTGTCTTTGGGGATATTGGGATAAAGATACTGCAGTGGGTTTTCAGGAATGTTATCTGTCGAAATAACTTTGTAATCTCGTAATATGTCTGCAAATGGCAAGGCAGTTAAGCGGCCTTTGTTATATGGTTCAACAGAATGAAACTTCACTTCCCCTGCAAAGATAACAGAGTTGTTAAGAAGAGGATAGAGTTTTAATAAGCAATATAATATATGACAATCAAATAGATAAGAGGATAAGTTTCAGATTTTTAAAAAAATAAAAATAAAAAGGACAAAAGCACAACACGGAAAATAAAATGCCCAATCCACAAAGGCTGCCAAATCGAATCAAGCACCCGTAGTTCAGCAGGTCAGATCAAAGGAGTAGAGTTCTTTTGTACCTATACACAAAGGGTTTAAGGAGTCATAAAGGAAAGATGAAGATAAAACGAAGTGTTATGTATTTTAGCAGTATGGAACTTACCATTTTCAGATAGGGATACCCAGGTAAATGTAATCCCTCCTAAATTACTTTCACTAAACCTTAGTAGAAACGTCCCAGGTTTCTTGTCTTTCAGCAAAGCTCGCTCCTTCTCTTTGTTCACAAAGCCCATAATGCACCTGTAAACAGGATGTGAAAGTACAACTTTATATGAATGCATACATGTAAAAAAGGGACTGTGGAATTCACCTGGGAAAATGTTATATGACAATCCCAAATAATCGCAGGTTTGCAGACCAAAACGTAAAATCTACAGGACTGATCAGCCTTGTAGTATAACAAAAGAACAAAAGATCACATATGATTAGAGAAATGGCACTGGAGGAAGGATTTTATTTTTCAATTGCCACTCTGACCTAAATACAGGAATGGTATTTCGTCCAGTGGCCAACCAGGTGACATAATTTAACTATTTTTGGCTGATCTGAAAAAAAAAAAAAAAAAACTAAACAGGATTGAATCTGATTATTACTCAGATGAAAAAACCATCAAGAATTTCCCAGTTTGCAGGCTACATTGGGAGGCTAACAAAAACAAAACAAAAAAAAAAAAAAACACATCCTGGAAGAAGCCATAACAAACCATTTCTATACTGCTGACAAGAAGACTGCACTGACACGGGCACAAAGTCACAAGATTCAACTTGTGTTTTAACTTGAAGGACAATCTGCTTCATAAAAGCTTCAAAGAAGCAATATATAGTCAGGAAGCTACAAACCTCTTCCTCAATATCCCTTCCTCTGCCATTGCATTTCCCCCCCAATCATTTAATGTCTCCTGAAACTCTTTAATAAATAAATAAATATCATTGGAGAATTAATAATAATGGTTTTTCCAAGTCATATGCTAATTGGAATTGTTATTATTATAACATTAATTAATTATTCAGTTAAGCATTTTGCTCACACCTTCCACCATGCATCAGTTAAATAACATTTAAAAATAAGATATATGTGTCTTCATCCTCTACCTTGACTGTGCATGTGGAACTGAGTGCAGGTACCTTTTCATCTGGGTTATTTCTGCAGCAAAATGTCAACGATATCCCATTTTGATTCCGATCACAGTACCCACAATTCGTAGTTAGAATGCTAAGTGCAAATTGGATGAACAGAACCAGAACTCAGCCAACTAATTTCTCCCTATAGATTTGCTGAATATCAATTATATTTACCTTTTTTTTTTTACACCAGTCAAGCTTTCCCCATGGCTTTACCTTTGCAAAAATGCTGCTTACCCATCAATCCAAAGAGGAAGAATGTGTTTTTTAATCAGATCCATGATTGCTTCAAGCCACGCCCAAAATGTAAATGATTTACCAGGCAAGTGTTCCTGTTTAATAAAACAAATTGGGTATAGTACAAATGAAGCAACATATTTAAGTGAACATTCCAAGTCATTTATAAAAACATTGAAGAATAAAGCACCCAAGTGGCATTCTACTGCCATTTTCCATCTAAACTATTGCTGAGTAAAGGTAGTCCTTGCTTACCAACCGCAACTGGGATTGACAAGTCTATCGCTAAGTGACACAGTCGTAAAGTGGAATGTCAGGTAACCATGCTGGTTTGTGACATTAGTTTTGCCTGCAGTTGTTAAGCAAATCATTGTGGGTTATTAAGTGCGACATCGCACCACTTGTGATGTCCTGCCAGCTTCCCCATTGATTTTGCTTCTCAGAAGCCAGCAGCGATTCGTAAATGGTCATCTGTTGCAAAGCGTTTGAATCTAAATCACATGACTGCACAGATGCAGCAAAGCCACAACTCTGAGGATCTGTAAATCTCATTTTTCAGAACCATTATAACTTTGAGTAGTCGCAAAGCAAGCAGCCAATAAGCAAAACCTGTACTCTTTCAGACTGATTTTGGAGGGAGCTCTATACTTGCTTATTACCATGAAGGAAGCCTTCCTGAATTCAAGATATATTTACAGACATAATGACCATTCAAAGTTACAGTGGCACTGCAATAAAGTGACTGTTTTTTACACTTACGACCTTTGGAGCATCCCCATGGTCACGTGATCAAAATTCAGATGATTGGCAACTGGCATGTATTTATGATGGATGTAGTGTCCTGCCGCCATGCGATCACTTTTTTGCAACTTTATGACAAGCAAAGTCAACGGGGAAGCCAGATTCACTTAACAACCATGTTACTAGCTCAACAACTGCAACGACTCCATTAACAATTGAGGCAGAAAGGTCATAAAATGGAGCAAAACTCGCTGAACAAGTGTCTTGCTTAGCTACAGAAAATTAGGGGTCAATTGTGGGCGTAAGTCAAGGACTATCTGTAACTCTAATTCTATTAAGTGAGTTACCAAAAAATAAGATAAGTTTGATCTGACCAAGCTCTCAAGCTGAGCCCTGGTAATTAACATACTGTTTTCAAAGTGCTTAAAGATCAGTTTTATCTATTCTAGCAGTTCTGTAGTTGAGTCACACAAAATGATCAGAATTTCCCCTCTTTTTAAAATGGTGACATTAGCTCTTTTCAAGTGTTCTCTAATAGTTGTATTCTTTAATAACTGTAATCTTTAATAGTTGTATTCCAGTCTTGGGTACAATTCTAAGAGATCTCTATTATGCCTTTTAAAATATGTATGTCTTTTACTAGTAAAGAACTCAAACTCACCTGGTTGAATACTCTTGAGTATTAGTATATAGACCAGTGATGGCGAACCTTTTAGAGACCGAGTGCCCAAACTACAACCCAAAACCCACTTATTTATCACCGGGTGCTGGGTGGGCATGGCCCACTGGGTGGGCGTGGCTGTGGTGGTCATGGCAGACTGGGTGGGTGTGGCCAAGGTGGGCGTAGTCACCTCAATGTTGCTTGTGGGGAGGGACACCTATGGGGGCCGGGTAGGGTTGGGGGAAATCCAGGGGGTCTCTGGCAGGTGGGACGGTGGGCAGGAGGCTTGTCCTGCGGGGTGAGGCAAGGCAGGGCAGGGGTGCCATTGTCACAGGGCAAGGTGAGGCAGAGGCCGGGGTGGCTTCTGCCCGACACCATCGCCCCACACACACAGAGGCCAGCGAGTACATGAGGGCCGACAGTGTCTGTCTGTAGTCATAGCCTGCTGACCCCTCAACCGGCACACTCTGGGGCTCTGCAGCCTGTCGTCAATAGTTCAGAGAAACCGCCTCTGAGCTGGATGGATAGCCGACAGCTAAGGAGGCAATGCAGTGGGTCGTGCCCGGGAAAAGGAGAGCATGTGAGGCCAGGAAGGACAGGACAGAGGGGAGGGAAACCAGCCATGCTGGGATGCATCTGGCCATATGGGACCTCGGTGAGTTAGTGGGCAGCTGATTGAAGAGGGACGGTCGCCATCTCCAGGGCATGGTGCGGATGCCCATAGAGAGGGCTCTGAGTGCCGCCTCTGGCACATGTGCCATAGGTTCGCCACCACTGATATAGACAATGAGGGCAATGAACTTTACAAGTCAACCTTTTTTTCCCAGTTTTTCACTGAGTGGTTTAAGCAATACTTTGATTTTTTGCAATGCCTAATTTATCTTAGGCTCCTTCTTCAGAGTTTCAGTTTCCATTCCCCACAGACAGAACCAATTCATGCTTTAGCAAAATGTATTTTTACCAGTCCTCGTTTTGTCCCTTTTTGAATCTCACAAGGTTTTTTTTAGTTCTTGATTAACAACTGTTTGCATTTTCTGAGAAATGTAAATTAATGCTACCTATTTAATCAAATTATCTTCAAGGTTCATATACTGTATTCCAGAACTCTAAACAAAAAAGTTCAATTCAAATTGCCAAAGGTCTTTGCTCCATTTAAGAATATTAGTGTGCCTTGTTTTTCCCTCTGTTGTTCCAAGTATTCCAAAATATCCAAAATATTTCTACTGTTATCTCATAATTGCCTTTTAAGAAAAAAATCCCAGACTGAAACTCGTTTTGCTGGTTTTGCTCAAGTGATCACACTGTTTTGTGAATGTGTCTTCTACGGGCATTTCCAGTGTTTTTAAGAGAAATGATATAAACTGTCACATTTTTCCACTGTTCATTTTCTAAAACATTGTCAATGCATTTAAAAACTTTCCCTTGCTTTGTAGCACATATCAAGTGGTTTCTTTTCCAAATAGTACGCCGCCCCCCCATTCACCAGTGAAACAAGGTAGACCCACTAGCCATTTTATTTGCAATAGGGAGAGTGCATTTTAACAAAAGAAGGTTGCTTACAGAAATTTCACACAAAGGGCACATTTACCTGAGACAAGAAAGAACCTTATAGGAAAAAAATAAAGATGAAATCTTATAGATGGTTCTAAAGAAAATATAAACCTTCATAGAAAGGTACTATGATACTTCAGGATCAAGCTCATGTAATAAAAACAAGCAGGAAAGTAACATTTTGAAAGTGAGATATATTAATAGCAAACAAGTACCTTACAGAACTTTGACCATGAAAGCTGATGATCACCGGAAGTAATCTGTTGCCCTAAAATATAAAGGGGGAAAAAAATGAGAGCGACTTGTTTCCAAAAAAATTATTTGTTTTCAAATAAAATCAAGATTGTTTAAGAAGACAAACCTGTTTTCTTAATTGGAGTTTCAAAGCAAAGACTCTTTTCTACTACCATAACTGAAGCTCTCATGTCCATGTCAAACAGTAGATGGGAAATTGTATACATGCTTCTTTAGTCTGATAAAGCAAAGCACATTCTCAGTTCCTACCTATTAGTTTTTCTGCCAGCATTTCCAGTTGATCCGAATTCAGTCCACGGCCAACATATGATGAAAACTGCCAGCTCAGGACTTCTAAGAGCTGACTCAAAGTGACAGGGATTGGATTATTAAAGAAAGCCAAGTTCTGCAGTCAAATAAAAATTAATACAGAATTTGATTAGTTCCACTTCCAGTCTTCAAATATCACTATAAATTGCTGGGAGACTTTGAGAGCCCAAAGATAGGGGTAGAAATGGAATGAATAATAATTATATTTAAATATTGTGAAAATTCAAAGCTTTTAAATAAAATCAAAAGCCCTAAAGAATTCATTTAGAGAGTGTGTAAGGAAACATATACATATACAGAACATACACAGTAATATCATGAAAATAAGGATATTAATAGGTTCCAAATAATATGGTAATGTTTTGCACTTCAGAAATAAAAAACGAGTATTTTCAGAAGCAAAACATGCAGTTCTAATTCAGTTGTACTTTAAAATGCTAAATATCTTTGTCTGTATGCAAATTGCTGGCTGTAATTCTAAGGGTACTTTTAAATCCATAATGCCTCTTATACCGGGTGTACTAATTTTTATTTTGCTTTACTAATTTCAGCTATGAAGTTTGCAGTAGTAAGCCAGTGGCTTTACTGGCTATTCTGCAGCCTCAAAATATGAGAACATGCACTTTTATAAACACCTTTAAATTCATAATTTCATTTTACAAACTAGAAAAAGCAAAAGACAATTACAGCATTTGCTCTTCTCCAAAAGGTTAAAAAAAATAGCCTACAAAATACCTATATTAGAGAAAAGGCATGCAATAATATGAGCATAAATGAACAAGAACATAAAGAGATATGAAGGAAACTATTAAAATACACCTATTTTTTAAAATGTGGAGCATAAACATGTGTACAGATTTTGTAAATAGAATAGTTATTTCCATTTGCAAAAGAGGAAGGAACCTCAGGAAAAAGAAATGAGCAGGTGGTACATATATATCCATTTATCTTTTCTGCTGATCAATGGACTATATCACAGGACAGAAAGCCTAAGGAGGTCTAGTTGCATTTATATTCAACTTGTGAGAAAGATCATTAGCTTTGCAAAATGTACCTGGAGTTCACTTGTTGACAAGTTGTACCAAATAACAGAAGCCCAAGCATTAGGCAATTGGCTGACATTAGAAATCATCACCACTGGTAAAGAGCTTGTCTGATGAAAAAGATAAATGGAGAAATCAATGTAGACACAGAATATAGCAAGATCTAATTGCCCGGGGAATAGATTGCAGTTTTACAACAAATACATTGCAAGAATGATTATAACGTTAGAAAGGAATCATGCTGAGAATATGTCTCTCAAATTTTTGCAAGGATTGAATATTCTTGGAAGCCGATTGGGCTATACTTCAGGAATTATGCATAATGTACCTAATCTACCTCATAAGCAAATTTTACATTCTAAATAAATAATAATTCTAAATAAATTAGGGAACTGTTATGTACAAGTACACAAATTGATTGTTTTTATACTGAGACCATACCACTAATGTAGTTAATTTTGTTAGCTGTTTAAGATTCAGTTTTTATTTTTAATAGGGTATGGGAAAGAAGAAGGGCAAATTTAGTTGAAGGAGCAAGTCTGCACAGAGCACAAAATTCTTGCTGAACTCTTCAACCCATCAGCAGCTGGTTTTCAAGTAGACATTCCTAGCAGAGAATCTAGATCAGTTCATGACAGAAGTTACACATGCAAAAAAACACAAGAAATGAGAACCATCTAAGATATTTTCATGCTATTTTATAATCCCTCCTATATTGGCTCCAAAAAAAAGAGAACTATTTTCATTATATGTACTTTCAGGCAACTAAAACAGGTATTTACTTATTCATGCATCACCACACTGTTGCCAAATACAACACTATTCCATTCTTTTGTTATAAAATTGTAGCAAAGTCAGGGATTTTATTGTAATGAAATATTAACCATTATAGCACTGTTATAACACCTTATCTACATTATAAAGAAGTTAATTGAATCAGATCAATGTCTCATCTAATCTAATGTTTTGTTGACAATGGTGATAGGCAAAGTTTTACTGCAAATAAGATTTGCATGTTTCATCCCCAATCAGAAAAAAGAAAGTGTGCAGTTATACTCTGCCAAGACTACAGATAATTATGAATCCATTTTTGCTTACTGACTGGGGTTAGGCAGGCAGAGTTACCCACTGATAGTTAATCACATTGTTTTATTGACCAATAATTAAGAATCAGGGTTCAGCTATGAAGATAAAGCTGTTAACAGAACTATGGGGAACTGGAGAAGGAGGAAGGCGGTTTAATGAATATCAACGGGCTAGTTCTTCCAAAAACACTTTAACCAAATTGTTTCTCTTGCTTCAAATAATATATACAAAAACAGAGGAAGAATTATTTGATGATCCAAATGCACTGACTTGGAAAATTAGTTGGCAAAGGAAGAAAGCTAGAGTAAGATTGAAGGAAACAGAAGCTTTGACCTATTAGAGGGGATGCAATGTTACTAATTAGATGTTTGAATATGATTAAGAATAGATTGTTAGAAATAGAAGTATTATTATAACTAGATAGTTAGGATTTGTAATCAGAATATTATATCTTGGTATGAAAAGGGAAATAAGAATATGCTAAGAACTTTGAAGAAGGGATGCTTTTGGTTGCTCAAATATAACTTGTTTTGAAATTATAAATGATTGGGATACTTTGAACATGGATGGGAAATTAAAATTGAAAAAAGCGAAAATAGGACATGGATTAAATAAGTGGAAATTGAGCGCAAATGCAATTAAGATATGCTTTGGTTAGAAAAGATATTTTAAACTGATATTATTGACATTATTAGAAAAATATAACAATATTGATATGCAATTGTATATTTACTAGCAATAATAAGAATTGTATTTGCTTAGTGCGGAAAAATGGTTATTACCAGAAGAGGGGATGTACTGGCAGGTGTAATAGGGGACTTAGTTGGAAGAAGATTACATGTACCACAGAATCACTAATGGACTCAGTCATCACGTTGCCTATTGGTCACTTGTTTGTATAAATAGAAAAATAATAAAACGTATATATATTAAAAAAGAACTAGGGTTCAGCTATGACAAAGAGAAAACGATTATGTAGAACTTGGTTTTTTTAAAGCAGCAATTACTTGCAATCTCTCTTTCTATCTTTTTAAGTGAAGATCCAGATTACATTTTTGCTCACTTGAGAGAGCCACAAGATGTCTTCAAAGCAGTCTTATTTAATCAGCTGAATATAGTCCACTACCACAAACGGGTAGTGAGTCATGTGCATTATTTGTAATTCAAATTTTTCCATTCATTCAGCCCGATTAAAAACACTTACTTCCAAATCTATAGTCATCCCATATAAGCAGATCTGTGTTTCAAAAGTGATTGAATGTAGTTCTTCAGTTACCACTTGAGGAATCTGAAAAAAGGAATAATAGTTTTAAAATGACATGGATTAGAACAGTTAAGATTGAGAGTACACTTGCTTTATAATATTTACAGGATTATCTTTGCTAAAGCATAATGGTCAGGGCAATTCATAGGCTGTACCATTGCAAGTATCTTTGTTCATATCTTCAAATCAGGTAAATGGAACTGAAGCAGAGCACAACAGTGCATTTATTTATTTGTACATTTATTAAATGTATATGCCGCCCACCTTACTCTACAAAGTGACTGTAGTCATGGCATATTGTTGTATATTAATTTCAACTCAAAACTGCATATTATGGATCAGTGATGGCAAACCTTTTAGAGACTGAGTGCCCAAACTTCAACCCAAAACCCACTTATGTATCTCTGCGTGCCAGGTGAGTGTGGCTGCCGGGTGGGTGTGGTCTGCTGGGTGGGTGTGGCAACTGGTCATAGCAGATGGGTGGGCATGGCCAATTCGATGTTGCTCCTGGGGAGGGACATCTGTGGGGGCTGGGCAGGGTTGGGGGAGATCCAGGGGGTCTCTGGCAGGTGGGGTGGTGGGCAGGAGGCTGGTCCTGCAGGGCGAGGCAAGACGAGGCAGGGTGGGGGTGCCATTGTCGCAGGGTGAGGCAGGGGCCTGGCACCATCGGCCCCTGCACACACAGGCCAGCAAGCACATGGGTGCTGGGATACATCCGGCCACGTGGGACCTCGGCGAGTTAGCGGGCGGCTGGTTGAAGAGGACAGTTGCCATCTCTGGGGCATGGCGTGGGTGCCCACAGAGAGAGCTCTGAGTGCCGTCTCTGGCACACGTGCCATAGGTTTGCCACCACTGTTATAGATATTATTTTGTATTTTCATTTGGTAAATTTCAGATGACAAAAAAGACCAGAAGAGGGAGCCATTAAGCTAATTTTTTGTATTAAATGGGGGGAAATGAATTGAGCATAAACATTTACAATAATATTTTAATACGACTTTGTTATTTAAAAACTGGTTATTCAGATTCTTAGGCTCCATTTATAAATTTTTCTCTTCAAGACACAGTCTTTTGTCTGAGTTTAGGGTACAGGGTGTTGATCATTAAGACAGATTTGCTTGTCTTTAAACAAATAATACAATATAACAAAATAGTAAAACATTGTGCCATTATATATGTCTGGAATCAATTTATCCATTTTAGGTAGTTCCATCTTAGATAATAGGCCTCAAGAAAGATTAGCATTTATGTTTCAAATGCTGTAGTATTATTTTGTTCCTTAGGTAATAAGCCTTAGGAAGGATTTAACATTTACGTTTCAAATACTATATAGTATTATTTTCTTGAGCTCAGACCATTATTTCCTCCTACCTCATTTCCTTTGTTTGTACCACTTGCTTTCATTTCTTTTGGCTGCTAAAAGAATTAAAAAATAAGAACTACTTCAATACGCAAAGCATTTATTCACATAAATGTTTAAAGATGAGATTCAATATTTACCAATAAATATTAAAGTAACATGATATGGGCTATTGATGGCTATTGTTTGACTTTTCTGAAATGGATTTATTTCATTTTTTTCCACGTGGCTTAATTCAGCTACTTCTAAAACAGCGAAAAGTACATCAACAACTCCCATACTATATTTTGCTACGATAATTAATTTGTCTGTTTAACTATTTTATAATGTTTATATACATTTCCTTCCCACGTATATAGTAATATTTTGTTCTTAGTAACCAGTAAAAAGCTCTTACTAACAAGATAATAATATACGGCGGGATCTCTGCGCTGGAGTATTCTGTATCTACAAGTAGTCCTTGACTTACAATCACAACTGAGCCCAAAATTTCTGTTGCTAAGCAAGACAGTTGTTAAGTGAATTTTGCCCCATTTTACGACCTTTCTTGTAACTGTTGTTAAATGAATCACTGCAGTTAAGTTAGTAATACGGTTATTAAGTGAATCTGGTTTCCCCATTGACTTTGCTTACCCTGCGACATTGCAACCATCATAAATATGAGCCAGTTGCCATGAATTTTGATCATATGACCATGGGGATGCCACAACGATCATAAGTGTGAAAAACGGTCATAAATCACTTTTTCATCACTAAATGAACTGTTGAACTGAGGATTACCTGTTCCTCCTTGTGCTTTTTAAGTGCATAAAGAATAACTCACTCAGTATTTGGAACAACTTAATAAAAATCCATAGCAAGAAAATTGTATTGGCAAGTGGTCCTTCTTTCAAAGACAGCCTTTTCTGCATCTCCCAACTAAGCATCTGGAGGGGCCCCCCTGCAAATTGCGACCCTATCCTAGTTGAAACAGCAGTTTAAAGGAACATGCCTTACACTTTAGGAAATAAATGGAAAAGTGGGAAGGGGGGGAGAGTTCTTTTTTTTCTTTTATTGTTATTGTTTTCAAAAAGTGGAGAAAAACAAGGGTGCAGTGAAAGGGTTATTGGTTGTTCTATACAACATAAGTAAAGAACAAACTGACCACATCCTTATGAAGAAGGTAATTAGAAAACTAAGGGTTGGGTAGAGAAGAGAGAGAGAGAGAGAGAGAGAGAGAGAGAGAGAGAGAGAGAGAGAGAGAGAGAGACTTGATACTTGGATAGAGTAAAAAAAAGAGAGAGAGAGAGAAAAGAAGATAGCATATATAACTAAAATAAAACTGAAGAGAAAGTTTTGAAACTCCTTATGACAAGCTAAATACACAGCAGGAAACCTACTTTTCTAAATAAAAAAAACCAACTCATCATATCCTGGACTGTCTCATCATATAACATTATTGCTAAATAATATTTTATCTGTTCATATCAACTGATCCTCTGAGTAAAAGTCATAAAAGAGTGTATATAGAGTTGATTTATTATATTCCAACATTATATTCCAACATTACTATGAAAGAATAAATAAGAAAGTGAGTTCATACTTCAACATATGCGGTCTAAATAAAGCATGTTTTGGCTGGTGAGAACAAAATCTTTTTTTTTTTAAAAAAAATCTATCTGTACATAAATTTGTCAAATACAGTTTTGATTTTGTTACAATGATTCAGAGATATTTCTTTTTTAAATAATAAAGAAAAGTGTTTATAATATTGCTGTGAATCTTTTGTCCCCAAAAGTGTGACTAAAACTATGAATTATGATTTCTACAGAAGGTTAGTAATGATCTCAGAAGATAACAATTCCTGCATACAGAGAGGATAAGTTCCGAGTAACTCAGTACAACTCAGTGAATCTCTCTGTATTTGAGAGAATACATTTTTACCCCTCAAAGGAGGAAATGCAACTTTGTCTCTGTATTTAACAACGCATTTCCACCTTTGAGGGACAGTAATGTTTTGAGGGGCAGTAAGAAGGATTTGGTACTCTGTTCATAAATTTGTTTTTCTAGTTTACTTTTAATTTAAAATTAGATGGATTTACTCCTGTTCATCTTCTCTGAGTCTCTGAATTCTCAAACAGAGGCAGACATTAGCAGCAACACCTATTTATACATTTATATCTATAAAGAATATTAAAATATAAGGATATTTTACTTATATTTTCAATTTTTCTTTTTTTCCAAAAATAAAAAATAACTTTTTTTCCTCATTCACAATTTCTAGAAAAGTTACAACTTTATACATGCCAAAACACATGAAGACTTGACACAGACTTTAAGGTAATAAGAATGCTTGTTAGAGAAATGCCTCTTTAGAGAAATACTTGTTGCCTTCCTGATTGGTAAGGCCCGAGGTATATTTGACAATTAAATTCATATTTCTATTTAATATACTTTAATATTAATATTAATAAGACTATCTGAATGGCAGGAGGTGATAATTAAAGGAATGTATGCTGCCGTTTTTCTCTTCCTAAAGAGAGATTTTCTTTTGAGGGAATTCTTCCAACTGGTACTGAGAAAAGAGTGCCACATTTGCTCTGATTTTATGAATTATTCACACCCATCCCCCAGTTAATGCTAGAGACCTATAAAAGTCAGATGCAAACATGCATTTAGTTGTCAGGTATAGCTTGAACCTAACTGGCAGTGGCAGGGATGCGGTCACTACACGGCTTCTAATTAAATTATGCCAAGTTCAGAGGAAACGCTCATTACACAGTTAACAGGAATGCCATATCCACAAATGCTGAGAAGCAAGCAAGGATTTCCAATTCCTGTGCCAAAAGAAAAAAAAATTGATTTACCAAATGTCGAAATTCCACTGAAAGGTTCCCGTTTGCAGACTCATCCATGTTCATTGCTTTTACATGAGTCCCACACAGAACAAATCTGCGGTTGCTAGAAAACATATCCTGGTAAGGTTCAGAACCGCAGGTAAAATAAGAAGAAGCAATGTGTGTTTATACTTCTAATTCCATCATTCATATTTTCTTACCTTATAGTAGAGGCATTCCTGGATTTTAAAGAAACAAACAAACAAGTTAACCTTGCCCAAATCTTCAAACATACATAAAATCTGAATGATTTTCTAAATTTGCTATATGCGAGCTCTTGGTGGTTTACAATAAAAACATACAATGTAAGTTAAAACAAATGATTAAAAAGCAAACCTTCACCAATTGAAAAACCATGTGTTAAGGCCTTTTAAAATAAAATAAATTCCAGTTAGAGAAGCTAAGCCAGTGGTTCTCAACCTGTGGGTCGGGACCCCATTTGGGGTCGAACGACCATTTCACAGGGGTCGCCAAACAACGCAGTCCGCCATTTTTTTCCCTTTTCCTTAGCTGTGCTACTCCCTTTTATTCTATTGGCTTTTGAAAGCCAATAGAATAGACTCTCTTGAATAGAGTCTAATTCTATTGGCTTTCAAAAGCCAATAGGAATTGTCCAGGCTGTCTCTGCCCTGCTGAGCCCGCCAAAAGTCCCATTCTGCAAACAGTGCTGCACCAGTTGAGTAGTCCTCGACTTACGACCGGTTGAGTAGTCCCCGACTTACGACCGGTTGGGGGTCACGGCATTAAAAAGGTTGAGAACCACTGAGCTAAGCTTTTAAAGCTTTTTAAAAAAATCAACAGAGATGTCAGTCATCTCAATGGAGTATATGGTTGGGGTGGTTTCAGAAAAGGCCTGAATAAGCCATAGGCTTATTAAGAGATAAGCCTATGGCAAGTATTAAGACATGTCTCTTTAGGGGATCGTTGGAGATGGGGGTAGACTCAGATAGAAAAAGACATTCTCTTCAGTATTTGAGGTTTTAAAAATAATACCAGAACTCTGTATTTCTAGGAGGGAAAATCCTGGAGCACAAACTGACGTTGATAAAAAATACTCTGGGTCAATCCTCAATCTAGGGAACCAGGGAGAGAAATCTCAGTCTAGAAGGCTTCCCCAGTTCCCAGTTCCTTCTGGGAAAATTAACTCTATGCCAGAGGTTTCCAACCTTGGCAACTTTAAGACCTGTGGATTTCATGCTGGCTGGGGAATTCTGGGAGTTGAAGTCCACAAGTCTTAAAAGTTGCTACACAGAATAGAGCCTTGGAACTGGGCCCCCTCATAAAGAACATCTGCTGTCCAAGTTCAAGATGTTTGTGGGTCATCAGCATTCTGACAGCACCCAGCTCTGGATCATATAATGATCTTTCCCGTTTCCCAGAATGGTCTTTCCTTTTCAGTTCAGATACTGAAAAACACTGAAGGTAAAATCAGTCTGAAAAAGCCACATTTACAATACAACTTTAAGGAGTTTGCCTAACGGTCCCCATGCCATTACCACTGTTTAACTCTTAGCTAGTTGCCCGAGATCCAATACCAAAAATAAGCTGTGGAAGTTTATTCAAACATTGCATCTTGAAGTCTTCTAAAAACACCACCATTTTATTACACCATACTATAGTTATTATAGTACTCATAAGTCTGACTAAATCCTGTCATCAGCTTCTTGTATGAAGTCTAACAACTTATCCGGGTGATCTTCAAGGGCATTCTTTGGCTTTTCAATTTTATGCTTTAGAATGCTGACGTCTCTGAGTTTCAGGTTCACACCGCAAACAACATAAAGAGAACTTCAATCAAAATTGCCTAGTTTTGTTGTGGAGCAACAACACAGGCTCAAAGCAGTGGAAACTCTTTCATGAGTCTGAGTCTGATGATTCAGTTGCCAAATACACTTATGTGTTGACTTGTTCTTTTATTAATCATGTTCTTTATCATGTTTTGATTTTATGCTGATTTTCTTCTTACCATGAATGTTTTAAACTTCTTTTTTCTATATTGTGTTAACCAATGAGAAATGTTGGGTAGTAATGATAAACAAGGAAATAAACAATGCCATCCTGTTACATTTCTATCACTCCCTTGTCTTATTTTCTTAAGGCTCTACAAAGTGTCTAAATATTTGTAGAAGCATGGCAAGGAGGGAGATCTAAACGTGATTAAATAAATAAGTTACATTGGCGATTCATCTTTCATTTTGGCAAGAAAAGACTACAATGGGCTCTGAAGAAAATATTTGAGGCACAAAGCAACATTAGAAGCCTGAACAATATTTAGATGAGAGATACAGGAATATTGGGATTTGCATACAAAGCTAAATCGTTGTTTGTTTTAAATATATTTTGTTAAATGTAAATTGAAATAAAAGTGTCATTCTGATCATTTAAAAATCTGAAGCAAATGTAGTTGGAATTAGTTAGTGTCAAACATTTTCAAAATATCTTGAGAATCTTTACTAAATATTATAATGATCTATTTTTTTTTTTAAAGTAACTTACCTGTCAATAGTAGCTTTCACTTTAATCTGGTAGTTCAGGTCGGGCAATTTAATAAGCAGCCTAGAAAGTTAAAATTGTGGAATTTACTATGACAAAATACTGTTCTCCACAAACAATGCCTCAGGCATTGCTCAGACAACATGGCAATCTTCTAACACTGAAAGCAAATTAGGCAGTCTGTGTATATAATGCCAACCAGATTCATAATGTTACTGGTGGATTTGCCATCAAGTATATGCAACCTAGCTGGTTGCGGCAGAGTTGAGGAATAAGGAAAGAAATTAATGTTGGTGTTAATGTTAATGTCGAGATTGTCAAGAAAATAAGGAAATGAATTTGCATGCTAGGATTCTAATTGCATAGATCTGTAAGTGAAAGAAGTCAAAGCAAAAGAAACGGAATCCTCAAAAGGACTAAGAGAAAGAGGTAGAGATAAGGGGAAACGTCTGGTGGCTGCTGGTTGACAATGTGAAATCAGCAAAGAAATAATTATTGGGGATCGGTAGATGGGAAGGAAATAGAGAGGAAAGGAAATGAGCCTCTGAATTAGTAGGCTTGTTTAAAGTAAACTGTATAGGAGCTAAAAGGGATCCTGCTAGCTCCCCTAAATCCAAAACAGTTGCTGAATTACATTAGGACCAATTCATGGAGGTACTGTTAAGATAACTAATTATTGCAGCCAAAGATGCCACCTGAAATTTTTCTCCCCTCTTCCCACAATCCCACTCTGGTTTTGAACAGAAATAACATGAATATTATTAATCTTAACAATCAGTGCAATCGGGTAGATGCTGATGAAAATGCAAACACATGCCAACAAGTAGAAAAGGGCAGAAATGGAATATAATAGGGCCAATGACGTTAGTTAAAGCAAGAGGGGAAATAATTTGGCTTGCTTGAACAGCTCAAATTGTAACTTTGCACAGAAGAGTTCATTTGGAGGCTTAAGAGTTAGCTAAACACTTCTCCCTATAGCAAGCTGTTGCATAAAAGCCAATGGAAGGCTCATGCACCTCTTTAGGAATTTGGTCTAGGGCACATGACAGGTTTTAAGAAATATGCCAAAACATTAAGCCAATCAAATAAATGGCAAGCAATAGCCTTTACTCACCGAAGTTTAACAGCAAACTGTATCATTGTTTTCAGAACTAAAGGCCTCTGAGGATGAGTTGGCATGGAAGGCTGCCTCTCCACTATAAATGAACTAATGAGAAAGGAAATCATTGTCTGCAGTCCACAAACAATCCTGGTGAAATACTGCAAGATTAGCAGCTTCGTTTCTTCAAGATAGCATGAAAAAAATATTTATTTTATCCAACCCAGTTTTCAGAAAATTTCTTGCAAAATTAAACATCTCCACGGCTGAGATGAAAGAGCGTTATATAATAGTTTCCAGTAGAACTTCAGATGAAAATGAAAACTAACTTACGTACCTTTGGAAAAGACTGTAAAGTAAAGCATTTATTCTTTCCAACAATTGAGGTCTTTGTAATGGAATGGGGTCTCCTTCGTAGGTGAGTTTTATCAAAAGTTCATTCAGCTTCTCCAGCTGCCTTCTTATTTGAAAAAGACTCTCAGCCAATAGCGTAAAACTAAATAAACACACAAAAAAGATTCAAGTCAGTAAACTTTGGCTGGGGCTAACATTCTTTACTTTAATGGCTCCCCCCTCCCCTAATGAAAAGCTACATGAAGTTCAAGGTCAACAATGTTATTTTGACACCTGCCACAGAGAATACCACAAGTACCGTTTTCCTTCCTGGTATGAACACTCCCCCCCCCCCCCGCTTTTTAGCAAGCAATTTTCTGCTCTTTCATGACGTAGAAAATCAGCTACTTAGAATTAGAACTCTTCTTCTGGCTAATTATAAAACTAGACTTGCTCTCCCATATATGCTTTAAAAAGTATTCACGGCAACTTATGTCCACTAATACTCTGCTTCAAATGAAAGCAGTCTTAATTCTGTTTTATCACAGGCACAATTCTGAAAGCAAGTCAAATTTGCTTAATCCCTAACTCAGGTTTCTCTATAGCAGTCTTTCCCCAACAGACCCTTCAAGAAGAGGCCTGCTTTTATTCTGAAGACCTAATGGAAGCATGAATGTCAACTGCAGCATTATGGGAAGCTATTAATTTATATGTGCTTTAATTGTGTGGCAATAATATTTTGAAACACTTAATATTTAAGATGATAAATGAAAATATAAATAGCAGGCATTCTTTCCTAAAGGCACTGGTAAAAATCCAGAAATGTCTATGTCTGCCAGCCAGATATATTTCCCAAGGCAGTACCAATACTGTGTAACAGTGATGGCGAACCTTTTAGAGACCGAGTGCTCAAACTGCAACCCAAAACCCACTTATGTATCATCAGGTGCTGGGTGGGCATGGCCCATTGGGCGGGCGTGGCCCATTGGGTGGGCATGGCTGTGGTGGTAACAGCAGACTGGGTGGGATTAAAAAGTTCAATCAATCAATTCCAACTTTGCAAGATTTTTTTTTCCCGCGAGAAGTTGAAATTGATTGATTGGACTGAACCTTTTTTTTTTGCACACGGCAGTGGAGGCCTAAAGCGCAATTTTTTTATAAAACCCAGCTGAAGGCCTAGGACTGGGGCAATGGCGCGTGTGCCCACAGAGAGGACTCTGCGTGCTACCTGTGGCACATGTGCCACAGGTTCGCCACCACGGCTGTATAATTTAGTTAGAAGAGGCTATCCCAAAAGTGTTGTCTGTCTAGCTTGCACTGAAACGCAGTGTGGAAATACAAACTACAACTATTCTCTTCTATTGGAACTACAAATGTAGCCTAGAAATAGAAAGCTGAATTGCATTTGTTCTGCAATCCAGTTCCAGAGAATATTACCTGTATGATTCAACGTCAGTCCTTTTACATTTATTTTACTACTAAACAATTTCTAAGAATCAGAAGAGTCAGAAGCAGAGATCATTTAAAGAAGCATTATTTGTTGCCAATGCATGCCTCTTTCAATGATCTCTGTTTCTGACTCTTCTGATTCTTAGAAATTGCTGAACGATAATTTCTGTTAATCTCTCAGAAGAAACTTTTATTGACTAAACTGAGATGGAAAAGCCACAGAGCATCACATTTCCTGTTGCGCTTTATAGAGAAACAAGTGATAACACTTTACCAGTTTTGCAGCTGATCAAGCCCACTGTGTAGAGGGCCCCCAATGCAAGCAATTTGTTGCCGTCTCTTCCAGTCCAATAACTCTTCTATTAATATGTTATTCACCAAGGCATCAACCTCCCTTACTATTTGTGCCATTTTACTGAGAATTTCCTATAAAGGACAGGAGAGGTACCGTAGTTAGAGTAAGAGAGAATTCATAAATGATCTGATTTGTGTAACAACCTAAGCGGTGTTGTTCTTTAGCTTAATCTTATACACATGGTTTGCTGTTGGTTAATTTATCACCATCCAGCATCAAAGCAGTGGCTACTTTAAGAAACCATTTGTCTTCCAAGAAAGCAACCCGAGTACACGAGCAGCCACAAAACCCGAAGCTGCTTCTGTAGTATTGCTTCTGTGCCTTTAACTTTATTTTAAACTTTAACTACTACTGCTTTGAAAGGAGGCAGGTGCAGGGAAAACACAAGCCACTTAGCCTTCCACAGATCTGTATGTGATGCCCCCTTCCCAAGTAGGAGCATGAAGGATCTTTTTTCTTATCAAATAAAAAACAAGGCAGTGAGAAAGTGCTGCCCAGTCAGATCATTCACAACAAACATTGCTGAGACACTAACTGAATCCAGTGATCTGCATGGCTCTCACCTTTGTGGCCTTCAAAAACTCCAGCCTTGGGTTAGGGCAGGGGGTAAGCAACCCTGGCTCTTTTATGACTCGTGGACTTCAACTCCCAGAATTCCTGAGCCAGCTGGGAGTTCTGGGAGTTGAAGTCCACGAGTCATAAAAGAGCCAGGGTTGCCTACCCCTGGTTAGGGTGATGATTAGGGTGGCTGTTTTGCTCCTTTGGCTGGGGGAAGAGAGTTGGCTGGGGTTTTTTTTTCCCTCCAGATAACACCATCTTCTCAAGTTTTATTTTGAGGTTTTAACTTGCCAAATTGTATTGCATACAACTTATTTCTTGAGTATCTTGATTCTCACGACTTAACCTTTTGACACAATGGACTGCCAACTGCAACTGACATTCTCATTTACCAATATTTTCTTCAGCAACGTTGGAAGTAAGAAAGAGCAGATAACATTTTGTTTGTAATGTCTAACATTGACTGCTATATATATTAAATGTTTGAAATGAACATGCACACACATTTTAAAATACACACATAGTACATTTTGAAAAATCTTTAGCCTGGACAAAATCTCAGTCTAATCTTTCAAAGCAAATATACATTGAAGATTTCAAAACAATGGTATTGGCCTTGCTAAACAAAACATCTGGAAAAAATAAAATATTTGGGAAACCTTCTGTTGAAAATAACCAGCACTCCAGCATTAGGCTGTTGAAATTCAGCAGCAAAAATTGTCCTTTTCTTTTTGAGTTTAAGCAATGGAAGAGGTAAGTTAGGCTCTGAAGGGATCACCTCATCTATTTTCTGAAAAAAAAAAAAAAAATCCTTGCCCCATCCTTGGAAATATTTTCAACTAAGCCAAAAAAAAAAAAAAAATACAGCTTTGCCCACTGTAGCAATATGACTGACCTCATCATCATTGTATCCTTCTGAAGCCTTTGAAGACCAAAAATAATTTTGGGAAAGGATAGCCCCAACCAAAAAAAGTTTGACTTTTGCTTTTGAAGTGTCTAGTAATTCTATACCTTTTAAACCCTACAATTACTATGTGTAGCAATTAAACATTTAATGTATGTGTTCTTGTCCTAGATTTGCTGTATTATAGCTATCAAATAGCAATTCAGTATATTGCAATATACAGTATATGTATATCTAAATCAGCGTTTCTCAATTTTGGCAAATTTAAGATGGGCGGGACATCAACTCCCAAGACTAGCTGGGAAAAATCTGAGAAAGTCCACCCATCTTAACTCTATCCATCTGAAACTTGCCAAGGTTGAGAAAAACTAGTCAAAATATTGACATGACTATAGCTGTTATTAGATGTAAAGAAATTAGGCCTTGCTTCAGTGTTGTGTGGAGATTTCTGCTATGTCCTCCCTCCCTCCCCTGTTCCTCTGTGAGAGAATTTGGGAAGTCACCCAGAGATAAATTAATGAAAACCCAATAAGACGTTCTTAAAAACATGGCCCAATTTTAAGAACTAGTTGTATTGACTTTTTTTTTTGTTGGTAAATTTGGAATTACTTCTTAATTTGTAAGTAGAAAAAAAGACCTAATGACAAACAATTGAACCAACCTTTCTCTTGTAGTCTATTGTATTGAGCATTTCCTGCAACAACAGCATCTCCTGCTTCATGACAGGACTGTTTTTGTCATTCTGTTCTAAAAGGAGATATGTAGAACATGTATGAAGCATAAATACTGAGGAAACCAGTCAAAACAGCATGTGCAAGTAGTTTTAAGATCTCTTCTGTCCAAAGTTCTTTTTCTCTCATAGTTGAATTTCTAAAGGAACAAACCTATTATGATTCTCCTAGGCTGTATGCATTTTGGAGTATGCAAATATGGAAAGTTTATCTCTAGTTCTAAATGGGGTGATTCAGAGAAATGAACCCATTGCTGTTTATCGCTAACCATTTGTTAACCTTAGTTGGCTTGAACCATCCAGAGTAAAAAACAAATTATATGGAACTCTTAAATAACCCTGAATTTTCCTGCCATTTTATTTAATTTTTTTTTAAAAAAGCTTAGGATTGTTACAGCTAGAAATTCACATTTTCATTTCTAGCCATATGTGAACACAACCTGTTATCTTTTATATTAGAGCAGTATATAACTGCTGTTAATACATAAAAAATCCCATTAAAAACAAATTAATTAAGAATTTTCTTTCCTCTATTGGTCTGACTGCTGGAGCTCATTTAAATTAGAAAAAATAAGGAATTACAATACAAAATGTTATAGCCACAATCTGACTTAAAGATTAAATTGATAGAAAAAGAAGGTGTATCTTCATACATAAATACATACCACTAATCTCGGGGATACTTATCTCCAGATTAAAATGCAGAGGGGCACAGTTCTAGCTAGATTAATATTTTTCTGGATGTAGAATACATATTTTACTTGGAATTTATTTTGCAGGGAGTATGCATCAATAGTAGTTTGAGAATCAAATCCTGCCCCTCACTCCAAAAAGAAGACAGTGAAATGTTCAATAAAAATCTATAGCCTAGGTCAGTGGTGGCAAACCTATGGCACGTGTGCCAGAGGTGGCACTCAGAGCCCCCTCTGTGGGCATGAAGGCTGTTGCCCCAGCCCCTCCTCCCCCCGTGGCCCCCTCCTCACTAGCAGCCCCCCCAGGAGATTTGCCCCCAAACGCGGCCCGCACGGAGTAGTGCAGCCAAGGACATGGCGGCTGGGCAGTGGGGACAAGACTCGTCGTGCCCCATCGCACGTGGGGACAAGACTCGTCGTGCCCCATCGCACATGGATGATGTGGGGTGCGGACAGAGGGCGTGGCTGCCATGGTGCTGCTGGGCTGCCTGGGCAATCTGGGGGGTTGGTGGCTGGGTGGGGGGGTGGGGGCTGGGGTGGAGTGAGGCGGGCAGGGCGGGGCCAGTTTTTGGGCACTCGGTCTCTAAAAGGTTCGCCATCACTGGCCTAGGTATAGAACAGCCAATTTTTAAACATATGCATTTTTCCTTCATAACATTGAGTGGGAAAGCTTACCTATGTTGCATATAGTTTTAAATCTGAAGTCAAACTCCTCTTGCAAATCTTCTAAATATTTGATGTCTTGTTCTGTCAGCTGTTTTCAGATTAAATGCATTGAGTAGTAAGTGGATCTAATATAGTCCATAGCTTTAAGCAAACAATAATCACATTCCTAAGAAGCTTGAGTTTCTCTGAAATGGAATGGAAATGCTACAACTGCTATCTTCTTCCTTAGTGGGAAAAGTAGCTGGGATTACAAATCATACTAAACCAAAAAGTGGACTGATTTTTACCCAACCAATTTTAGTTTATTCAGCAAAACACTAAGTGTATCATGCTATTATCACACGCTGTAGATATATAGTGCATCTATGCATGTCTATTCAGATGCAAGTTCCAGTTTGTTCACTGGTGCTTATGCTTAGATAAGCATGCACAGAACTGCAGTCTTAAATTTCTCTTTTGTTTTTAATCAAAAAGTACAGTTCATAGGGAAAAAAGTTAGTTTCAATGAGAGGAGATCAGCTGAATTCAAGAGGGCAAAACTATGCATTTAAAAGGATTTTGCAGGGGTTCATAATTCCAAAGAAATCTTCCCTGCCTTGGCTTAATTTGGCAGCCCCCAAGAATATCAGTGAAACAGAATTAGTGGGCAGCATTCTCAAGTACTGGGATATAGCTGCAAAGAAATCTTCTACCTCTGATAAATTAACAATAACAATGTTCAGGTCAAAGCTCTGAATGGGGACATTTCAATGAGTTATGCCTCACTTGTGCTGTACCCCAAAAGGGCAACAGTCCAATTTCCATCATATATCATTTCATGCTTCTGTACCTGTGGATCGAGTTTCAAATTATCATCAAACTTAACCCGTATAAAATAATCGGTATCCCTCTAGGTAATCCTCAACTTACAATAATGCAGCCCAAATTTCAGTCCTAAGTCACGATGGTCATCAGTTGAGGCACCCTTATGATCAACCTGATTTTATAACCTTTTTTTGCAATGGTTGTTAAGCAAGTGAAGTGGTCGTTTGTCAAGTCAATGCATTCCATTGGTTGTTTTTTGCTGGAAATTAGGCGACCGCAGGGTGTGTGTTCCACTGTTGGAACTCCAGAACTGGGTTGTAAATACCATTGGGGGGGGGGGGCGTTTTCGTTGTAACTTTGTTAAGAGTGGACTACTTATATGTGAGATCTTTGATATTATCAAGTATTAGATGTACAACCTGTAATAACTTGCCTGTGTACTGTTCTTAATTTCAGAACCTTTGAGCTCAATTTTTCTTTGCCTTTCTGAACCCAAGTAGTTTTGTAATGACTTTTCTAGAGGTCCCTGAAAAAAAAAAAGAATTTTGACAAATCAGTTTATTAATACTTTCCCATTTAGCACAGATTATTTTAATGACAAGTTTTAGTGAGAGGGAACGGATTAAATTCAGTAAGGCCAATTAGCTTTTGGTAACAGTTCCTGCTTGTTCAGCTTTTTCAAAGGCAAAATATACATGTGGGAATCAGTTACAAAAAATATTGCTGGTAATGGAGGTAATTAGACTGCCACAGGTATATTAATTGGGATCTAAAAATAGCCCAAAGGAGAGTTTTAAAAATGATGAGCATTCAATGGCAAATCAAGATATGTTTAGCCACCTGAGACCTCTGCATAGTACAGAATTTATTTCAAAGGAAAAACTTAAAATGAAGACCAGCAGTACATCTTCTCATCTCTCAGCTTAAAAAAAAAAGATACAGGGAAACTATTCCATGAAGCTTCAGTTGATCTATGGTAAGGGTGTCTAACTTGATTGCATCATGTGATGTATCGTGACATATCATGATGTTTTTTGCCTTTGCGAAGCCAGGGTGGGCGTGGGCCTGCGTGTGACGCATCCAGCCCACAGACTGCCAATTTGACACCCCTGATCTACTGCATAGATATCTCTCATTATTTGCCCAACTTTTCTATTTCCAGTTCCTCAGCATCCTTCTTGTACTGTGGTAACCAAAACTGGTCTCAGGTTTTCAGGTGCAGTTTGATTAGTACTCTATAGAAATAGAACTACTATTGCATTGATTTTTTTTTGGCAACTGCAACAGACTGCTGTCTCAGGCTCATTCTGAGATCCTTATGGATCTTTCTCATAAGTACTATCGCTAATATCCCTATTAGCGATAGTGTGGGGGGGAGGGGGAAACGGGGCCATTCTTATATTTCTTACTACTGAACAGCAATTTGATGGATTTAGGATCAATGTTCAAACCTAAAAAGATCCTTTTAAACTTGACCCAGTCTTCTGAAGTATATTGAAGCTTTGCAAATTTGATGGGCATTCCTTCTATCTCCTCTTCCTCCTCCAGGTCATCATCACAAAAATTACCTGAACTGGCATACTGGCTGAAGCTAGTACTCTTCTTTCTTCTCTTAAACAGTTTGAAATAATCAGTGCTATATGTAGAGGATTGCTTTGATATTTTGCCTGAAAAACAAAGTTAAAGAAACGTAAGAAAGATCTAATCTGTATCCTGTAGCAGAACAGCCATGAAGTCATTACAGAAAATTCAAATCCATTCTTGATATGCATGTAATATACGTCATTGCATACATGAAATTAATTATATGAATCGTAGTATCCCTCTGAATATTCATAGTCTTTTCTATCATTTCTTTATTTTCCCCATTTCGTCTGTACTGTTTCTCTCAAACTTTATTTGGCAAAAGGTAGGCAAGACATTCAATATCTGAAGTTTTCACTATCATTGTATCCGCATGCTGCAATAAGTTTCTTACCCACTTAGTCTTTCATAAAAAGTTTACATGAAGCTCACAAGATATTAAATTCTTTAAGGGACTACAGTCGGGACATTTTACCAATAAATTTGGGTGATTGTTGTGTGCATCACTGAGAGGTTAATTTCTGGCTTTCCTTTAAATCTTTATATACTGAATGTTTTCTTTTATCCTCTCTTTTCCTAACCTTCCATTCTACCAATTCTGCCGTATCGGAATCTGACTAATAGAAAGGTCTTTGACTGGCACAAAATATCTTAATATAAGAACATATAGGGTGCTCTGTTGGATGGGATCCTTGATCCATCTAGTCAATCAATCTGTCCTCATGGTGGCCAACCAATCATACAAGGAAGTCCTCTAGTCTCCCAGCATACGGCCTTCAAAGGCAGCCCTGCTCCAATGGGATCTAGTGAGGAGGTTGATTCCCAAGAGGGAAGGGTGCCTTCCAGAGAAGTAAGAAGCAAATCAGTCCATATATTGGGTGTGAGAGTAACAGAATGAAGAAGCCCTTTACTAATAGTTCATATACTGTAGATGAGACAGTGGAGTCCTCAGTCTGGCAAAATTTTGTCTGTAAGTGTTAAACAATAAAAAACTCAGCTTGGAAGATTTACCATGTATCATTCTTGGTTTTGAGCTTGACACCTGCTGCCATCAAGGCTGACAGCTATTGATCCTCAGCAGAACAGAATGAATTATCCTCATATATTTAAGATTAAGGTTTATGGCTTTTAGTTTAGGTACAGCTTACTAACTTATGGAGGAGAAGTATAATGCTGAGAAAGATTCAGGCACATCAGAGAGAAGTTGGTTTTTGCACATCATGGTCAATATACACATAACTGAATATATAATTTGAGTAAAAATCTTAACTCTGTAACCCTTTGTCTGTAACAAAGCCATGCTGCTGTTCCAAAATTTTGCTCACTGTCAGTTCATACCCTTTTGATCAGAATTCTACCAAACACCTTCTTAGTTAATAAACAAATTCCTCTTGTAATTTTTGGTGTCTATTTTTGCAATCTTTCTGAAATCTTCTGCAACTTTTGTATAGGGGAACAATAATGGCCCTTTTCCAATTGTCAGGCAAAGTTAATCTTCACACGCATTAAAAAAAGTTTCATATCCACTCCATAAACAAACCACATCCATATTGTAACATTTCTGTGGCTACACTACAACTCACCCTTTTTTCAACATTCTATTATCATTTATTACTTCCTTTTTATCAGGCTTTGACTTGGTCACTGACATTGCACAGCATTCATCCCAATTTCACACTGCAACACATATATAATGGATACGTGCAGTATATACTCTATTAATAATGAAGACTGCATAGTTTATATCAGAAAGTATGCATGTTTGCAGCTTCCTTTACATTTCAAAATGTAAATCTGCAGGAGATTTCTTTGCAATTCTTTTTTAAACTCACCTGAAAAACTTTTCTGACTTTCTTTAGGTTATGTATCAAAAGGAGATTCTTCTCTTGAGAAACACGCTCTAAATGCTCATCCAGTTTTATGAATAAGTTATGCAACAGTATTGCTGCCGTGGACTCATTGCTATAGGCAGATTCCCTTTGCAACAGGAAATAAATAAGAAAAAATACATATATCAAAAATAGTATTGTTTTCAAAATCATTTGTTCAAGAGAAATATTAGGCACTAAATGGGAGGCCAAGAAATTGGTTATACAAATTCTGTTTTTATCTAAAGAAAATATTCTGTATATAATGTAAATTATATACAGAATATTATTATAATATATTATAAAGTTAAAATAAAATAAAATAATATAGATAAATATAGGATTGAAAGAGCTAATAAAATTCTCAGTTTACTTTTTAAAATGCTCTCTTCAGCTTTAAAACAGTACCGTATTTAAAGATGTAATATTTACATATCTGTACACATATACAGTATATTTTCAATTAAATGCTACTCTATGTAGTTCTAACATTAAAATAGAAATATGATAAACTGCTTATGAAAATTAACATCTGACCATAAATGTGAGAATATTATCAATATATTGATTTCTGTCTGTGTAGGAGTGAAGAAAGGACGGAGAATTAATTTAAAAATAATCATTGGAATTAATTAATAATTGCTCATATGTACTATCTAGAGTTTTGAATCTGGATACAGCTCTGTTGACAAAAAGAAGTACTATACACTTCTTCTAAAAACAATCCTCAGTGTACATTTTATAAGCCAAAATATTTTATAATTTGACATATTTATCTCCATATATCTTTCAGTATCAAAGACAATAATCATAATAGAATGATTATTTCAAACATTAAATGGGTTAATATATTCACTGAACTTTCTTTGTAGGTAACAAAATGGCTATAACAATGACAAAAATATAGAAAGAGAGGGAACATTAATTCATAAAGATATGGTCATTTTTTACTATATACTTTCCAAATTATGCTTGATGGAGTAGGCTTATGGAATATGAAATTATGTAAAATTATAGTACTATTAATTCTGTAGGTTTTGAATTATTTGTTATGTCTATTGCATGTTTACTCGTTTAATGCTGTTTAAACATGTACAGCCACAGATCTGATGCAAAACAACAATATTTTATTTTTATTTGGATAATAAAATAACTGTATTCCCAAGAAGGGTGGGGGGTTCTGCCTAGGAAGCTACTGTATATCTATATACAACAGTGTTTCTCAAACTTGGCAGCTTGAAAATGTGTGGACCTCAACTCCCAGAATTCCTAACCAGCAAGTTGTGGAATTCTTATTGAGGAATTCTGGGAATTGAAGTCCACACATCTTCAAGTTGACAAAGTTGAGAAACACTCAACAGTAAATACAATGCAAGCTATATCTGCCTATTCAGCAGTGTCCTAATATTCAAGGCAGAAAAGAAAAAAAAATGTCCAAACTTACCAGTCCTGGTTTTCGATCCACTGTGCTAAAAGATGTCGAATTTCCATGGGAAAGATGTCATCGTAAATCTGGTCTATTTGCTCTAAAAAACAGGGTTCTAACTGCTGCACTTGATTCCACTGAGACATGCTAAAAAGAAATAGGCTTGCTTTTTGAGATAAGAAAGATGGTATCTTTCAAATATGTTGGATTGCAATTTCCAGAATAGCTGGCCAGTATGATTTGCAAAATTGCCAGGTAAGAAAAATTCAGAGAGGACTTAACAGCCATTCTCCTTTTCAGACAAATGAAAGTTGCTGGTTAGAGGTAAACCATATATGCAAAGTTTGAAGGATATAGTTATTTCATATTTTGTCCCAGTTTCCTTTGTATTAAAGAAATTATATTATTGAATGAACACAGTTTATCACTTTGAAAGTAAGAAACTTATTAATTGCCAAGATAATTTCATACATTGTGCAATTTTGGCACTGTAAATGTTACGGGTATAATCTCCTGCTACAGTCTGACAGACAGTAGCAGTCTATTGTCCCTGCTTAAAATCTCTGCTTTAATTACTTTATTGTGGTGGCACAGTGATTAGAATGCAGTATTGCAGGCTAATTCTGCCAACTGCCAGCAATTCGATCCTGACCAGCTCAAGGTTGACTCAGCCTTTCATCCTTCTGAGGTCGGTAAAATGAGGACCCAGGCTGTTAAGGGCAATATGGTGACTCTATAAACCACTTAAAGAGTGCTGTAAAACACTGTGGAGAGGTATATAAATCTAAGTGCTATTGCTATTGCTACTTTATCTTTCTTCCATTGTTTTATATCGGTGTGCTATTCAAATACTTCAAAACTTGGTGCAGGTTGGGAGTTATGCTTTCTTTTCCCCTCTTCTTCTCAAAGAAAAAAACAGTACTGTAGTATATAATTCCTGAAGCATCAGCAGTAGAAAAACAGAGAAGATTGTTTCTAAAGCACACTTTCGAGTTCTGTTGCTGAAATCCCATATTTAGTATTGGAAGACAATACTTGTTATTACTCAGAATGTTAACAAAACCCAGTTGACATTGCTTTATTATCCCCATATTTTGTTTCATCAACCTTATTCTGTGTACAGTAACTGTACACAGAGGACTACAATTTTTCTTGTACCTTCAGGGCATTTGCCTTATACCTCCAACACCACCTGGCTGCTGCACATGAGAACAAAAAAGGGCATATTGTAAAGAAATAGGTATGAGCATTGATTTTGACAGAGGAGATCTGGCCTTTGCATGGTGCAATTCTATCTTCTCGGTTTTATAAAAAAAATGTTTTCTATTTCTTATTATAATACCTTTACAATTCTGCTAATGCAGAATATTTATTCATTTAAACTGTCTGTCTAAAATATTGACATGACTCACACTTAAAATACTATTCAAAAGACAGATTTCAAAAAGCAATAAAATAAAGGAACAACGTTCAGAAATTTTTTTTGGGGGGGGGGGAGGTGTGCCTTTGAGTCAGTGTTGACTCCAGGTGACTGCTGAGACTGGTCTTTCTTGACAAAATTTCAGAAATAGTTTGCCGTTGTCTCCTTTCTAGGGCTGAAAAAGGGACTGGCCCAAGGTCTGGCTTTCTGCCTTATGTAGGACTAGAACTCACGGTCTCTTGGTATCTAGCCTTATCCCTTAACCACTTACCAAACTGGCTCTTTAATCTTGATTTTAACCATTTTAAATGCAGTTCTTGATAAGTACAGAAAGGAAACTTAGGATCACAGAATCCCAAGAGTTGGAAGTGCAATGCATGATGCTGGTAGGTACCAGGATGATCTGACCTCTAAGGATCACCAGATTGTGACACCAACTAGAGTAGACGATCAGTGAAGTATATCAGATTTCATACTCAGGAAAACTGCCACGACTTGTTCCCTGCTGGAACAGCTGGACAGATCATAACCCTCAGCACATCAGCAACCAGATCACTGATGAGGTCTGTCAAACTATCTCCGTGATCAAAACTGTGCTGGGAAAAGATGGAAAAAGCTATTTTAAACCTGGAACAGCAAAAGATGGCTTTAAGCTTCCTCTGGTATTGGCTAGCAATAGCAATAGCACTTAGATTATATACTGCTTCACAGTGCTTTACAGCCCTCTCTAAGTGGTTTACAGAGTCAGCATATTACCTCCAGCAATCTGCGTCCTCACTTTACTGACCTCGGAAGGATGGAAGGCTGGGTCAACTTTGAGCCTGGTAAGATTCTAACTGCCAAACTGCTGGCAATCAGCAGTCAGGAGAATTAGCCTGCAGTACTGCATTCTAACCACTGCACCACCACGGCTAGGTATGACATGAAGGCAACATCATGAGGACATGACATGAAAAAAATGACATTGTTTGGGCATGTTTGTGCTGTAATTAGATGCAACTGAAGAAAAACCCACTCTTCTTGGTCCCAACTAAATGGATGTTAAGATGATGATGATTTAAATGGCAAATTGATACAGCAAGTAATAGCTGTTCAAAGTCCTGGGTCTAAAACAGTGATGGCGAACCTTTTAGAGACCGAGTGCCCAAACTGCAACCCAAAACCCATTTATGCATCGTCGGGTGCTGGGTGGGTGTGGCCATTGGGTGATTGTGGCCCATTGGGTGGGCGTGGTTGCAGTGGTAACGGCAGACTGGGTGGGACTAAAAAGTTCAATCAATCAATTCCAACTTTGCAAGATCTTTTCTTTTCCTGTAAGAAGTTGAAATTGACTGACTGATTGAATCTTTTTTTTTTTTGCACATGGTGGCAGAGGCCTAAAGCGAAAAGGTTTTATAAAACCCAGCTGAAGGCCTAGGACTGGGGCGACGGTGCGAGTGCCGACAGAGAGGGCTCTGAGTGCCGCCACTGGCACCCGTGCCATAGGTTCGCCACCACTGGTCTAAAACATTCATGGTCTAGAATGCAATCACCCAAGTTTGAATTTTTTCTATTAATAAATTGGATGCCAATGTAACTTTTCAAACAGAAAACTGATAAGCTCCACATGCACTGGATATGGGATAAACTGAGTTTTCAAATAGTCTTCAAAGTAAGCTTTGTGGGCAGGGCATTGACGTAATCCAGGTGTGCTGTAATTAAAACATAATTTGAGCTGAGAAGCCATAAAGTATGTAAGAACTATATCGATAAGTGGAATATTTGAGAGTGAATGGAATATTACAATAAAAGATTTGTTCAAACAATAGTTTTATCCCAGATTCTATCATGCAGGAAATACTTTTTTCTACAATGAGATTCTACTCGGTTTGTCAACTACTAGCTGCTCCCATTAAATAGGATGAGCAAGAGTCAAATGCACACATATCTCCAAAACCCTTCAAGCTGCATAAGCTAAAATTCATCCAATTTAACTGGACAATCAGGAGCTAACATGTACTGCCTAATATTATTCTTATAGTAGCATCCAAATCAAAATGGAAATGAAGACTTTAGAAACTGTCCAGCACAAGATGCTAAGCACAGACCAGTACTGCTAGCTTGCATGGAATAATTCCTGTGCTAACAGAGAAATAAACATTTTGCTACTTCACTGAACAAACTCTATCTAATATGTATTTGATTATATTCATCCCAACTTTTCCAGCTCTATGACTCTAGCCATTTCACTTCCTAATTTCAAACTTTGACTAAGATTTCAATAAAACAAATGGCAACAGAAGACACAGATGTTTCCAAAAGTTATTAGCCATTTTGGATGGATTAGCCTCCCAGAGTAGACCATCCTGCTTCTGAAAGTACCACAAAGCCTAAACTAGGGGTCTTCAAACTTGGCCCTTTTATGACTTGTGGACTTCAACTTCCAGAATTCCTCAGCCAGCGTGCCTGGCTGAGGAATTCTGGAAGTTGAAGTCCACAAGTCATAAAAGGACTAAGTTTGAAGACCCCTGGCCTAAACGTTACTAGGATGCTTTCAGATGAAAAATACATATCAACAAGTAATATAGAGTTATTCCTAATTTTATTTCTAAATAGTTTTTCTTCCAGAGGAAGAAATGGTGGATTGAATATAGCTTTGTGAAAGTAGAGCCAATACTTCAATGAAGATTGAAGATGGGATATGGAAAGAAGATAACATTTGTTGTATTCTAAAAGGAAATGATAAGTTATTAAAATTGTTTATACTTCTTGTGATGAAGGTTGGAAGTTATTTCTTTACATATTTCTTTTCTGTTTCTTACTATACTGTGTTTTTCCTTTTTTTCCTCTTTTTAGTTTTGCATTTAATAGGAATTCTGTGAAAGTTTGATTTGGGACAATTCTCCAATCACTTCAGCAAGATTTTGGAGAAGAGCACATAGCTGTAAGGGATAGGAAAGTTTCACAGAATTTCTATTAAATGCATGTTTATATTTGACACCCATATTCTGCAAGTTATTTTAGGTCTGTTAACTTAGGTAATTTGGTTCTTATTAATACAGTATTGGACAAAGCAATATAATCCATTGCAGCATTTGATGGACTCCCAATTTGCTATTTGGGCTAACAGAATCATTATATGGATTAACATAGTAGGGCTGTAGTAATTCATTGTAATTACAAGTTCATTGTGTCATTAGAAGATAATTGTGATTACAAATTTCATGGCCCAGTAAGGAGTTTAAAACCTAAAATGAAGAACTTAATATTTTAATAAGAGTATCTATAGAAATGCTAGATGAGTCTATATCATCTCTGACTGACACATATACACACATACAATCTACAAAGAATAATGTTGAACTCAGAAAAGAACTACAGTATTGTTTTATCTGTTTTGTGTGCAAAGTATTGGCCAACCAATAAAAATGCAATTATTAACACATTTATTAACTATGACCCACTAAAAACTGCATATGTTACTGTGCATAAAATCACATAAAATATTTGATATGTCCTCTGCGAAAGTAAATCATACTATACAGAAATAAACTCTACAAAAGTCAGTGGAATTTAATCCCAGAGTAGCATACAGAGAATTAGAGTCTTAGTTTTGTTTATTATATAGTTCATATGTTTGTTTTATAGTACTCTGCAAAGTACAATTGTATTGCAAGGAGAAGCTTGATGTCTTTCTAAATGAATCATTTTGATTATGGCATACATAATCTATAGTGAACCAAGCCATCCACAA